ATGCAACGCCGGTCCACTGATTTGGAGACCTAGTCCGTCCTGAAGTCTTGTGAGGCAGAGGCTTGAGAGGGTCTCTGGAGCTCCATCCACCATTAACTGGACCGCAATGCGATTTTTATCTCTGACGGTACTGTACCCGGCTGCTACGTTGGCTACCCCTAAGGCTGAGTCATGAACTAACCCGGCTGGAGACACGGATTGACTCGGCGAATGTCCATCGGTATATCGCCCAACTTACATCCACGGCATTATCTGGCAAGCTAGGCTTAGTGTAAAGAAAAAAGGAGAAAGAAAGGTGGGAGATCCACCAAGATTGATGCATATCGATCCCGTGTCGTAGCGTATCTCGCTGCACCCCAAGGGCAAGACACTGGTTGACGTTGACGAGCGAGCAAGTGGGCGCACCATTCAACGCTGTGCCCTGAGCCCTTCTGACGTTGCTGATTGCTGGTGCTGTTGGTTACATCTGGTAAGATTCAAGACGCGGCCGAGAATGACGCCGTAGAGTGCGGCTTATCCCAATCCTCAACACCCCCATCATAACCTCAGTCACAGGATCCAGGGGTCTTGGCTACTGCCTACAACGTTGTGCTATTGGACAGAATACAGGCCTTTTCGAGGCTCTATTGTCAAAAACTATGTAACCATATCGGCGAACAGGATCAGCATCAGGATCAGCATCATGATCAGCGCAGCAGGAGAGCGATGTTTCTGATAATCACTGTTTTCATTTCGACTCACGGTTGAACTCGAAACCAAACTTTTATGCGGCTCGTCCGGGATATATTCCGCTTTCCCTGCATCTTTGATGCTATTAAGCGAGTAACAAGGTTTTTAGAGGTTCTGGGGTCGGGCGGCCGAAACCACGACGATACGTACACGTACGTACGTACCGTATATGCGTACAATCCGCTACGTACAGCTGGGTCAGGTACCGTTCACATGTACCGAAGAGAGATCTGTGGCGCAGGTGTGTGTGCGCGCTTTGAGACAAAGAGATTGACCGATACTGACTCTGTGTCTCAGCTACCGACGAGCTATAGAGACTGGAGTGTCAAGGTGTCGTTGAGATGCCGGACCCAAGGCCTAAACCATCCTAGTGTGTTTCTGTGCGCGCGCTACTCGGCATTTCGAGAAAGTCCGTAACGTCGGATAACCATATCCAAGATGAATTAACGACCAACCGGTACTTTACAGAGGGCGTACGGATACAGGACAGGGCATTACGGTACTATGCAGTGCCGTAAACAATTTACAGACAGGGCAAGGCAAGGAAGAAAGAAGCTTGTTCGAGTCAACTGAGTTTTACAGATGAGCTCTCTGCTCTGCTCTGCTCTGCCCTGCGCTATCCTACCCTGTCAGCCTGACTAGGATGATACCCAAATCGGAACCAGACCCCGTCTGTGCCGCTCTGACAGCTGGCGGAGCTCCGACACTGTCTTGTGCAACACAAGTTATTCCACAATAACGAGTAAAGCAACACAACATAGCCATACAATAATTCAACCTATGTCCCTGGTCCTGCTTTCTTGGCATATGTCGCTGACTGGTTTCTTACTGTTCATCATGTCTTGTTGGTTACATATCTCACATCTCAGCACACGGCAAATCTTTTCCGTGGACCACAACGATGATGAGATGGGATGGCATATACTAAGACATAACGCTCACGCATAATGGTCCCTTGAGAGAAATACAATACAGTACTGTACATACACCTCCGTTACCAGCCAATCAGCAAGTGCTGGTTCGACGGTATACGGTTCAGCTCCACCGGCACTTCTCACACCAAACCCGTTGTCGCTGTGATTCCGATGCCCTGGATCCTAGCAATGCAATGGATACATCCTCTGCATACGGGCCACAACCACAGTTACCCAGCTGATGAAACCGGTAGAATGGTATGAGACCTGCGAACAGGTAACCCGAATTGTCAACAGCATGTGGCAAGGTCAAGAAACCTCTCTTTAACTCACCTGTCAAGGTGCCCTGGAAGATCGACTGGAATTGGAAATGGGGCGCGAGCCAATCTACCAATTAGAAAAGACCCTGTACGAGCTATCAGTCCAGGCCAGGGGAGGGTATCATTGTTGGTGAGAAGAATGCGGATGCGACAATGGCAATGTCAGAGCAAAGATTTACATGGGACTTTTGGCACACATGCCAGCGTAACACTCGTGACGCAACGCAGCGAGTGAATAAGGTATTTGTGAGCTTTACACACGACAGGTCCAGGATATAGGTTAGGTGACTTTTGTTGTTGCCGTTCCTATTACCAGCCATTGCCATATACACATTATCAAGACATGTGACGATACATGCTTGAAATAATTTTGAATAGGTAGAGAAGCTCATCCAGTCACTAAGAAATGCTCTTCTCTTTTCAAGTCAGATACGCAATCCTGCATTTAGGATTCATGTTGGTGTCTCTGTATTCATCCAAGATCTACACTTGCTGTAAAGGTGTAAGCCTGCATCCGTTGGACAGCTGAACACATAGCCTATACGGTAACAAACGCTACATAAATGATACGTTACATGAATAAATGAACACAACTTAGATGGCGTTTGTTGCATCCCGTCGACATCACTTCCTTGAACCATCAGATGGAATCTGATTACTGATGTATCACAACATCCCGTAAACTGTATATCTGAAACGTATCTCAATCTTGACTGAGCTATGAGGAAGGTGAAGATGACTATATATACGTACGTGAAGATTAGATGTCCTTGATTATAAAGTTGGAAGAATGTCAGGTTCAGGTGCGATATGTGGTGAGTTGATCGTATCTTGTTCACCAACTCTACGTCTATTCGGCAGAGGGCTTAAACACAAGCTCTATACGAGGTTCATAACACTGTTTCCAGTATTGCCATGCGGTTGCTGCGGTCGCTTATAGGTGTCGACCGGTAGAAATCAAGGTCGGCGGTTGGAGCCATTGTATCGATGGTTAAGCCTCCCAGCTATTGGGGGCTGTCTGTATCATCCGCAGACAACAAGATTAGCAACATGCGCCGAGTTTAAGATTTAATAGAAGGGTTTCACGCAGTAAATTCATATGGGAACTCTTGTTGTGGTGTATGTCCGCTCGAATTCACTACCGTGGAGTGCAAGTAGATATACCCCTATACCACCGAAAGACTGACTGAGTCCTCGTCCATTGAGCTGTCTACAATATCTTGACGCCATTAGAACAAATAAGGAACCGCTGGCATATGACTGTCGAAGTAATTTGAATGTTCAGTGTGTGGTGGTTGTGTTATTCACTGTACCACTGAGCCTGGACACGGGTAACTCAAAGATAGAACTCGGTCAACTTCAAGAACAAACAGATAAGATATGGAGCGGACTTGTTATATAGCTCAACTCGCTGGTAATTCATGTATCTATCATATTAAGAGCCTATTGGTTCTGTGCAACTTCTATTCTATTGTTCCTTCTGAGTTCCAGTTTGCCTGCAAGAGACGACTTTTTTATGAAGAGAACAATGACCGCACTTCCAAAGATTGAGTAGCTTGTGAAGGCATAACTGATACAGAATGCGTGTTAGCATTGACTTGTGCACTCTCTCCCTTCTTCTGGGGCCGCCGGTGGTCATGAATAGGCTCAGCACCGAGACTTGTGATTAAGGCTTACCATACGTTTCTAACTGGTCATGTGCATACAGCAAGAGCGTCTAGACTGCTTCTACTTTCTACAAACAAGATGAGGTAGTTATCTAGTCTTATGAGACTGCTCCGCTCAATGCGTGCGGATGTAAAACTTTTGGTCGTCAGTGGTTTGAGGAGATGCTGCCAATCCAGCGTCGACTGCACATGATATGTAGGACGGAATCACGCCGAAACCGATAAGAATCCTTCAAAAGATAGCGTGCGCTCAAATATGAAGGAAGTCAGTTATTTACCTATTACAGCTTACTTGAAAAGTTGTCTATCAGCGAGGAGTTTGTAGAGGAGATGACCATGCATAGGTGACTGGTGCTTCTATCTCAGTATCTTAGATACACAGTCTTCCCCAAAAGGTATTCGAGATATGAATGAGACTATTCTAACTGTTGGATGCTAACTGGAAGGAGATCACATGCAATCTGCCGTCTTGCCTCGACATCTTGCTGGAAAGAGAAGAAGACGGGATGATATATCGATCACATCACCTCGTGATCTGCAGATATAAAGATATAGGGAACAATCAACCACATCAGACCAGCTCTAATGTTTCTATCTTTCGATGAATGTACCATGAAGCCTGAGCATTGGAATGAGAGCTTGATTGGAACATCGAAATATCAATGCTGCTGTCACTCGTACATTGATCAACAGGTGCAACAAGTCGGGGGCTCTATGGTGTATAGAGTGATGTCGGAAGAGGCTATATATAGCACGAGAGCTTTATGAAGTGTTTGTTCACTGACTTAATGATAGCTCACACACTCTCTCTACCTATGACAACTCGAAGTGTATGTGGTCCATGAAGGTGATTAGAACAAACCACTTATAAGCCAGACATCCGAGTTTCATGACACTATGACAGTAAATCCATTCAGAAAGGATGCTGGATAGATTGGTTGTTGATGCTCAAGGCGGAATTCATCACAAAATATGTCCAAATACCGACGTCTTACACCATCACGAAAATAGCCATAGGAACAGATCACATCATTGATGCTGATCTCACACCACTTTAGTAAAGAAGAATAATATAGACAGCTATGCGGGTGAAATCGCTTGGATGAAGAAACAAAGTCGTACGAGTTGTTCTGCAATTTGACAACCAACAAGCCGAAGACTGCGGTTTATTGGACGGGCTATTATGCATCGGGTTTCGGATTCTACGTGGGGTAAAAGACCGAAAGAATAAATACAAGCTAATTGAAGTGTCGATTACATTGATGTTGGATTCGATGATATAAGTCTAGACATCTATCAATGTGAGTTGTAATCTTGGACTTTTATACTCACTCACTGCGGCATATCTTGAGTCACCTTCACAACCCAAAATGACAACGCAACTCACTTCTCTCACCAATTTCTTCCGCGACCTCACACCGCGGAACAGATATATCGTTATCGCAGTAGCAAGCGCCCTCATTGGTTTTCCAATCCTGCGCATTGCCGCTGAAGATTACCGTGGATATATCGCTCTCGGACCCGGCGGACCGCCTCACAATGTCATCGGATGGCTGGGACAGATTCTCCTAAAGCCACTCAAGAAGGAGCCTCTTCATACGAGTTGCTATAATGAGAAGGCCATAAAAGCTTCTGGTCCGAATGGAGGTGTTGCGTTTCTGAAAGAGAAGGATGTTCCTGTTCGTGAGGCGCCAAGACCGAAGATTGGGAGTTGGACTGCGCCAAGTCGACAGTTGACTGATTTGGCGAGTAAAGATATCATTGAGGTATGTTCTCATAGTAAAAGTACTCGATAGTGTTGCTGACTTTTGCAGGCCTATCAATCATTCCTCTCTTCCCTAGCATCAGAGTCACCGACCAAGCTCAAAATCGCAACTTCTACCCTCGAGCGCCACGGCCCAGCTCTTTTTGTAGCATCAGATAATCCTTCCCATCCTATTGCGAAGAGCATGTACAGAGAAATTGGGCACATGCATGGCAGTGATGGGTCATTGCATCTTAACTTGGCGCCCAAAGATGCCAAGTTGGTGCTGGAGAGAGGCTGGGGCCAGCGTCATCCTTTGGCTGGAACGGTTTTGTATCTGGGGGATGTTATGGTTTATGCCCCGAGGAGTGAGAAAGAGTTAGAGGTTGTAAAAGGGATTACTAGGGCAGCTGCTAAGTTTATGCTCGGGGAGGAGGCTTGAAGAGAGTGTGTATCATGAGGGAATGGAAGGAGGATAATGTTGATGAGTTTACTGTACTTAGGCTTTTCTTACGTGCTTACTTTACTGTATCAACAGCGATATTCTCATGCACTTGAATAGATGAATTTAATATTATGTGTGCTATGATGAACAAGTGACGAGCAATCTACTAAGTGACAGTGTAGAGCTCAATGTCAAGTAGTGGAAAGAAGAAGGCCCAAGAATACCAACGGTATGCTCTTGAGCGAAGACAAAGTGTGTCAATTACAATAATAAGTATCTTGAATATTAATAAGATGAGATCCGAAAAACACCAAAGAATCATGTTGTGTGATCTGTGAGCATGCGCGGGTGGGTGTCATGTCATACCACAGGGTAGGTAGATTTTTTGGAAACCCTATATTATCCCCAATTTGTGCAATTCCTTCACCACAAAAAAGCAGCTTGGCGCAGTGGAAGCGCGGTATGTTTAACAACTACTCCTCAAGCAATCAACAAATGACTAACTTGCCACAGCCGGGCTCATAACCCGGAGGTCACTGGATCGAAACCAGTAGCTGCTATGGTTCTATTTTTTTGCATTTTCTTTTTCTTTTAACCTTATCACTCACTGACTCACAAGTACTGTATATGCCCTAACAAGAAGCCAATTCGCCACCACAGAAAAGCAGCTTGGCGCAGTGGAAGCGCGGTAAGTTTACTTTACATTCTTCAACAAGATGAATTCGAGATTCTAACTTCTCATAGCCGGGCTCATAACCCGGAGGTCACTGGATCGAAACCAGTAGCTGCTATTGGTACATCTTTTTTTGCTGTTCCTTATGATGTTTTTGTCATTGGGTACGTTGCTGGTCGTTATACCGCGGATATAAGTCACCCAGCGAACATATCAACCATACAGTGTTTGGAGCTAGCTTTCATTTTTATATGTTCAAATCAGGCCTGAGAAAATCCCTTATTGCACTTTCGTAGTCGTGTAAATAGAGTCTCCATTGCTGCACTTTACTGATACAGTTTGATATGACATGCTATGGTACCTTCTGTCCCCAACATTCGCTGTCCCTGGTGTAAAAGTAAAGAGTTAGATATTCACTAGCAATATCACATGAGACTGCTGTTAGTTGAGCCTGACCATAGAGCTACTGTGCCCAGTCAGTACCACTAATATGACAACCCATCGTGTGCTCTGTTGGTGGATCTGTCACTGACAGCCTTGACCTAAACCCGTCTAGTCTTGATGACTGCCGGCTGATCTGATATGCACTGAATCGTGTCATGTCATGTATGTCTCTCTTTTGAGGTTCAACTGCAGTCAGGAGAGGATAGTGGATGTTTATGCAGATGCAAAGAGCTCGGCCACCAGAGTGACCATTGACTTAGAAAAGACTGGCGATTTTTGCATTGGGACTCGTAATCAGCATTTCCAATCTTTATCAGTTTACTGTAACGTTACTGTAGTATGCTTTGCGGGAACGCTATGCTCAATATATTCTCATGATTCGTTGAGACGGTGGCCACCATGACAAGCGAAACTCCCTAGCAGCCTACGAGTCTTTGCTGTACAGGTCTTGTCATGCAGACAAATACGTTTCCAGACAGTATTCCGTCTTGGATATCTCGTCTAAAGACTCTAACCAAGATCGGGTGACTCATGCCTGCCATGCTGTTGTCACTATTCCCATCATGAAGTGTTCTACTCGCTTGTGGGTATCATCAGTCAAAACTTCCCAGGATATGAATTAGACGTGGCACTAAAACAAATGCAAGCCGATCCGATCTGGGCAGGTTCGTTTTGTTTCAATCTTTCTTCAAATAACCACTTTTTAAAGTAACGATATAAGCTCTGGCGGTGTAAGGTTGAAGCTTTTTTTTTAAAGAGGTACAGTGCAAGGGTTTGAGGGGCAACTCCTCTTCTTTTTTCCCACAACAACGTGGGCCAGAGCGGGACGGTGGACGGGACGGGACGAAAGTAAATAGAAATGGGCAGAGGATAAAAAAAAAAAGGTTCCATATTGACTTTGACATATTTTTCAGCCCTATAGCAACGGCGATGCATTGGGTGAGTCAGGCTAAATGGGAAAATTCTTCAAAGAAGAGAACAAGACAGCGAATATACATGGTTGAGCTGGCAGGTTGAGTCATGGATTTGCCCATGTAAATCGGGCCTTATAGGATAAGAGAAGAAGTTTGAATGTAACTGGGCATCAATGAAGAGTTTTTAAGGTGCGTAAGTGGTTCTCTACAGGCAGCTATATAAACAATAGTCTGTAGTAGGTAGTCTAGACTCTCGATATTGATACTCACTTACACAAGTGGATAGATACAGTATCAGTACAGTACTACAAGGATATTAACGAGTTTCTTTTCTTTTTCTCTCTCGATAATAATTAAGCTCAACTCACATCATTCAAGCTCGTCAACTCTACTGAACCGTGCTGTTCCAAGCGAGTCGGATATCTCAAGGAGGGTATATACCCCTGTCGAACCAAGACAATTGCAGTTTCGATTCAGTTCAGTTCAGTTCAAGAGCCGCCAGATGCGCATAGCATGTACATGTACAGATACATGCACATACTGTATGCACAACAACCAAAAGAGACTTTTCATTCAGGGGGAACCACTTTGTTCTCCTCTTCAACTGCACGTACTAAGTGCATCTATCCAACCGGCTTAGAGTCTCAAGCAAACACCAAGGAAAAGATCCCCGCGCGTTAGGCCCTAGAGCCAGACTTGTTACCTCTCAACAGTGATCTTAGTGGAGAGAGAACCCTTGAAACCCAGCCTAGCCAGCCACTCGAATTACGGTGAGCGGATTCTGCTACTGTACGACTTGCATGTTCCGCGTGTTCCTCTTTCTCCTCTCTACTCTCCACTCCTGCAGCTTCAATAGGCTCGATACCATCAAGACATTATCGAATCAGCAGCTACTGTAGCTCTTTCTGACTTGCATCTGCAATTGTTCGCATATCACCCTTTACTCGGTTTGTTCCTGATTTTCTCTTTTCTCTCTTTATTTTCTCTCACACTCACAATTCAATTATCTTGGGTTGTTCTTAATTGAATATCAGCCAATGCGCACAGATCAATAAATTCAATTACCTTGCTCTCTCAACTCCCTTGCTTCTTCTTCCCCTCCTCCTCCACTACAAACCACCAAAAAGGAAGAACAAGACAAAATGGGTTTCCTCGACTGGAACGACGGAGCCTCAGTGCTCTCAACCCGAACCTCATCTCGTCGCCATAAATCATCTCGCTCTCACAAGAAGCATCGCTCACGATCAAACTCGAGCGAGCGCGGCCGCGGCTTCGCAGAGTCCCTTTTTGGTGGCGACAATTACAAAAAGAACAGTTCATCGCGCGCTTCCTTCTTTGGTCTCGGAGGCAACAACAGCAACCGTTCCAGCTTCTTTGGAAACAGTATGTTCATCTTCTTCTCAACGCGATTGCTGTAGTATACTAACTGACTCGCCTACTAGGTCGCTCCTCTTACTACAAGCGCTCCCCTCGTCAGGGCTTCGTCCAAAAGACATACAAGCAGCTCAAGCGTCTCCTACGCGACCTGGTCCACTGGGCCAAGCGACACCCATGGAAGGTCTTCTTCATGGTCATCATGCCCCTCATCACCGGCGGAGCTCTGACTGCTCTCCTCGCCCGCTTCGGCCTGCGCATTCCCCCGGCCATTGAGCGCATGCTTGGCGTCGCCTCCAAGGCTGCCACAGGTGACTCCTCTGGCCTTGTGGGCGAAGCTGTTCGCATGGCCAGCGGTTTTGGCGGCAACACCACTGTTCGCATGGAGCGCGATACGCACACATTCGGCAGTGGGGGAGGCGGCTTCGGTGGTGGCGGCGACTCTTCCTGGGGTGGTCTCGCTGACATGGCCAAAAAGTGGATGTGATGTGCTTTTTTAAGCGAGCGAAGCGAAATGGCGTCTTTTTGCTTTGATATGGATATTGGATAGGTATGGATTGGGTTGGGTTGGGCTGGACTGACATGGATGGAATATTCATTGACTCACTGACATAATTTGACGATACGCAATTGGGTTATTATCATGATGCTCCCGGCGTTGCAGGAATCGGACTTGTTCATTATTATTTTTCTACTTGGGAGGATTACTGTGCTCACATCACCATTTCTACTCTGGTGGTGATTTTATTACTTAGACACTGCATACATTGGATAGCAGCATTTTTGATCAAATACAATTTACGACTTAATGACCCCTGACAACTTGGGCTCCTGTCTGTGCCTGTGCCTGTGCCTATCCCGAGAATGTGATCGACAGCACCAAAACTCTGCACCAGCGTTCTTCAACCCCAATCATCCGATCAAGGCCATAGACCATACCTCACTCACGCAGTCTCGAGTCATCTTGGTTGAATACTCAGCACTATGTTCATTACTAGTTCTGTCCATTTCTCACCCGCCTCCGCAATATACCTCTAGTAGCTAGCCACATCTTATGTCCCACTACTTCTTGCTGTCGGCAGCAGCACCAAGAATGCCAGCCAGAAGCATACCCTGGGAGTCTAAGCCACCATCTGACCCGACTCGTAGCAGCGTGAGTCTATGTCAGATACCAATGCTAATCATGCAATCATTAACCTCTGCGCCCATTCCTATCCATAATCCAAAATTCTGATAAATCAATCGATCCAAGGCTTGCCCATACATCTGCTGGTACCTTGTTTGTTGATCGATGTTGTTGTTAAGTTTGACATTACTCGGTGCAAAATTTGCACATAATGTGAAGTTGGCCAGCCGTCGACATAAAGCTGCTCGACGGCCAACGCGTGAAAATAAGTATTGTACACATGCTCGCTTGTAAATACAGCGACGCTGTCATAGAACGCCAACGCTGGTAGGATGTCTTCAAGTCGCATCTCCTCTTCATTATTTAGCTTCGCCTTCTTTCTCCTTGATGGTTTCTTTCTCCTTGGTAGGTTTCCAGAACTGCATCATGCGACCCAACTTCTTTGTTCGGCTGCTCTTGGGCTTCTTGCTCTCATCATTGTCTAGTGTGACTTCCATAGAAAGCTTGCTTCGCTCACCATGAGAGCTGCTAATGAGACGGCTGAGACTGGCAAGACTCGACCTTCGGCGCCCAAAGGCCGATGACACTGAAACAGGACGAGGCTCACGAAGGGTGGGTTGTGATTGGCGCTGGCTAGGGAGGAACATACTCTCTCGCGTCATTGTGGAGTTGCTCGATGTCAGTGAAGGAATATCATAATCCACTGACACTCGAACCTCGGGGCCAGGCTCTCCCATAAGCAGCAGAGATCGGAAGTTGTTCTCGTCAGCGACCGACGAGGGAGCTGTCGAGATTCGCTGCACGTCAACAGACATAGGCGACCTTGGCGAGGGGAACGAAGACGAATAGCTCATAGCGTAAGGGCTGGTTGGTGCATGTGCTGGAGCGGGAAGATGCAAAGGGCTGACTTCACCAGGAGAGAGATCCTTGTTGCCAGAGAATCTTCGAAGTGAAGAGTGGGCTGAGTCGGCAGTGTCACATCGTTCTGCAGGCATGAAGGGTGATCGGAAGATGACGCTTGGCAGCTCCTCGGCGATGACACTTTCGTGTAGAGATGACCTTGAACGCTCACCTCTGACCGTGTTGGCGGAGATTTGGTCTTTGTCACTCAGACTTGAAGTTGTTCGTCTCATGGGCTGAGAAGAGCTGTGTACTGACAGCTTATCCTGAGAATTGCGAAGAGGATCCCGAATGACTGCAGCTGGAGGTGTAGCATCACAGTCGGAATCGGTCTCCTCCTCTGAGGACTCGTCCGTTGTGCCAGATCTGGCGTTGTCATCATCATCCTCTTCGTCTTCCTCAAAAACATCAGCCATCGTGGAGCTGCTGTTATAACGATGCATACCAGCACGGCCAGGGTCAAAGGGGGGTAGATCGGGAGCAGATTCCGCACGTCGATGGTAATGCATACCAGGGCCACTGAAACCCTTCATGCCTTGTGCGCTATGAAGGCGTCGCTTTCCTGTGCCGCTAGCAGCTCGTTGCGCAGCCTCCCACTCGGGATTAAGAGGCAGCGGTGTGTTAAAAGGACCAAGAGCTGCATCCAGATCGATCATAGGATATGCTGATTCATCGGTTGATCGCTTGGGTGCATCATCCTCCTGAGGAAGATCGGGAGACTCGGTGACAGTGAGTGTAGGAGTTGACATCTGTAATAGCTCGGGCTCTCCATACATCTGATCCTCGCCCTCGTACTGGGCGACGCTGGGTGCTGGAGGAGTAGGAGGACGGCCGCCTTCTGATTTCGAGCGCTTCTTGTGGGACTTGGGCTTTCGTGGTAAAATAGCGCCAGCCCAGCCCTTGACCTTCTTCTTCTTTTTCTTGCCCTTCTTGCCAGACTTTGGTTTGGCCGTGGCCAGGTCAGGGCCTTCGGTATCGGCACAATGCCCATTGCTTGACGTCGGCGCTATCTTCGTCAACAAGTCAAGTGAACCAGCGCTCTGCGGTCGTGCTTTGCCAGGAGAGATGTTGCCACTGGAATGTTCTCGGGCAAAGAACGACCAACGCTTTCTGGTCGGACTCGGCTCAGGATCTTCCGTCTTGGGCGCCTCGGCGAGATTAAGAAGTGTAGGAATCGAATTTCGTCGCTTTGGTGAGCAAGCTGCGTTAGCCAAATCGTGTGTGTTCTCAAGAATAGCACCTGCTGTGCTTGGCCTTGAATCCGATATCTCGCGTGTTGGTGTTTGAGATAACGGCGATGGGCTATCACGTCCACTTGGCGAGTTTCCGGATACAATCGATGAGATGCTGCCAGATAAAGAATGTCCAGGTCGTGCTGTCACAGTGCTAGATGTCTCGTTGGATACCAGAGACAATGGCCGTGGTATGAACTCGAGTGTGTCGGAGAAGCCCACGCGAGCTTTAGTATTCTTGGGACTGCTGTCAGGCGAGGATTTGACAGCAGCAGGCTCCGCTGTTTCTTTTGATGCTTCCGCCATGGGTACCGGTTCGGGGTCAGGCACGATTTGTTCGACAAGCTGTAGAGATCCTTGGTTAGGCTGCACAAAGTTGGTTGGGCTGTTTGGTGCGCTGTTCCCACGGTTGGCGGAATCGAAAACAGGTGGTTGGAGAATAGGCAGGTCATTAGTCGAGATGGCGCCTGAAATTCCTCTTCGGTGCCCTCTTCTTGGCGGAGGTTGAAAAGTTGGCGATACAAGCCCGCTCTCAGATTTTGTAGGACTAGTGCTCATAATGGCAATCGAATTACCCTCGCGGAGACGACCTCCAACAAATTCACTGCCACCTCTTCGATGGCCATGTCCTCCAGGGCGCTGTTGTGACGCACCATTCCTAGGAGAATGCGGAGAAATGGGAGGAGTCAAGAGAAAGTTGTTCTCGCGATCTGGTGAAAGCATTGCACCAGGATTGAAACTGAAGTCGGGCAGTGCTGACCGGGAATGTCTCTCCACATTTTCAGCGGAAAGTCCAAAACTGAAGTTCGGAGTCTCAATGGCCGACATAGGACGACGACCTGTTGCTCTTGAGAAGGACGAAGGTGCGGATACTGTACCAGCTGGTTGAGCTGGAAAGACGAATGGGGGATTTGGAGGCGGTTCATCAACTTGAGATTTGGAATCAAGCGACTGAGAACCATTTAGCGGGTTAATCGAAGCAGCAAATCGATCGACAGGACTGTCGAACGCTGGGCCGGGAGATGGGCGGGATAGCCGCTCAGGGCCAACTGTGGTTGCCATCGTCTCCTCAGCCGCGCAGCGGCAATCGAAGTGATGGACGACAGTTGGTGAATTAATAGTTCATAGGACAAGCGGATATTCGACCCAGGACCGTCAGGCTCCTTGATTGTTCGATTCGGGCGGGTGTATAGCAATAATATGTTGGTATCTTCGAAGAGTTTGTCGCGTCTGAGGCGTCACAAGCAACGATCAGTCTGAAGATCTTGAATTGAGATGAAACTGGCAAGAAAGCAAATAATGTCGGTTTCGAAAAAATCAAATTGCTACAGTAGGCGATCGGTACTGGGCAACGGACCGGATAGAAATGGTAGCAACGTGCTTGAAAATCGTCGAGATGAATCGCTGAGAATTGGCAGATGGGACGAACAACTCGAATGGCGGATGTAAAACTAAGTAAGGTATGTAATGTAAAGAAAAGGAGTGGACGGACAAGACCAGCGCAACTCTACAAAGGAAAAAAAGAGAGCAACTGGAATCGCACCAAGAAAGAGGAGGTCGGGAGGAGGAAGAAAGAGAATCTTCGCTCGCAAAAGGCGGCGTTGTTGTTGAAGTGCGGCCGGAGGGTTGAAGAAGAGAAGACGGGACGGGACGGGGGAGGGGGGAAGAAACGCGATTTCGTGATCAAGTGAAGGCAGTGGAGTCTCTTGAGAGGGAAAGCCAAATGGACCTGTGTTCAGCCACGTCCAGCAAGTGCAAGTGCAAGGGGTCCACTGTGATTAGAGTACATCGAAGCAGGTACCGCTGCAACCAACACGAAGGCGGGTAGACCGCCGGAAATGGCGAAGGAGGACCTGCATCTCTAGTACCTCGACGCTTCCTTCCCAGTTTGGCCAGGCCCCAGGTCCTGGGTCCCCCTAGTCCTTGAGTTAGGTTGGCTCCAAGTCACTAATCCCTAGTCCTTACTGGAGTCGGATCCCCTAGTCCAGGTACAGTACAGTACGGTACCTGGCCTGGTCAATCTGCCCTGGGTTGTTGTCGTGGTCTTGATCCAGCTCGCCAAAGACAAGAACGAAGACACTTGGCCACAGAAGGGGAGCCACTTTGGGGACCCCAACAGCCTGCGTTGTGTTTTGTGTGCTGTTGTTATTGCTGTGCGTGCTGCCCAGTGTGCTGTGCTCTGTGCCAAGATTAAAGTGAGTGGATGCCAATGGATGGCGGTTCATGAATCGAGGAATTAGGGTGACCCGATACAGAAGCCGAGGAACCCCAATTGGGGACATGTTTGATGAACTATGCTTCTTTTCGATAACAGATACGATCTGGTGTGTTGCATTGAACTGTAGGTAGGGAAGAAACACCCAGACTGATGTTACGAGCCAGATAGATGAGAGGCTATCTCACACTGCAGCTGCAGCTGCATCTCCATCTGCATCGTTTGTCCCTTCCAAAAATCAGGCGTCATGGCCCCCCTTCCTCAACAGGCTTGATTTCTTCCCTTGACTTCCATCCTGGAGTCTGCTTCTCCTTCTTCTCCAGTGCCAGGCAAGCCAGGGCAGGAACCAGGGGCGGCCGGGCCTCCTCCACTCAACTTGGCGGTGGGTCCATGCCCCAAGTCTGCAAGACCCGCACTGTGTTGTCCTTTGCTGGGGCAAATTGCACCAAGACCGTAATTCATGTTGCTGACTTCTTCACTGGTTGACAACAATCACAGCGCGAATTGCCATATTATGCTGCTCGCAGTTATCAACTAATTTACTTCTGTTAATCATGCCAATATGACAGGAACATGGATCAACCGAGTATCGTTGATGCGTTTGTCCTATGAGACGAATAACTTCGCTGAGTCCTCACCCAATCTTACTGAAACAGGACAGCAAAACCATCGTGGAGATTGATCTTCATTGACAGCCGTTACACACACAATCTGCTCATGGCGGTCACCATTTCATGACAGGCACTGTCGATATCGGCACATGATACTCTGCACTGTGACCTCGCAGGTCGACACCATCCCTGTCCGATCCTTTGTTCTCTCGGTACTACACATCACTGTATCCGTACCTGCGAACGTTCGTGAGGAGCTGCTCTGTTCAGTGTATTGAGCATCTGCTATTCGTCCGCTGTTTCTCTTACAGCCCTCCAAAATTCATTACTGGATCATGAGTGCACAATGTACAGTCCTGTACCTATACGGGTTTGCAAAAGCGCAAACGACATAGGCGACTAGCAGAAGAATTGACCTCCGGTGCTCAAGGCGCCAGAAACAATTAGCCGAAAGGCTGGTTCAACTTGCATAAAGTGACCAAATTATTTTGTTTCTTATGCTCAACGATGAATTTTTCTGATAACCCGACGCAGGCCACGATGGATGTATGTGTCCGTCCTCGAAGAGTAAAAAAGAAGCGACATTGAGCATAGAGCCTGAATCCTGTTGGAACAATCGACTTGTCAGTTGGGCAAAATACAATTCTTCCTCTTGCCGCTTCGCTATCAAAGATCTTCTGTGGCCATCTTCGCCAGAGGCTTTGCCAGGGTGATGGTCTCCAGGTTAGACGGAGAGCGGGGGAGGCGAACAAGAAGTGGAGGAGTAACGGTTACAGCGGGCGGCACGATGTCTTGCTTGCTGATGGCCGCGACAATCCAACGGCCTTGGCGGTTGCGCACGCAGCTCAAAATCAAGTACGGAGAGTCTTGGCTGATGGCCAGATTGTCAACCGATATACCACGAGGATATAGGTATTATTGTCGCTCTACACGATTAAAAACAATCCAGTTCGCTTTGGCCACAAACCCAACGGTACAAACACTGAACGGACAGATCCTAGTCGATTAGCGACCGGCTGAGTTACAATAAGCATTGCTACCATAGGGTGGTCAGCGTCAGGTACGGATTCGGACGATAACCAGTTGGCGACATGCAAACTAACAAGCAACCATGCAGGGCATTGAGTCAGCTTTACGGATACACATGAGGCAAGTACAGTACTCGTCTTCAAGTTGGAGAGATACCCACAAAGGCAGTTGGCTTGGTAGGAGCAAGAGTCTCCCTTTCATACTACGAAAAAGTATCTTGAACAGCAAAGGTCTAGTGCGTTCCTGGCTTGAGGGTTATCGTAAGATCTATGGACTTTATGCAAATTATTCTCAACGTTTCCCGGCTCGCGCAGTTTTTGCAACCCATACAGATGAGGGTACACAGACGCACATTGATCTGGTGTAAGTTGAAGGCCAATCATATCCCAAGAGAGACCAGTGGGCTGCTGTAGCAGGCAGCCACTAACGGGCAGATCGATCTTCAGAAGGGGCGGGCCTAGATCAGCAACGGCAAGCATCTATCAAAACATCAGAAACTAGAAGAAGAAAAAGATACGATAGTTCCCGCACATGGACATCAGATTTCGACATTGCCGAGCCTTCCGTCAAGCAGACAGGCATTGTTGGAAACAAAGCAAGCTTGTTTTTCGACGTTGATACACATACAGCTAGCTATGTACTGAGGCTATCCACTCACTCACTCCCTCTCGACTTGGCGCCGCACCAGCCGCCAAACTATCGTACAGTCGAGACATGGCTTGCATAATGAGTCGGGGCTAGAACCAGTCTTCAATTGCTATGCGCCAAAAAGCCCAGAAGATACGATGCTGCGATGCTGTATACAGTATGGCACAGCAGACCTTGATGTTTGCTTTTTGCGGATTCCATTAGGGTTGGTAAGGTTCTCCAATCCTTCTGAGATCTGTCCAGGATCGATTGGCCCAACGTGACCAGGTCACAAATTACGAGGCCTAGGACACGATCACAACAAAGCAATCAACAAACCCCCAGACTAGGTTCCAGTCTATCAACCAGGTGGTCCTTGAACATTACGTACCGCCCTTGTCATTATCCGAGCACTCTGATAACGAGGCTAAGAGCATCCGATTTTAGATCTTGACAGATGGGTCGCTATTGACGTACGGCAATTGTTGTGTGCCTACATGAGAGAATTGGCTTGCGGGACAAGATCATGGACTCGTTTTGCTGTTTGCAAAGCCATCAATCACACTGCAATAAAATTTGCTCTTTGTAGCCCTGGCTTAACGCCTTATTCGCTACGCACGGGGTCAGGAACAGCCGTAGGTCCCCTTGTCTATTCCCACCCTGTTAGCCTGTGCCTGAAAGTCTTGCCTTGATTTGGTTCCCGAAAACATGGCAGCTGATGACAGACACAATTGAGGCTTGGGCTTTCTTCGATCTGGATCCGTGAAAACAAACTGCCTTGTTCGTCTAATATGTGAGACTCACCGCAGCAACGACGCCAGTTTAGGTGCTGTCATTGGTTCTGACTTATATTGCTTTTCAAGATGCAAGACGTTAGACATCCCGATGGGATGAACATGGACCCAACTTTATCATGGTTTGTTTCAACAGGCCAAACCCGGATTGACAAATACCGAGATCGAGGTAACAGGCTATGCCCCCTCTAAGCTATAGCAGGGACACTATACTGGTGGTTCGTCGCAGTGATGGAATAGTACATATGACCTCAAGAGTCTATACAGTATCAAGAACGGACTGATCCCAGACAATCATTATCAGCGCTTACCAGGGAGATCTACAACAATGTCCGACGACACCCACAAATAATGCACAGACAGAACTCATGGCAAGGCGCTTGGCGTATCGGAAATTTAGCCAAACAGGGTATGAACTGCACTGCACGGCTGTCTGAACGTTCAACATCTAAAAAGCCAGCCCTGGCAGTTGGACAAAAACAAGACGGCTGCATCTGTTTGATCTGCGGTTGTCGTGACGATTGTGCGTTGGCAAACAAACCATAGCGCAAATCGCGTGATATCTCAACTTTTCGAACCTGCATGCATATAATGCCTGCATCGTTAGTGTCGACCTCGTACCGTTCAACTCGTGTATTATTCTCTTTTGTATCCCTCGTGTCTCACCAAGACCCGGGGGTTCATGGCAGAGTCTCTCACGGAGCCAACTCCACCGGCTAAGCCACCATCAACAGGGATTCTCCTTCTTTCAAGACTTCAAATTCCCCTGTCCGTCTCGTCATGCTCGACCGTGCACTCACCGAACGGCCAATTTCGCGATCATGAAAAAAGGGCTGGCGACATCGTACGTACGTACGTACGTACCTATCTCAGCAGATGGGCAACAGAAGAATTGTCCTCTGAAGCTAAGGCTGCCAAAATAGAGTGGCCTAAGTGCTGGTCTAAGCTAGCATAAGGCGACTAAAGTATTTCGTCTTTTATGCTTCTAGCGGCCAATTCTTCTAGCCTCGAGGAGTTCAGGTAAGCCTGCCGCCTTTCAGCTTATCCTCGAATAACCTCACGCTCGTTTTGTTCGGTGAAATGAAGGCTTCCTTTTACATGCGTAAGCAATCTCGCCAACTATCTCAGCAAAAAAGCCATGCAATACCATTCGACACGCGGACATTCCTATTATTATCACGACTGGTATAAACCAATTTGCGCAGTTAATTGCGATTTCCTTTCCATTCCGTCATCAACTCCATCTCCCTGCGTTGCGGTGAAGGAGGCCTCGGGGATATTGACAGATACTAGTCTCTCCTGTTGTGCGTTTGATGGGGTTGAGAAATGTACTGTACCCGAATTTAGCACACGCTGGTTCATCGTCATTTCGTGGACGGACCAGGCTCGATCTTGGCTATGGGTCCCATGGCATGTCATCTCAAGGTGGGATTCGGCCGCTATACCGAGGAACAAGGCCTAATCTGGCCTACAAACCCGCATCAGACACGTCCCACTATGACATTGCCATGTTATTCACGACAAGTCGAACGGTTTAATGCTTATAAGCTTTCATTTATAGGCGTTCATGCTGCATTGCCTGTTCTGTGTTGAAGCCTCATTAAACATAAGGTATATGCGGAGATTCTCCAAGGCGCTGTCTCTCCACATGTGACAATTGAATGCCTCTCCATTGTCTAATGTCTCTGCAGACTAATGCATAATAATTTGAATGCTGACATCTAGTAAATTATGTTAATTAATCGGACATGAAAACACGTACACGAAGTTGTTGCTCCTCACCACTGATAGGCTCTGGAGAAATATAACTCAGCCAGGCTATCTCCCTTGATGCATATGTGCTATACCTGTATAGGACCTATCAGAGTTTGCAAGTTCCTGACTTATACGTAAACGAACATGCAGTTCCTGCAATACGAGTTCCTGATAGCCCTGGTCCAATCAATCATGTCACTTCATCGGTGTGTCGGCTTCTAGTTTCCGTGCGTCAAACCCAAAGCCACTTCAAAATTCTGCAAGTCGAGAACCCCTAGTCAAGTCACTGCAGAAGGGAGATGGTGGATGTATGGATTGGGGTTTACCCGTTCGCAGCTGAAGACATGGCCAATAGCGTATAACTCTCCCTCGACTCGACGGACAGCCAAGTGGGACGGGAGGGCACATTATTGAAGAAGTCGTCAGCTATGTCGAACTATTGAGATTCAGAGAGTTTGACGGGTCAGAGAAAAGCCGAAGTCAGTAGTAGATCATTAAAAGATCCATCTGAAGGGGGCTGCAGTCTCCAGAAAGTGAAACCGAAGCATGAAGCGACGTAACAAGATCGCCCCTTATCTGCCCCTTACTTAAAGTGTGGGGAGCCATCCCATCCCGTCTTTGGACCCTGGATTTGAGCCACAGCCAAGAAAGTTTGTGGGGAGCACAGCCACAGACTTTTATCAGTTCACTCACCGCCTGCAAGATAATGCCCCGCTGCAACTTTTTTTGACTGGCAGAAAATTTGGTGAAGGCGCGCGAAGATCGTTGAATCGACACGCCAGAGTATCAAGAATAGACAAACACCAACAAAATGTCTGATACAGAGAAGACACACCCAACTCCCGCTCCTGAGGCTGAGAAGAACTTGGGCATGCGCAAGAATGGTGAGAGAGATTCCCACTTTATATCGCGCGCGACAAAGTTTCACAAGCTGACCACCCTATAGGCAAGCAATGGCATGCTCCCAAGAAGGCTTTCCGTCCTACTTCTGGCCTGAAGTCCTATGAGAAGCGATCGCAAGACCGCGTGCTGATGGCGCAGGTCAAGGCCAAGGAGAAGGAGATGAAGGAAGAGAAGGAGGAAGAGCGCCAGGTAAGTGCAAAATTTCTGTCTGTCTGTGTACAGAACCACCATCTAACCACCAAACCAGCGCAAGGTCCAGGCCATCAAGGAAAAGCGAGCCAAGAAGGAGGAGAAGGAGCGATACGAGAAGATGGCCGAGAAGATGCACAAGAAGCGAGTCGAGCGACTAAAGCGCAAGGAGAAGCGCAACAAGCTGATCAACTCATAAACGAGATGATGTATGGAAGTAATTCGGAAGTGGAATAGGGGAGAGGGGAGAAAAAGACACATATATCGACAGCATCATGATTTTTACGCGGCATACCTCAGACTACAACTACAACTTGCAACGGAAAGAATAGGTTAGAGAACTTGGAAGCAGCACAATATACCTCGGCGTTGGAATATGCGACTACTAGTACTGGGCGGAAGATGAGAGACTATATTCGGATTGCTTGGCTATAGACTAATTGCGGTCGTTTTCGCTTGCAATCTGGGCTTGCTCTTGGTTTTGATTGTTACCTGAACCAATCTCGGCTGCGCAAGCATGAGTTGAGGCCTCCGTTCTCGACCTACTTGCTGATGCTCTATATGGGAGGTAATGATATGGAATGATAGCACCCTGATATCCGTTCGGCAAATGCAGCATTCCTTGGTTTTGTCGCAGAAACCTCGCGTTAGCTTTGTGAATGTCGAACTTAATCACTAGCACTGTGGGTATAATGGTGATTATGACACCATATGAGATGTCCAATGTGGCAGCATTTGGAGAAACATTTGTGTAATGCCAACGTAGTAGCTTGATAAAATCGCGATCATTATATGCTACTATCTTTAGTGTCTATGAACGTATTCGGATGCTATCTCGACCTTCAGTGGAGATGTTACTCTCTAAACGGTAGTGGCATGTGAAACTGCCGGCCGCTTGTAGATATGGATCCACTAAACCATCTCCGAGGTTGACCATTCGACGATCGCCTGATGTAACCACGCAACAAATCCAGAAAATCAACTGCCAGAAGCCGTCTTGGGTAACCCACACCTCATGCGTCACAGGGTCCAGGCGTCTCTGTCGACTCTTTTTTTCTTCTCCAGCTGCATGTGAGAACGAATCGGGATCAGCCACACAGCTGCCCAGCCCAACCCAACCCAATCCAGCCTTGACAAATAACGCTCGCTCACGCCATGGCCTCCGCAGGCCTTACGAGTCCCAGAGACTCTGTTAACTCGGTCTCAAGCATACGCTCAGGCAGTCGTCACCAGCTTAAGCGATCCATTACCGAGCTCGCGTCACCCGTGAAGCTCAACCGTCGGAAGGAGAAGGAACGCGATCGATATAACGAGGACCGCGCTTCTCATGCACACCACATTTCTATCTCGCATCCTCTATCTCCAAACTCGATACACCAAGGCAGAGTATCAGTCGATATCATGCCGCGATCGGAGGGCGTAACACCGTATATGAGCCCCGACCAGAGTCGGAGGCCGAGCTTAATGCTCTCGAGAGAAGAGGAAAATAAGATTGCCAGCGCTTTTGTGCCGGTAGAACCAAGGCCGAGCAAAGAAAAGATCCAGGAAGAAAAGGCCAAGACGTCCTTGCAGGTCGAGTAAGATATATACTGCCTCTCCGTTCATCGTGCTGTTGCTGACCCGTGTACAGGGGCTTGAAGCACTCGCTGGTCGAACTAGGTACTTTTTCTACATCAACAGCCCGCCGACTCGACGAAACATACTATGCCGTACTTGAAAAGATGTCCACCCTTCAATCGACCGTTGCTGCCTTGAAGGAGTTAGCTGAGGAGTCTCAGAGCATACACCGAAATTTTGAGAAGGACGCCTGCGAGATTGAAAGCGACATCACGTCACAGATCGCCGCGATGGGCGAGTTCAAGGAGCATCAAGAGAACATCGAATCACTCACCACCCGTGTCCAAGATGGCCGTGCCAGGATCCGCGCTCTGAGCGACCGAGTCGACATTGTCCGGGAACAAGTCGAGCTCTGGGAGCGTCACGATAAGGAGTCCCAAGACAAGACACGGCTACGGCTGAGGGCCATAATGATCTGTATCACGGTTGTGTTCTTGGCTGTGGTGATCTTGTTCTTTGGCGCGCAGTATGTATCACTGAACAGTACGCGAGCGGGTAGCTCAGGGACGCCTCGAGTTGCAGAATCCTTCATCGAGTCGCATAAAGAAGCAGGACATACAGCACTACCTCGCCACAGGCTCGAGAGGAGCGATTCGCCATATTTGAAGAAGAAGCCGGCACATACGCCAAAGCATAGAGGGGAGGAGCTCCGTGCTTTTGATGAGCTGTAATGTTGGCGGTGCTCAGCATTACTTGCTTTTTTCGATACCCCATGATTAATGACATATCACAGCGCGCACATCGCATTATTTCTTTTGTATTCAGAAATTGGACATCGTCTGTAAAAATAAGAGTAACTAATATACTGGAAAAGGGCAGAAGACTAACAGTGCCACGCTACCTGCCTCTATCACTACAGGAAGCTCGGCAGAACATGGAATCAGGTCAATGGGCTACAAGGCTCTGTTGGATTGAGACGATGAAGTCTCATGGCTCCGTTCACATCACTCTAACACAGCCTGTAGTCTTATTAACCCTATGTTCTGCAGAAGACTTGCCTACTGCAGGGATACCTATCGTTATCTCTTTAGCTTTCTCCTTCGTGCATAATGCATAATAATAGAATGCAATTCGTATTTACTGGTTATTATCTGGTTCGTGGTCGACGATGTTATCTAGATTCTGTTCCAAAGTCCAACATACTCCACTACTACGGATGGGAAACGCATATAACCCTTTCTACACATGTAAATAGGGCTCAATGTTGTGCTAAGGAAACAGTACTCAACCTGGAATGGTCCTAGCTGAATCTAGGCTGAGGCAATGGCTGCTCAGACTTTCGAATCTGTTGAAGGGTATTGGTAGGTTAAATAGTGATTGCTTGCACCACAATCGAAGTGAGATACTTCAAGTACCATCAGTATCCATATACATGCAGTCACATATATTAATGCTAATAACATCCTCAGCTCAAGAGACTTACGCAATAACGTCTCATATGACCTTTGTTGACCCATGCATGTAAGGTGTGAAGCAGATTGGCAAGCAGCTACTCATGCGCCGAGCCGCAGTCGGCGCCACATTTCGGAGCCTCCGTGGCACGCATCTCCACTGCCGAGCCGTAGTCCGGAGCTCATCAAGAAATTGTTTGGCTTAGATTTGCTTTGACCAGGACCGCCAAGGAGCAGAGTCTCGTTCTGGTCAGGCTCGGGGAGCTTGTGAAGACAAGGCCGAATGTTCTCCGTGAGCCGGACCATCCCCAGACAATGCAACCTACTGGTCTTTTAAACGATGACCTTATTTATCGCAGCAGGGTTACCCTAAGTTGTGATGGAAGACAAATAGAAGGGTTGTCCGTGGTATATCATGGTCAGCATGAGCCATAGCAAATTCTTACATACTAACCTAACTCAACTTAAGTTACTTTACCAGTAAAGCACAGACTGGGCGTTGCGTAAGTCAACGTGGCGGGGCGGACGAAGGTGTTTACTCTCCATTGCTTTATTTCCCCAGTCAGTTAAGTCAGATGATTGGCTTATTCGTAATATCTGAACAATCTGGAGACGATGTCTAATCTCTCTTGTTTGCTTTTGTGGCTTTGCTTGGTCCAAGTTGCCCAGCAGCCACGATGTAAACGAGGTAGGATGAAGAGAGACGATGTATGTGACATTTGGATCAACATGAAGGATCGACTGTTTGATTTGAACGAAAAGTGAGTCAGTTTGGTGAATGGTGCTGTAAGACACTGTCAGATCGAGCCAGGACAAGTTGATATTGGATGCAAAGGCACGTTGAGTTGTACTTTATTCTGCACCAAGTAAAATGATAGATTGGGCTCGATGAGTCTATTGCAACGACTGATGATTTGCCGGAACATCTGCTCAGCCTTACGTTAACTTTTATAAGTTAGACTGTTTTCAATTACCAGTAAAACTACACCAAGAAAAACAGTAAGTGGTCATGGATATGTTGAGTTTCATGCCGCTCATCCATAGTACGGCAAAAACCACCCGAGAAGCAGGGTTGCGAGTGTCTGGGCATGTGGCTTGGTACTTGGCGACACACGTCATGCCCCTCGCTTTGGCGCTTAATACACGCAATTGCCCAGCGAAGTGAATCTCTTATAAAGGTTGAGAGAAGCCTAAAAAAAGAGAGTGAAGCGTCATCATTTTTCTCGTTTCTCGCGATTGACTGTCTGGACTCGAAGACACTTTTGATCTGTTCGTGATACCCAGGACAAGACAGGCAAGCATTACGTAGTTGCACCCCCTTAGTTTAACCACTAACTTAGACGAAGCTGACTGACTGCAGCTCTTGCCCCGCCATAAGGCACCGTATCGGTAGTTTACCATACCAGACCGAACCCCATCAATCCAACAATCTTTCAGGCGGAAACTATATACCCCAAACACCTAGAGTAACGACTTTTTTGGTATCCTTTTCTTTCTGTATCCTAGAAAGATAGCGATAATCGACATCTTGCATCCTCGAACGGTTCTCGATACCCCCGAATCTTACTTACACCTACACGAACAAACACGACACACTCCAGAATCTCGGCCATGGCTGCTGAGGCCGGAGATACGCCCGCAGTTGTCGCGGACGCTGCTGCTCCAGCTCCGTCTACTGTCGACTTGCCCGTGCGACCAAAACAAGATGTTGCGCCTCCTGCAGGCCAGACACTGACTGGAAAGCAAGAGCACTGTGAGTTGCGATGCGCTTTGTCCTTGTGGTGTAATGCATAAGCTAATACATGATTCTGCGTCCCAGACCTCAAGAGAGAACTTATATCTGAGCAGGTGAAGTGGGAGATCAACGAACTTAACTCTACTACCGCCCTGCAACGTTTCGGCGCACCGTTTCGATCCGACCATGGCGAAGTTCCACCTGAAGAGTCCGAGCTGCCCATTCTGCGATATATCTTCGTTCATCACATTCGCGATTTCCCTTTCCTAGACAAGGCGCGCGAGAAGGAGTTCTGGCAAGACAAACTGCAGGTGGTGAGTAATGGATCTATCACAACGCGATCAGCAGAGTGACGCTAATATGATGTAGTTTCTCGAGTCATTCGCTGGAAAGCAAATCTCATCCTCGGAGGATCGCCTGGAGGAGACGAAGCGACGGAAGCTTGCCATCAAGGCCAGGAAACTTGTGGAGCTGATGATGGTTTCCGGAATCGGAACATCATCAGGATTTGAAGAGCGCATTCGATTCTCCGAGATTGAGATTGTAGACAGCAATGCCATTGACACTGGTGTGATGCACACATTGCCCGAGGGCAACTATATCAATGGCTGGGACGTCAACGTCTCCGGCGTGAGAGTCACCCAGGTCAAGCACACGATCCGAAAGCACAAGCATGCCGAGTTTATCTTGCGCATCAAGAAGAAGGGCGAGTTGGAGCATTATGTTGGACGAAGGTACAGCGACTTCGCGAAGCTCCACAGCCGGCTGCGTACAGAGCTTCCCGGCCGTGTGATACCTGAGATGCCCAAGAAGAACAAGTCTGATACAACGACATCGATTGCTTTTACATCCATGTTCAGCAATGGCAATGAATCGGATGCCTCTTCTATCTCATCTGTTTCAACGAGGCCAAATGGAGTTACATCCATGCTATCACCAAGTCCGTCTCACACTCTTTTCGATATATCATGGTACTAACATTTATCAAGGCCACCGCAAGACTGACTCTGCCTCATTCCGATCGAATCGATCAAAGGGCCTCAACTCTCCAAGGCTCCCGTCTCCTAGGGTGTCTACTGAGGGAGGAAGATTGAGTCCCGCCATCCGACAAGACTCGGACAAATCAGACAAATCAGACCTGTCAGAGGTGAGCGGTACAGCTTAGCCCCGTATTTGAACCAAACTAACTAGAACAGCAATCCGTTGTCCTCTGGCGCGAGAACCAAAGAATCTCACTGAGAGCGTTCCTGCGATCTCTCCTGCACAACCCTCAGTTTGCCAATACTAATGCTATGCAAGAGTTCCTGAGTGGTGAACCTATTACCCCGACAGACGATGATGTCGAGGATATCCTTCGAAGGAAGGCGCTTGACGAGAAGCGTATGGAAGAGCAAAAACAGTTCTACGAGATCGCGAGAAAACGTGCCGCCGAACTTGATGAGTATATGGAACAGTGAGTCTTGCCTCGCATCAAAGACGAACTTGAACTAACCTTTCATAGATTCCGCCGTGATATTGTTGAGCGCAACGGCCTTACCATGCTATTCCAGGAGATCAAGGACAAGGAGACGATTGGAGATCTTAGCATCCAGTATCGCAAGTTTGCCGAGTGGCTTCGTATCGAGATTGCCGCCGTCATCTATCACCTTTTCCTTGCCGAAGACAACTCCCCTGAGCTATTTGCCCAAGCGAGACGTATTCACTCCCTCATCCCATACTCGGTCATCAAGAACGTCATTCGAATCGCCAATCCTGCGGCCGTTATGTCAGGTGTTCTCGATATCTTCTTGGCCCAACCATTCGGTACACGGTCGTTGATGCAGCGAATCTTCTCCCTGACACTGAACGATGGCATCAAGAGCTTTCAGAAGTCGATCGATATCCTCGCTACAAAGATTGACGACAAGACCTTCTCAAGCAAGCTCTACAAGTACACGCATGCGGAGGAGCACATCAAGGTTGCCATTCGTGAGGAGGCCGAGGTTGATGATGTGGATATCATCGTGGCGATCATGAGATCCGATCTCATCGAGCCAGGCCTGACAGGAGAGCAAATTCAACGACTTTACAATGCATATGTCGCTTTCAACAATGCGGTGGAGAATGTTGACGAGGAGTTACGCCAAGGAGCTCAACTCTTCTCGTACATGAAGCAGTACCTGAAGCTATGCACAAGGCAGCGGGACAAGGAGATGATGTTGCAGTTGATCGAAGAGCCGGTAACTCTTCAGCTCTTCCGAGACCTGTTTACAATCTTCTACGAGCCACTTGTGCGAGTTTATAAGTCCGCAAACGTGTACAACAGTGTCACCGACTTTGCTGTTTTCATCGACGACATGATCCAGGTATGAAGCAGGACTTTCTCAAGATGAAGGAAATAACTAACATGAAAACAGGTTGTTGATAAGTGCAGAGAGCAAGACGCTTCGGCAGATCCCAACCAGACAGTCCAAGCCTTTATCGACCTTTGCCAACGACATGAGCACAACTTTTACAAATTCGTACACGAAGTTCACACACACGATAACGGCCTTTTCACTCAGCTCATGGGCTGGATCGAGGGCATTCTTGAGTTCCTGCGTAAGGGCCCCAAGAATGGAACTCTCAACGTCAACGCATTGTTTGAAGGTGGCGTCAGTGCTGGAGTTTTAGACAAGGAGAAGGCGATCGCAGAGATCAACTCCCTTATCGCATGGCAAGAAGCACGAAAGAAGTGGCACAACGACAAGACACGACAAAAGATGGCGGCCGAGGGACATGCTGGAAACGACCTGATGCCAGCAAGTATGAACTTCAACTCAGCCGACTTTGGGCTTGACAGTGAAGACCTCGAGGACATGGCATACGACGATGGATCTGAAGACGAGGCAGAGGCCGAGCAGGAGGATGAGCTGGATCCCATTGAGGCCGAACGGCGTCGCAGAGCTAAGCGCCAGGATCGCTTGCGACGAAGCGCCGGAGAGCCTGCCAAGCCTCCAGTGGGAGAAGTCCACAAGTTGACCGACAATTTCTTGATTATGCTGCGACAAGTTCTGTCTAATTAATTTTAGCAAGATATCCTTAGTGCTGTTGTATACGGGTTATGATGAAAGAGAAGGATTGTATTAATGCGGATGGTATAAACCCATGATTAGAACGAGGAACATAGGAGTGGGAGTCGGAATAGAAGTTGATACCAGAAGCTGAAGCTATTTGATACACTGAATATATGGAGTTATGGATAATGAGAACGAGATTGTATTGGCTGTGAGGTTTTGGAGGCACGAAAACCGGACATTGAAGACCGGACCCGAAGCCTGTTTCCTCTTCCGGGCCCGGTCTTGACTCTTGACTTGGCAGCCCATGTTCACTTTCTTCAGCCCGTCAGCACATGCCGTCCCATCCAACTCATATCGTAGCGGGGGGAGATGAGGAGCCGAATGGCAAAATGCACATCCGCTTCGGCACGTGATGAGTTCGACTGGAAGGTATTGGCGTCATGGATTTGGTCTGTTACAGGCGACTTCTCCCGATCCTTTGGACGTTGCGACGGGTCAAAGATCGAGAGAGTGGCATTATTAATTGTATTGCAACGTAGAATCAGTCAGTCATGAGGATCAAAAAGAACATTGGCATCCAATTGGACGTTTGGCCACGCGTTTCGGTCCCAAGGAAACTCCATCGTCTACAACGCAGTGTGGTCATTGACTTCCGAGTCGACTATATCTTCAGTGGCTTACAGCGTCTCGACTGTCAAATGTCCCAGTGAATAGCGAATAAGTGTGCTGCTAATAAGCTATTGCTGATTGGTCAGATCAACCGAGGAGCCGAGAGAGTCCGTCCCGGTAGAGCCTCGCGAAGAGCAACAGACCCAGTAAAACATCAAGAGGAATAACTCAATTGGCTGAACCCATTCAATTGATTGAATCCCTCTCTTTCTCCAAAACCAACCTAACCAAACCAGATCCAACAAAAGTCCTGCTCCTCCGCCACCCGAGGATATCGTGAAATCCTACCCTTCGATTCTCCCCGCGGATGCAGTTTGGTCTTGGTCATTGTGACTTCTGTTGATGATGGCTTCTTCTATGGCAATGAGGAAGTTGGCCCTCGGCTCTTCCGTGAGTTCTCCCAGCCTGGCCTTTTGCGATGGCTTCATGAAAAGCTCCAGGTGGATTGACCTTGTGTGGCCATCGCAAGAAGCTTCAACGTCTCGTCAATGCGCTCTGCTAACATCTTCTTAGTTCACAAGGGCCGCTAGGTTCCCTACCCGAGCTTTCTCTACAACCCGACCTGTTTGTACGCTTTTCACCCCGATCAGCCCGCGCGACCTGAGATGCTAACGGATCGTCCGCAGCCCGAGTTATTACTGGAAACGGTCCCCTGCGAGCCAAGGAGGCTTCTCCTTTCGTGAGCAACAAATACGCTGTCATCGTACGTCCACTCGATTACCCACGAATCAAAGACAACCTCAATTGACACTTCTCAGGACCACGAGTACGATGCTCTTGTTGTTGGTGCTGGTGGTGCCGGTCTGCGAGCTGCCTTCGGTCTCGCCGAGGCTGGCTTCAACACTGCCTGTATCTCCAAGCTTTTCCCTACCCGATCTCACACCGTCGCCGCTCAGGGTGGTATCAACGCTGCTCTAGGTAACATGCACGAGGACGACTGGCGATGGCACATGTACGATACCGTCAAGGGTTCCGACTGGCTGGGTGACCAGGACGCTATTCACTACATGACCCGAGAGGCTCCCGCTTCCATCATCGAGCTTGAGAACTACGGATGCCCCTTCTCCCGAACTGAGGATGGCAAGATGTGAGTCTGGACTTTGAGTTCCGCCCCTAGTGCGGTCACTGACCTTGAATAGTTACCAGCGAGCTTTCGGTGGTCAGTCCAAGGAGTACGGAAAGGGTGGCCAGGCCTACCGATGTTGTGCTGCCGCTGACCGAACCGGCCACGCCCTTCTTCACACTCTCTACGGCCAGTCTCTCCGCCACAAGACCAACTACTTCATCGAGTACTTCGCCCTCGACCTGATCATGCAGGATGGTGAGTGCCGCGGTGTCCTCGCCTACAACCAGGAGGACGGCACTCTCCACCGATTCCTTGCCAACCACACCGTTCTCGCCACTGGTGGTTACGGCCGAGCTTACTTCTCCTGCACATCTGCCCACACCTGTACCGGTGACGGTATGGCCATGGTTGCCCGTGCCGGTCTCCCCAACCAGGATCTCGAGTTCGTCCAGTTCCACCCTACCGGTATCTACGGAGCTGGTTGCCTGATCACTGAGGGTTCTCGTGGTGAGGGTGGTTACCTCCTCAACTCTGAGGGTGAGCGATTCATGGAGCGATATGCCCCTACCGCTAAGGATCTTGCTTCTCGTGATGTCGTTTCTCGATCCATGACCATGGAGATCCGTGAGGGCCGTGGTGTCGGTGCTGAGAAGGACCACATCTACCTCCAGCTCAGCCATTTGCCCGCTGAGATTCTTGCCGAGCGTCTGCCCGGTATCTCTGAGACCGCTGGTATCTTCGCTGGTGTCGATGTCCGCAAGCAGCCCATTCCCGTTCTCCCCACCGTCCACTACAACATGGGTGGTATTCCCACACGATACACTGGTGAGGTCCTTACTGTCGACGAGAAGGGTGAGGACAAGGTTGTTCCTGGCCTGTACGCTTGCGGTGAGGCCGCTTGTGTGTCTGTCCACGGTGCTAACCGTCTGGGTGCCAACTCTCTTCTGGATCTTGTTGTCTTCGGTCGTGCCGTTTCGCACACCATCCGTGACAAGTTCAACCCTGGTGATGCCCTGAAGCCCACCGCTGCCGATGCCGCTTCCGAGCACATTGAGACTCTCGACAAGGTCCGAACTGCCGACGGCCCCAAGAGCACCGCCGAGATCCGACTTGCTATGCAGAAGGCTATGCAGACTGAGGTCAGCGTGTTCCGAACCCAGGAGAGCTTGGACGAGGGTGTCCGCAAGATGAAGGAGATTGATGGCATGTACAGCCAGGTTGGCATGAAGGACCGCAGCATGATCTGGAACTCTGATCTTGTTGAGACCCTTGAGCTCCGAAACCTGCTGACGTGCGCGTAAGTTTTATTCTTTCTTATGATGTATGAATCAACACTGACATGACGATAGTATCCAAACCGCCGAGTCTGCTGCCAACCGAAAGGAGTCTCGTGGTGCTCACGCCCGCGAGGATTTCCCCGAGCGTGACGACGAGAAGTGGATGAAGCACACTCTCTCTTTCCAGAAGGAGCCCCACGGCAAGGTCGATCTGTCCTACCGTAAGGTCATCGGCACCACTCTGGACGAGGCCGAGTGCAAGCCCGTGCCGCCTTTCAAGCGTACATACTAAGCTAAACGTTTACGGACACGAGGACGAGGACCAGTACTGGGAAGGAGTTTTTGTTAGCTTGTTGGGAAACTTTGCATGCATGATTCTACGCAGGGCAGCGTCTCCTTTGTAGCAAGATGTGCGATATATATATCCTTTGGGAAAGAGAAGGTGACATAAGTAGCGAGAGGATGGTCTCCTTGGAGTCTTGGGATAGAAGACTCTAGGAGGGGACGTGTATTTGTCGACTTTGTAGTTCAAAAGAAGTTAAGAGACTTAAAAGAAGATTTTCTATGTAATTGATATTCATGTGTCTGTTTCTTGAGTTGTTTCGAATGAGATGAGATGAGTGCAGTTCGTGCATGAAGTGTCCTTCGTTCTCGTCGTTTGGTGGCTGGCGTTCATTGTTCGTGGGTTGTTCTCGGTACAAAGAACAACATACAATGCTGCTCATCAGGAACACTGTTGATACAATAGCAATGCTTCAATATTGCTGCGTGTTCAGGATTCCGTCAATCTATAAAAGCCCTTCTATTACCAGAGAAAGGAATCTCATCTCATCCTCATCCAGAGAAGATTCACAAACCTCACCTCGCTCCCACACTCATCACTACAGTAATCTTTGACACTGCCACTTCATTTCAGCGATTTTACCAATTCCTTACGCCCAGCATGTGTAACCAAGTCATCCGCGACTCTGTCTGTTGGCAGTGTTCTACAGCGCTGGAGCCCTTTGGTAGAATCCGAGCCTGCGCCGACATTGTAGAAAACGGTAAGTTTTGCAAACTCAAGGAAATTCGTATTCAGGGTCCCCCCGACCTGCTCTGTCCTGCTTGTCTGAAGGAGCATAAGGGGGAGAACATGCGTAACGATAAGCAGAAGCTGGACATCAAGGCTTGAGCGGGATGAGTTTTAAAGCTGACAGTCAAGGCTGAACATTGAAATGCCGGGCCTGGAGCCTGGAATATGTAAGTCAAGTAAGTGCGAACGACGAAGGTCTCTTTTTCTTTGGTCAACATGGTGGTATTTCTATCTCGATCTCATTTGTGGTAAGTTTGTAGAGCAAGGAATGAAATGATACTTGATTTGCACTGGAACATCTATCTATGTGAAGCAGACTCTTCGTCGAACAGTAATCTCTCTTCTTCATCCTGAGATGAAACAACAGCCTTGCTTTGTGATGTCTGTGTCGCCCTCTCATAGTACGATATGACAGCTAACAGAATGTGAATGAAACTAGAAACAAGGCCTGTCAGTATCGAGGTCAAGGTGTACTAGGGTGAGAAATTTACACTTTGGCAATACCGAAGCATCCGAGTGTTCGTCTTCCAAGATGGGATTCGTCTTTGGTTGGAGTTGAGTCTGAGATTTGATGGTCGGTAGGACCGAAATAGCCACCAATAACAGAAGAGACTATGAAGGCGACGGAGAGAATGAGATCAAAGTACATATGTATGGATAAACTGAGGCTCTGATGCTTTGTAGTCCATAGCTGTACAATGACTATGGAGCTCCATATCAGAGTGATAACGAGCTGAAGAGAAGCATAAGTAAGGAAAGAGTAGACGCATTAGGGAATGACTTACAAGAGGTCCAAATACAAGGACAGGAGTTATGTCATGGCTTGAACCAGCAGCGAGGACTGAGACGATAATGAGAAGTAGCGCGTCGATAGAGATGGATAGGAGACGAATGTTTAGCTTGACAGTCCATAAAGGTCCTCTTACAGCCGAAGAAGCTCTGTCTTGGGTCATGAGCGGCTGTGGCTGATCGTCTTGTTTCAAAGCTGTCTCGAAGCTATCAGGATACTCTAGTCCCGCCATTGTAAGTGTAGCTGACCCTACCATACAAGAAAGTGAATAAGGAAAGGAAGGAAATACTGTTACATGAGAAATAGAAAAATAGAAGGATCAAACTGTGATACAAGCTGACCGCTAACTTTGTCAAACGGATCCTTCAGCTTAGAATATGGGTATAAGTTTAGAGCCAAGATCCCTGCGTTTGAGCTACCGGACTATGCCTAATGAGGAGTTGATGGAGGCTCAGCTTCCGACAATTTTGTACACGAGTTGGGATGAGTTACCATATGTATGTCAAGTGATATATAGTTCAGCCGAAGTATGTATGTATCTTGATGTTTATGCTATAATAACTACCTATGCAGTTGTTGAGAGGTTGGGATAGAGAATGTGAATCTAGATCTAACCAATCTTAAAATGGTGATTTTATACTGTAAGTGGCTCCAAACTATAATAAACCTTCATTCAACCTTACTTTTGTTCTTTATTTTGTTGCTCGCCACTTTCTTCATCTTCAGTCGGCGTTGCTACAGCCTTTTCTCGCCGAGGATGCCAACCTCCTTTCCAGCCAACCCAGCCATCTTCTCTAGGACCTCTTGCAAGAGAAACCAATATCGACAAACACACAAATGCAACTATCCCAAAGTTAATATAATTCTGTAATAGGAAATTGGTTGTGGAAAAACTTACTGCTCAAGCCGCCACTTCTCTTCCAACCTCCACTGGCGTACAGTCTATTCCCAGCCGCTGTACCAGTCAATTGGCCAGCGAAAGCCAATGCCATATAAGCCGTGTTGACTCGATTGCGAGCTTTGGGGTTAATGCTGAAGATGGCTGCGCGGTTGGATACCTGGGCGGTCTGCATGCCGACGTCTATACCTATAGCTTGGAGAACAGGTCCTGCAACTGTAAAGTTTCCAGTAAATGTTCCTATGATAGCTCCTATCAATGCCAGAATCTGGCCACCGATTGTTGATAGCAGAGGGACGAAATGGTCGATTAATCTTCCAATCAGCGGAATAGCCAATATAGTCGCAAGGGCTGTCAACGAGAAGAGACCAATCTGAAGAGACGTATAGTCGAATGGCGGCGAAGCGAGTAAGAAGGTCAATGTTGTCCAAAACGATGTAAACACAGCCGACAGCGTAAAAGCGATAAGGCACGCTTGTATAAGGACCGGCTCTGTAACCATCATATAAGGAATCGAAGCCAGTGCACGGAAGTAATTGAGACCATCAGGATTCGTAGATGGATAATCCGGCATGAAGCAGAAGAGCACAACACCCATGAGATACTGCAGACCGCAAGCAACCCAGTAGATGTTACGCCAGCTAGTAAAGTTAGTCACAACTCCAGATAGCAATCTCGCCATCAAAAGACCAAGCATCAGTCCTGACGTGACAATGGCCAAAAGAGACGCCTTTTTGTGCGCAGGCGCAAAGTCTCCAACAAGAGGAACCATAAGTTGCGGCGTGACAGTGGTAGCACCGCATAAGAAAGACAAAGCCCGGAAGACGGTGAAGTCATTCGTGACACAAAGTCCTATCCACTGCATTCGTGTTCTGTCAGCAGCTGAAAAGGGTAGTCATGGTCATAAACTCACCATTGTTGCAGTGGCAAAGACCAAACTGACGATGAAAGGTCGTCTTTCGAGGATATCCCCAAGGGGAAGAACAAATATCAGTCCTGCTGCGTATCCTGACTGTAGAAGTGTTGCTACTTGGGAGGATTCTTCGTATGAGACGTTGAATGTTGCGGCTATCTTATTGAGAATTGGCTGATTGTAGTAGAGATTCGCTACTGTAATGCCCGAAGCCTATATTCATCAGTTATGATTCCATTGGAACCAGGTCATCAACTTACCATAGCATATAAAAGACAATGTCCGATAGTCAAAGCTGGTGGCGACTCATCGTTCCATCGACAATTCTTTGGTGTCAAGAATCTTCGAATCCAACTCGACTCATATTTTGAAGATTGAAGGACCACATTGCTGGAGCCTATCTCTTCTGTCGATTCAGCTGAACTCTCAACTTTGGTATCTTCAGCAGAGTCTTGCACGGGGACTGTCTCCTTGATGCTATCATCAGGGACATTTGACCCCTCGGGTCTATTCGAGGACGTCATCGTAGCTCAGCAATCACCGCTGACGGAATAATATTAAGAAGCAACAGTTAGATGGTGATAAGCATGTTTAAATAAATAATACAATATGCAAGTGAGATTTGAGGCGGTCATATAGAGGTTGTCATGATGATGGGAGAAAATTAGTACAGGCCAGTCAAAGTGGATTAATAGTAGACGATCTCCCTAATGGAGTTTCGGAATAGCCAGCTTTGGAGCTACAGCAGATACGGACAGACGGACAGACGGCGATTATTATCTCCCTTGTTTTTTCTCCTATTAATCCATGATGGGGTTAATGCTGTGTAGGGAGCAGTGCAGTTTGCCGGATATAAATGTCCGTAAACCCGGCTTTGAGACCAGAGCCCATTAGTCGCCAAGCTAGGGACACTCATCTATGTTGAAGCTTAATTGAACAGATTGTCTCAGTATCACGACGGTTCACTCTTGTTCTCAAATTACTGGGACAAATAACTCAATTCCCAGTCTAGTCCTTTTCATGAATGACATCTACTATAACGTGACTGGCATATAAGTTTTACCTTATCCATCCCTTCTTTTTGCAATGTTCATCATCCTCAAACCCGCCAACTCCACAAAGAGCTTAACTTAACTCATCTCGGTTTCATAAATCAAACGAAAAAAGGAAACCACTCTGCCGGTAGTTTACCTCTTCTTGCCCTTGCGCTTGTTGGCCTTGCCCTGCGAAGCGCCGGATGCCTTGGCCTTGCTGAGAGAATCAGTGCTCTTGTCGACAAGCTCAAACTCCTCGCCAGCAGAGTCGGTGCTAGGAGTAGGCTGGGGGTCAGAGTCATCCTCATCAGCGTAAACCTCGAACTCGTCCTCAGAAGACTTCTTGGAGAGGAAGCGGCCAGCGGTGATGTTGAACAGGAAGATCGGGGCGCGGAAGACAGCGGTGTCCTTGATGGTAGGCTTGGCGAGCTCGTTGGGCTGTCGCATGTTAGTTTAGTCGTATTTGATGAATTGGTATAACTTACATCAAGGAGGTACTCGTGAACTTCTCCCTCATCATCCTCTCCCTCGAGGTAAACGTCACCAAGAGAGTCAACAACGAGGATCTTGCCGTTCTCAGCAACAACACGCTTGCGAGCACCAGTGGGGCCGACAGTAGGAGTAGGAGTAGCATTTCCAGACTCAGTAGGAGCTTGAGTGCGGCGGACCTTCTTGACGGGCTTAGCACCGTCGCGCTTCTGGGCCTTCTCGTACATGCGACGCTCTCGTCGGTTCTGGGGCAGAGGAGGAGCCTCTTCCTCTTCGCTCTCGGCCGCAGCGGGAGCAGGGGCAGGGGCAGGAGCAGCTTCGACACCGGGGATGTTAAGACCGCCACCCCAAGCAGTTTCACGGGCAAACTTGATGTAGCGCTCGACAAACTCGGTCTGACGCTTCCAGCTCATGTAGAGGGTAAGGTAGTGAATACCGCCACCAACGACGAGGAACAGACCAACCATAACCGTGCCCAGGCCGGGTCGATAGCGGTTGTAGTAGTAATCGGTGCCCTTCCAGAGAGGGAAGCCATTGGAGAGGAAATGGTCGTAACGGTCGCGCTCGGGGCCACGGAGGATGTTGGCAATGAGGGACAGACGAGCCTGAGCCTCGCCAGCCTTCTTGACAGCGGTCTTGATCTCAGCATTGGTAGGAGGCTTGACCTTCTCGCCCTTCTTCTTGTCCTTTCCAGCCTTGGATCGCATTGACTGCCTGACCTTGTCCGGGTGCAGGTTTCGGGTCTGCCTGCGGTAGGCCTTGGTGATGTCGTCGAGCGAAGCAGAGGGAGGCACGCCGAGGATGTCGTAAAAGTTGGCGGCAGGGTCGGTCTCGTACTTTGAGATTTCATCTCTGATGCGGAAGATTTCGCGATCTAAAAGCAGAGCACAAGGTTAGACAAGGCATCACAGACAGAGACAGAAATATGGTAAACTGTACCTTCTTTGCTCCAGGCGCTGGCCAGGGGGCTAAAGAGGGCGAGAAGCCCAACAGAGAAGTACGAGATCTTCATCTTCAACTTGTACTCCTTGTTCGGAGTGATTGAAGAAGAGGAAGAACAGAGAGAAAGTATCCAAAGGGAAAGAGAGAGTATGGGGAAGAAGAAGAAGATGGGAGAAGGAAGGAAGGGAAAAAGTCCAGGGGGTGTAACGGTTCCTGGGCTAGTTAAAGCTGGAGCCGTAAGGTAAGGTAAGATAGCTTGCCTTAAGTTTAGGTAGATCTGGACTTTCTCTCTCTAAATTATCCCTACCTTAGAGGTACGGTACTTTTTTTTTTTAGTGGAGGAGGGGACCTATTGCAGAAGGCCAGCTGTCCAATACTCAATACAAACTATTGCTCTACTGATTGGTACGAACCTACCTACGAAAATGTCAAACGCCTCAATTCTAGGGTTTGTCTAACAAAGAGAAAGTTCAGTCTGGGGTTTGTTCAATTGACCGCTAATTAATTGGTTGGTTAATTGATAGCTGTTTTGGGGGTGGTTGTTTAAGAACAACGAGACCCTTCGAGTTGCACTATTCGGAGCTACCAAGCAGGGGTTTAAAACAGCACTTTAAATGTACTAACCATATGTACCTACAGAAAAGTTACTCGAACTTGACTCAATTGATAAATTCCAACACCAAATAATCAATCTTTGTCGTCGGATTTAACCAGATCTACTTGATACTGTGACCTTTGCTGTAGATGTCGCTCAAAAAATGCCCTCTGACGAGCAAGGCCATACTTCTCTGAACCACAGCAATGTCCGCCACCAGGAATAAACAGAAACTCATAGTTCTTACCGGCTTTGTTCAACGCATTTACCATTTGAAATGTTGAAGACGGATCAACATTGTCGTCGAGATCCCCAACGATCAACATTAACGGCCCCTTGAGATTGGAAGCATGTGTGATGTTGGATGACTTCTCATATGCTTCGTCAACCGGATATCCCATCCACAGCTCATTCCACCATATCTTATCCATACGATTATCGTGGCATCCCGAGTCTGCTATGCCCGCTTTGAAGAAATCGCCATGATGAAGCATTGCTGCCACGGTACTCTGACCTCCTGCTGAACCACCCATGATTCCTACGCGGGACAAATCCATCCATGGTCGAGTTGATGCAGCGCTCTTTAACCAGGCAATATGGTCTGGGAGACCCGCGTCGTGAATATTCTTGTAGCAGACATCGTGGAAACGCTTGCCGCGCCAGTTTGTGCCCATTCCATCAATCTCTACTAAGATGTAGCCTTTATCTGCCCATTGTCGTTGATGCGAAAAAGGCAAGAAGTTGTTGGCAACGTGAAAGTCGTGTGGTCCAGCATAGATGTAGTCAATAACGGGATATTTCTTGGTACTGTCGAAGTCTGCTGGTCGAATGATGTTACCGTATATAAGGGTCTCACCATCACGGCCAGTAGCAACGAATCTCTCTGGTGAAGACCACCCTTCCTTTTCCAAGTCTTTCAGGTTCCCTTTCTCAAGCTCCATTATCTGATCTCCCGACTCGCCATCACGAAGGACTGTAGTAGGCGGAAAGTCGACCCTCGACCAAGTGTCTACCAGGTAGCGCTTATCGGGAGAGAATGACCAAGAATGAGTTCCATTTCCCTCTGTGAGATTCTTGAAATCCGACCCATTGAAGTTGACTTGCACTAGATGTGCATAATACGGGTCTTGACCGTCCTTTAGTCCATAGGCCAGAAACCATATTCGACGAGTGGCTTCATCTATAGACTCAATAGAATGAACCATCCATGGTCCCTTTGTAATCTGGGTTTTGACAGTACCGGTAGCTATGTCAATGAGGTAGAGATGATTGTATCCATCCCGCTCACTCGACCACAGAAGTTCATCAGAGTCTTCGAGGAATTTGTAGTATGACTTTGTGTAGTCGACGAAAGTGTCACTCGTCTCCTCAACGATCGTTCTGACCTTCCCCTCAGTGTTGATACCGATTACTCTAACATGCTGATGACCGCGCTCATTGAAGTAGAAGAAATACTCTTTGCTGTCTTTGTTCCACCTAATGTTTCTCATCTCGTAAGGGTTTTTGAACAGTGCATCCTCTGTTGGTATCTCACATTGGCTCTTGAGATCAAAGAGGCGAGGCCTGTCAACTCCCACACGGTCTCCTGGCTTGAGGTATTCCTTCGTATGTAGCTTTGGCTCGATCTGATCCTCTGGGGATGATTCCACAAGGTTGATTTTGTGGTCTTGTGCTGGAGTATGTTGCCACGCAATTACGCACTGCCTGTCTGGCGACACGTACATACGGCCGTTTTCAAAACGATTCTTCTCGCTACCGTCTTTGGACAATTGAACATCTTGACCATTGGGGTCTTTGTACCAAAGGTTGAAGTCTTTGACATGGCAAGTATCGTTCTCAACTTCAGCAGGGCCCTCAACCTTAGACTTTCCGTCACCGCTTGGCGGGGATGCTTCCGGGATAGAATCACTGAGATGCTCGATGATGGCAACATGGTTTCCCGCATCAGGCGCAGCATAAACTGCCCTGAATTTCTCGTCAGATTGGTCTACCAGCCGCCAAACATGGCCCGAGTAAGTCATCTGTCGCTTCGTCTTTCCATTGTTGATTTTCATGTAGTACATAGGCTTTCCATTGTAGTCTACCCAGTACACCTTGAGTATTTTCCCAGTGCGATTCAGGAAATCGACGGTGACTGTGCCTCCGGCATCATTGTGAGGAGAGGGAACTTCTTCCTTGAGCAGAAACTCTGGCTCAGTTACAAAATTACCTTCCCACTCTTCAAGTTTGTTGTCTGGTCCGAACTGCCATTTGCGATTGTCAAAGCGGAATCGGACACATGATTCCTCGGGTACAGGTTCGATCCAAGTCAGAGACAAGGCTTGGTCGTCAACTTCCTCACTTGTCTTTTGCCGCAAGACCTCAGCGAGTAGCTTGTGATCAAATGCTAGCTCACGGCGTTTTTGAACCGCGTCAACGAGGAAGAACTGATGTTTGCCTGTCTCAGGGCTTTGTTTATACCAAAATGCGTTCCCGCTTGGTAGCCAGCGAGGCGTAACAGTCGTCGACTGGATGCATCTTTCTGCTAACTTATCCATAGTCTGTGTACCGAGTAGAGGGTTAGCAAACAGAGAAAGAGATTGGGATCAAGATCAGCCATCTTGAGGGTTTGTCGTGCTGGTGCCTAATGTGAGGCACAGAGTCATCATCGATCAGCTGAGCCAGGTGCATGCAAGTAGCCGCATTAGTAGTTAATTTTCGAGCATCCAGCAAGAAAAAGGTTAGTATGCAATGAAGTGTGATATAGTATAGTATAGATGTTGGAAGAACAGGGACAGACTCGTCTCCAGTATCCAAGATTCGAGGGTGTAAGTTGTGTGTCAGTGCGTAGTGGGAAGGTGGGATGTTGGATGGTGGGGGCGGGGTAGGGTATATAAGTTGCAATTGTAACAATCATTTTCACCAAGAAAAGCAGCTTGGCGCAGTGGAAGCGCGGTATGTTTACTCACACTCACTGAGTTAAAAATTCGTACTAACTCTCCATAGCCGGGCTCATAACCCGGAGGTCACTGGATCGAAACCAGTAGCTGCTATGTTACAATCTTTTTTTGACACTTTTTGTACCAGTTACTTACTTCGATGTTTTCTCCTGTTATTTTTTTATGCTTCTAAAACAACAGTGTGTGTCTAGAAGTTTGGCATACATCTATGCCATTTATAACAGCGCTCATCTCTATTATATCGAGTGCTCTGGGCTGATCTTCTATTAGTTCGGCTGGTAAGAGGACGATATGAGTTCACATTTTGGATATAACTGATCTCAAACCGTGTAACTCAGCATTTCTCTCATTAACTAGGACTAGGTCTTTCCGAATGTCCTTCTTCTCCTCCCGATGCTTCAAGATCTGACTCATCTGGATAGCCTGGCAGGGCTTGGGACATAAGATCAACGTAGCCTAAGTGCTGGTCGAAGCTGGCATAATATGACCAAGTTGTTTCGTCTCTTATGCTTTTGAGGCAATCCTCCTGATGCCTGGTCCTATCCCCGACTAAACCTGCATCACTGGAACCTGGGAACTGAGAACTGGAGCAAAGGGAGCATTGGGGTATCAACAGCTAAACTATCAAAAGCATAAACCTAGCAAAGTCGTGTGCACTATCTTGTGCGAAACCCATATGCTGTGCACTCCTCATTTCACATAGCTCAAAGCTCAGTTTCCAGATATCCTCCCTCCAGCTCAATCACCTGCCTCCTGAGGGCGCTGAGAGCTTCCAAAACTTGCCCCGAGCACAGCTTCGCTCAACATATCGGCTGTTTTACTTTTTGCGAAGAGTCATAGAACGCTCGCGCCTGCTATTTCCACCTCGTCGGCGCTTGGGAGTACGATCGACGTACTCATCATCGCTATCGGCTATATTGATGACAGTAGGTGCATCGCTGAATACCTCGGGTGGATCTTCCATCGGAACGTCAGTGTCGACTTGATCTTTTTCTTTCGGTTCTGTCTTCGTAGTTTCGAAATCGACGTTTTGCGATGCAATGCATTGGTTCTTATACCATACCGCGAACTCAAGACACGATCCATCACTGATCATGCGAAGATCATAGTTGATGCAGCGGAATGTCTTGCCGTCTTCGCTGATGTTCTTGGGCAGTTTGGCCCATATCTCGTAATCCAAAGGGGCAGTGATCGTGCACAGTGTCCTGACTGACTGATCCTTCCGATTCGGGGGTTCGGCGGAGTCGGAAATCACGATGTCTATTTGAAGACCCTGCTCTACGCTGAGTAGAGCCTGGTAGCAAGAGAAGGAAACTGGCGCGTAGGTAGACACCGGATCGCCCTAAACATTCAGTCAGTTACTTATACCAAAGTTACTGGAATGGAAACTGACTTACGATCCCAACGTACCACTCGGTTTGGTCAACGGCAATGTAGGCTTTGTCGTAAATGCAATACTCACGATCCCGTATATCATGCTTGTTCGCGTCGAACGGGCAGTCGTTAAAAACAGTGCCGTAATTATGACGCGAGATTCTAGAGGTTACCACGGCAGTGATTGAGTCATTCAATCCAGTGCGTGATAGACCGTGGAGAACGGCACCTCGAAGAACAGCAGCCCACCTGTGGAATGATCAGTCAATGAGCTATCGCTATAGTTCAAGCTATACATACGGGTTTTCTCCTCTCTTCTGGAGGATATCCGACTTCTTGCCGAAAGTATCTTTGAGGCATTCATACAAGTACTTGGACCTGCCGAAGCCTCCAACCAAGAAAATGAACTGAATTGTCAGCATATGTAACCGTTTTGATGGAGCGGCTTACATTTGGCGATTTCTGGTATTCCTCCTCAACTTGTCGGATTTGGGTAGCTACCAATGCCTTGATCTCTTTAACCACCGGCTCATACACCTCTTCACGAATTGCTTTTCTACCAACAGCATTAGTCCAAAAACGAGTCCCGATATAGTGTCAGTGATACTCACGCTTGAATAGTGAAAGAATCAGGAAAGAACTGCTTGTCGACATTTCCTTTGTAGAGCAAGTCCATGCTGTATGCCGTGCTATCCTTGCAGAGCGATGCCTTGATGCCGGCCTCCCAATCATGCTTCATGATCTTGTGAATTGCCTGGAGTTCCAGATTTCTTACTATTTCCCGAGGGATGGTTCGTTTGAGAAGTCCGCGGAACTTCTCATCGAGGAATATGCCACCACAGAGACCGCCTTAAAGCGTTAGCATACTACTTCGAAACCTTGATATTGGAGCAACACTTACCGTCCCCCTTGACGCTCTCACTCACAGTAAAGGGGTTCAGTTTCTCGATCTTGTAGGTAATGATGTCCTACACATTAGTGAGAAGGTTAGTAAAGGTTATGAAAGGCTAGGAAGGGTAACGGGGACTTACGACAGTACCACCGCCCGCATCGCAGATGACAAAGTGGTCACCAACCTATAGAGATGGGTCAGCATCCAGTTCTAAACGAAGGTGAGAAGATTGATGTCTTACGTTGAGCTTGTATCGACCAGCATTCTCCTTCAAACAAGTCAATGCAGCGGCCTCGGGTTCAGAGATGAACCCATACGTCGTATTCCCCTCTTTGGTCACATCAAACAGACCAGCGATCTTCATAGCCTCGACCATCCGTATCCGAACATAGTGAGGCCAGATAGCGGGCAGAGTGATGACAAAATGAACGCGATAGATGTCTGTACACCGTTCCCCCTCCGCTCGTGAGATCTGAGGGAAGCTGTGCTTCCAAACCTGGCGGAGATAGTCTCCAAAGATTTGAACAGGCGTCTTGCCCAACTTATGCATCAGTTCCCGAGCTTCTTTGACTTGAGAGTTCGTTCGCACGTTGGCGGGAAGGTCTTTTTCGTTGACGAGAAGGAGCTTGAACCAGCGCAGAACACCTTCTTTGAGGGGTGTCGTGTAGCCCCAGGTGGGATCCTCATCGTCGGAAGGAGGATAGAAGATGCTAGACGGTGCCTTGGCAGTATCTCGATGATAGTTTCTAGCTGTCGGCCAATCTGTGACGGTCTGGATAGACTCTCCCAGTTTGCTCGAGACTTTCCAGGCGACGCCAGAGTACCTGTAAACAGAAAATTGTAAGACGAGTGGGAGAGGGTATGAGTTGAGAGAAGTATCTTACGTTGTACCGAAGTCGATGGCGATCACCAAAGTTGGCGGTCCTTCCCCTTTGGTGGCCATCTCTGCTTAACTAACGATGGTGGTGAGAAGTGGCTTTGGTGTTTTCGCGCTCGACGGAAGAGAAGTTGTGCAGTGAGGGGTAAGCATTTTTAAGCCAGGTCTCTCTGTGTTCCAGGCAACAATAGAATAAGCTGTTGCCATTGTTGACAATGCTTCGGCTTCTCGAGCTCCTATTGTTAGGCTGCCAGGTGGGTAACAGAAGAACCATTCTCTAAGGTCAGGGGCATCAAAAGAAAGTAGCCTAGGCATCAATCTAACATGGCATAAAGTAACCATATCATTTCGTCTCTTATGCTCTCAGCGGTTGATTCTTCTGATAACCTGACGACCGCTGACGAGTTTGCGTTCCATGGTGTTCGTTCGCTGGTGCCTCACAATTGCAACTGAACTCCAATGAATAGAATAATCGGGCAGGTGAAAAGCTCCCGTCTGGATCTGTTTGTATCATGTTGCATAGTTTGAAAAGTTCCATTGCTAAGCATCGGGCAACTGTCTATATGACACGATTAGTATCTCATTCTCATTGCCCCTTAACCATAATTTCATCATCGAGGTGACGAAGGTCATGACTTGCAAAATATGAGACCTTCATACTTAGAAGGTGCGTGGAAGAGGATACAAGTCCACTAATTCCAATAAGTCCTCGGATGTCATAATGGATATTTGCTGTGTTGGCAAGAACAGCTGCTTGCCAGTGCTTGCTAATGACAAGGCAGGTGCGAACAAACACACGCTGCTGCCCAGATTCACTAGGCTGCTTCTGCCTCTCACTTTTTCTGCGTTATGCTTATCTAATCTTCGTTCTAATGTCTAATCCGCTCTCTAGAGTTTCTTCTCAAATCTCTCTGCTCCCATGGCGTCAAATCGCTTACAAAGACATCGTGCTCCCAAGTCACTTATTGACTACACAATAATCTTCTCTGTCCCTGGGGAATCCTGTGCCTAATACTATTACTATTGGGATTATCGATAGCTAGGCATCTCTTCGACATCCATTTTCGGGGGCTATGACCAATACTGAGCAGACCAACGCGGAGTTACAACACTACGGGGCGGACGTTGGATTAGCTTCAACTCCTCTCAAAGTACATCACAGTGTTTTCTTTGTCGACTGCTTATTCTTCAAATGTATCGAAGAAGGATGAAAGACGGTGGTTTGACTAACAGCAAGTGCATAACGTGGTTTCCCTAGATAGAACCCACAGCTGCGGCCTCGCAATATGGTCATTTGTGTATAGACAATATGCAGCATCGCCTCTACCGGTTCACTACAATGGGAAGCATAAGTGTAATCAAACTCAACATCGATTGTACATCAACTGATCGATCTCTGCGATGGTAGTCAGCCTCACTAAACACTGCTAAGTCTTCGTCCCATCATGACCGACTAACAAGCGGCCACTACTTGGCCAAATCACATCTGAACTATTGTAGTCAGTGACTAGACTCTCCTTCATAGAGATGACAGGACTTGGCAAGCAGTCATCTGTGTCTATAACCAAGTTAGTTCTTCATCCCAGCTTCTGCAAAAGCTTCCTTCCAAGAGCATAAGCCAAAAAGCGAACACAAAGTTCATCGCAATGGTCAACGGCATATATATCTGCTACAAGCCCAAGCTTTAAGCAACTCGTATAGTGTTGGTGTTAGTAGATGGTGGACTTGCACAGCCCAACGAACCTGAAACTCGATCCCGCACATCTATTTTTATGCCTTATATCCAAGATCTAACGGGTTCTTTCTTTCACTATTCCGTTTCACGATGCTCTACGCTCGGATCCGAAGGATGAAACTTCACCATCTTATCGGGGATATCGCTGTCACGGGAGCAAGTACCACGAGGGAGGCAGCTGTACTGTACTTGTTAACTTGTAACAGCTAAGATAATGTTGGTAAGCTTGAGCACGTGCCAACACGAGCTGATGTGGTAAAAAAGAAAAGTTGGAAATAGCTTCTCATCACGAGTCAGGGACCCTGAAGAGCGAACCAACCAACTGATTCTCATCCGACAGGACCCTAGACCCTGATGTTTATCATTCCTTCCGATCCTGAACATCTTCATGTATATGATATACGTACATTGTTTGTTTGTACGCGCAACTTTTAATATATCTTCAGCAACAAACACAAACGGTCACACTCCACTGCAGCCACCGCAAGTACCAGCTCACAGATGTTTTAGCACAACAGACTAAACATTCAAGAAGAGCAATTTGGATCGCCGATCGCTGAGTTGTGCAATTTCCCCCAGACGAGGATCACCAACTTAGTAGACTACGCAATCTTCCGCTACAGAGTAGAGGAAGATCTGGTGCGAGTATCTCACAGTGCAGGTGGTCTAGGAAGATAAGTTTCAGGGTCCAAGTAGCCAAGTCGCCAAGATCTACAGCCATTGATGGTCAATTGTAATATTACAGCGTCAATCTCTATTCCTCGAGTGCAACTACAACTCCAGTATTCTGAAACGGTTGCATTGGTCTTTTGACCGCTTCCATAGCGTTGTGACTGTGACTGTATTCCCTTTCTAGACCCGATCAAAGTCAAGCGCCTTGGCCGTCTATAGTCCAACGTCTTGAACTCCCGTGGCACGAGTTTTTCTGTTTTTTTCTCTCATAATCCCCAGCCACAAGTTCAGTACCTCATCTTCATGCAAGGCACTTGCCTTCTAATGGTCCAAGCCCGAAATTGAGGGCAAACAAGCGAAGAGTACTCTGTACAGTAGAGCACTTTTTTAGCTCCAATCCCCACGGGTCGAGGCAAGGATCTGATCACATCACGCAACTTGTTACTTTACAGTGGAATATTCATTTGGGTCGAATGTCCTGAGACACTGACGCTGTCTGACACGAGCTGTGTCTGTCACAGAGTGATTTACCGTAAGCTCTTAGAGGCGAGCTAGTATCGCAGCTAGACAGAGCAAGTGGATGAGACTAGACGTTCTAATGGAAGCTCATCAATTAAGAGTCCACTTGATGAATGAATCTTGAAAAGACGGTCAATTGAATCAGTAAGTACTTTTCTTCTGCAAAAGACATGCGAGAAATATGTGCAGGAATCATGCGATATGCAGTGCAGTTCTTTCTTTTTCGCACGTGCATTACAGAGAAACGTCCCGTTAAAAAACAAAAAAGGTAGCATTAGAAAAAGTAAATCAAAGACATCATACAGTTACATTCAAACCCGTACAGTATCTGAAAGCCAAGACCTCTATCCGCACCGATCCACAAGTAATGTAATCCCGTTGAGTGGAGTTACCCTGTGTTTCCCCTGAGTTCCTGTACAGAAGAGCGCTTAACTTGACTCAGGAAACGGTGGAATATATTTAATTAATGAATAGCACTAGTCGATGATAAATGACAACACTGTACAGTACATGCACGGAATCACAATCCTACCGTTTCTGTGCCGTATCTCACTTGCTAGGGTGATTGTATTTTCAAGGGGTAGATCTCAATCAAAAAAAGACTTATGAATTTCCTCATTGGAGTTGGACTAGACTTAACAAGGATCATCGTCCCACGTGCTCAGGGGATCTTTCACCACAATGTACCTCTTATCAACTCACTATTCATGGCAACTTGTCACTGACATATCGCTAAGTCTTTAACATTCGAGAAGCGAATTAACGATGACATCGTCAGTCAATGCGATTATTCTTCTGTCCTTCTAGAAGTCGCCTCGTCTCGAATCTTTCCGAGATTACCTAGACTTACTATTGAGAGGACCTATGTAGGTACACGTACAGTAGTAACGAGTAACGCGCCGGCATATTTAATTGTCCGTGACTTTGACAGTGACCAGCCCATTCAAATTTCCCACATACCCAATCCGGCAAGTACATCTCCTCTACATCAGATCTGCCCTGTTGATAGCGCGAATCATATGTACTTCCCCAGTATACATCTCACTTATACCCTTGTCTTGATCAGATATGGTTCATCCTCATCACCGCAACAACAAAAGCAAAAAGGGAACAGGAACCAGGGGGAGCTTTCGATAGTCTGTCTGTCTATAGTAACTTTGTAACCACCACCGTTGAACTACACTACCATCAATCCAATTCCGGTCTGTTGGGGTTGAAAAGGCGGGCAGCAGCATAAACGCAAACAGTTCTAGAAAACAATAGTTAGCTCATTCAATACCCTTAGTTTTTTAGTTTTTAGCCTTGACAGCCTGGATCATGCTTGATGCTGTCGGTGGCTGAAAAGTTCAACCCCAGATTCAGGTACTTGTACCGGAGGCGCCGAACTAAAGCAACCACTTCACCGCATCTGTTAGTGTAACATCAGACATGGATGCAAACATTCAACTCAACTCACCAAGATCCAACGTAGTATCAGAGAATAGCCGAGTCCGAAAACATCACACAAGACAAGCAAAGTAGACAAAAAGAATTGAAGAATTTTGTAGATACTGTTGATCCATTCGTAGTATTGATTGATTGATGTTATGCATTCCCATTGACCGTCTTTTTTCGCGGTTGGGTTCATTAACAATTTATCCTATCTGACAAAGATCCTTCTTCCTCCTCCTCCAAAAGACCTGTCCAAGGTCCTCCGTCCACGCTTGCAAAGCGTATATGTGTGTATATGTAATCCCATGTATTTAAATCCCAAAAACGCCGCTTGCTCAGTTCGAGTGGTGAGTGAATAGTACAACGCCGGTATCTTTTCTTGTCCAGCAGAATATGTTATGTTCCATGAGTACGCCAGGTGCCCTTTGCCCTATGACCGTTTTCGGTCGGTCGAATACAGAAGATAGTAAAGACAAAGGAGAAGTATTAGAGGCGTCTAGCACCCGTTATCCGTTTAGTTGCCCAGTCATAATTCGTAAAAAGTACACAAAAAAGTCAAGTGTTGGTGGGTGTGTATTTGTTTAAACCTTGACGCTTCGTCGTCGTGCGGCTGCCGCCAATCCCTGCCTCAAACGGCTGCGAGTGCTGTTGGGCGTCATTGGCGATTGGGGTTCCGTAGACATAGGTGACATGGGCGACATTGGGGCTGAGGACATTCTCCTTTGGGCGAACTCGTGGTATGTAGGTGCCTTTTGGAGGATAGGCTTGGGGGCCTTGTCATCCGCATCGGTACCTGACTCTTCTTGAACCTGCTCCATTGGCAGGGTAGGTGTGAAGAGAGAAAGGTTGTCCTTGGATTGACTGGCGAAATGTGTGTTGAGCGAAGGTCGGCTTCGCTTCTTAACCAAGCTCAGTGTGCGCTTGAAGACACCAGGTGACTTTGGTGTCTTTGGTCTCTCAGTGGACTCTTCCTTGGTTTCAGGCTCAGGCTTAGTCGCGAAGGGGTCAATGCTGAGAAAGTCTGGTCTTTGCTTCTCGAGGCGGCCAGTGCCCATGCTGCTAGTTCGTGGAGGGTGAAGAACAGATCCAGAAGAGGTAGTGCAGAAAGACATGCGGCGGTCGAGAACGGGGAGTGTAACTGGGAGAGTTGCCGTTCTGCGTAGACAACTGGGAGGTCGGGATGAGACAGACATTCTTGATGAAGGTCGAGAAGAAGCTTCGCTGATGAGGCTGGGGGAGACTGATCGACGGGGAAGATCGATCACTGAAGGCTTTCCGGCGTAGACGACCGAGACCACCTTGGCAGTGTCCTCGCGGCTGCCTCTTCGGTCTGAAGCCAGGGACTCATCGCTGCCAGAGTCGGTCTCGAAGTCGGAAAAGTCATCGGCGGAAGAAGAAGCATCTTCCTCGGAAGAAAGGTAAACATCATGAGGAGTAGAGAAAGGAGCTTGACCTTCGGGGGTCAGCTTGTGAGTGAGGAGACCGTCCAAGCATCTTGAAGCTCGGAGGGAGCTCTTGGCGGGAAGAGCAGGAGCAGAGGCGAGTTGTCGCTGTGTAGGCATCATGGTTGTGGGAGTGTTTTCGCGAGAAGATTCGTCGGCATCGGCAGAGGGAGAATAGATAGGAGGCTCGACGGATAATGAATCTATTTGAGGTCGAGACTGTGATTGTCGCTGAGCGAGAGAAGTATCAAGTTTTGGTGCGTCAAGCTCCCTTTGCGGTAGTTGTTGCGTCACCGTGAGAGACATTGTCGATATAGTTGTGACGTTTTATTGAATTCCCTGGACCCTTTGAAGAGGGCGGGGTATAGAAGGAGAGAGGGAAACCCGGAGCCGTGAATAGAATGTCGTCAGGTGGGTTGTTAGTGATTCTATCGTGGGTGTCGATGGCGGTCTTGAGAGTGGCCGGCAGCAAACAGGTGAAACAATGGATCCAAGACACAAAGCAACAAAAGAGACGAAAGCGGAAGGAATGTCTTGAACGGTCAAGACTGGGGAGAGTGAGATGAGATGAGATGATATGGATCAATCAATAATTGAGGTTGAGTTACAGAGGGAGGAGGAACAATTCAATAAGAGGCTGGGGGGGAGCAGGTAGGATTAATACCATCGAGGTCTCTCGAGTCCCTGAGGACTGAAAGTAGGATGGGCGCTCACACTCCAGAGCGCAGCACAAGGTTCAGCCCAAGCCAAGGTCCCTTCCCAGTGAAGTATCCACTGGAGCCACCTTCTGGTACGAGAATGACCGTGTGGATAGTGTAGTCGACAAACACTGTGTACTTGACGAGGCAGGGGCGCTTATGGTGGCAGGGGTCTGAGGACATAGCGCAGGCATCGCAGGCATCGCAGGCATTGCAGGGCATGTGGACAGGGGATCTGGTCTTGGCCTCTCCATAAAATGATGGATTCTTTGGTCCGTAGAAAAGTCGTTGGAAGGAGAGAAACGAGGCCATAGCATTTGACGATAATTTTTAAGCGATGGAAGTAGAATTTACGCGATAGAAGATGAACTGATTGTCCACCCAGCTACTGTAGTACAGCCACGCAGTTGAAAGGTGTAATTGTGGGCGTTCTTCTTCTCAGGCACATAAAACTAAACTGCCACGAGATGTGCTGTCCATAGATGTGACGTTCCAGATATTCAACCACTCACAGTTAAACATGACAGCCCAGACAGACCTCCACCACGAGATGGATATTGAGAGCCCGTGTGAGCCACCTGAGTCTTGGCGTGCCGGGACCCAAGACGGGCTCTTTTTCACCCTCAACATGAGCCGTTTCAAATTCAATACTCAGCGACAACCAACGAATCTCTCTATAGCAGCTCTCGGTAATCAGTTAATCAGAGACGTCGGCAGCTTCAGATCCCGATTAATATGTTTTCGGGTCTTGCATTTTGTGTTTTGTTTGCGGATTACATACAACCATGATCTACAAATATGACGAATTATCAGAAACAGGTACATAGAAACAGGTTAATTGAAGATGGATAATCACAACCAAACAATTCATGTTCCATAATTAGTTTTATCTTGTCTCTGTTCTTTTATCATTCTACTGTGCTGTATGTTCCCTATGACTATATGGTGCATGCGATCATCAAACCCAGCCTCTGGTATTCCTCGTGGTCTTTACTTCTGACTGGATCAATAGCTATTGGCGTCGTCACCAGACAACGTGGACATGAATGACCAGCCACTTTGACTATATCATTTCCACCCACTGACTGTCATTAGATATGTCAAACATTCTGTAGTCATCTTGAAGATCTAGGTACCAAGGCCAAGCCAGATAGATCTCATATGGTCCAGGTTAATGTTAACGTCAATGTTAATGTCAAGGTCAGGCTTCCAAAATCAACCAAAGCTTTCTTGACATCATCCCCCTGTCTCTCCAATGTGGTGAGGCTTGCAGGATACAGGTTAGTTAAGCAGAACCTGCATCCTACCTACATCCTGCATGCACTAGAATACAGTAGTCAACATGTCGTGATTGGGCATCTTTTGGGTTGCCAGCACGTTAATGTGTACTACCAAGAAAAAGAGTCAGTCAGAGTCAGACCAAAAAAGATTCCGAAAATTCTGTCGACACCGCTTTCTTGCTTAGAACCGTTTTTATGATCTGCACAAGGCCACAGAGTAAAAAAGAAACCTTGAGCATCTACCCTGCTCCGGAGCCAACGTCTGTATTCGGGCGCCACAGCCTCAGGGTAGCGTACGGATACAAGAGATGAATCTCGGGTAGGGGGAGATTTGACAGTCTAGGGGTCTTGTGTCAGAAGTTTGACTTTACTTTGCCGCCCGCTGAATATTGTTTGAGAAATGGCTGAACTAAAGGGTCGCCCAGCTTATCAGTCAAGTACTAAAATAAAATAAAATAAACGCTGCCAGTTTGTGGTGATGATTTTGTGGTGTTTTCAGCTACCTTTGGTCTAGTGTGTATGAGATGGATGGGATGTGATACGCGAAAACGAGGTCGCAGAGCTCAAGACCATCACATCCAAGACTCAGACTCAGCGTCAAACAGCTCCACAGTCCACACCCTTCAAGTCGAGTTTTGAGACACATCACCACTTCAAATCAAGTTTGCTGTATAACCCAAGAGACAAAAGTACAGGACAGTGTACAGAGCCTTATCAATCGCGGAATGTTCACGCTGAACGGGTCCCCTTAAAGTAGGTGCTTTAGCAATTAGACGCCAGCCTCTTGATGGTATCGTTTAGTCTGATCTCAACCCTTTCACGGTATGGACTGTCGTGCCGTCCCTGTTTAGACTGAACTAGAGGCAGTCAAGGCGAGGCTCTTTTCTACCTTGCCAACTCAGCAAGCGGATCTCCCATGTACTGTAGTGTAACTTTACTGCAGGCACAGGCACATACAGAGATTTATGTATGATATGCCTCAATCCAGATCAAGTCAGGTACTGTACTGTGTAGACCATTACTACTCTCTTGGTTGAGATGCAGGAACTTGACAACACACGATCAGTAGAGGCTGTAGAATACAGACCAGAGATTGGGTAGAGTCTATCGTTGATGAAGCGCCCTCGTCCAACTCAAACCGAGTCCCTCTCCCACAACTGGTCCCCATAGTCCCGCTAACATCGATGATCGGCCATTGTCCATCGAACCAGTTGGACAGCATCTGACCAATCACATCTTATACTATCCAATACTTTTCGACACCCACTTCTGTCGTCTTTTTTTTCTACTGCAGACCGACATTTGCATCGGACAAAGTAGGTACAGGTACGGATACAGACTCACGGATACTAGTATACTACTCTACATTCTTTAATCCCATCGGCAATCTATCATAGCTTGTTGAAAGAACTGTGAGTAAGTAGGCGAACACGAATTGGACATGTCATTTTTCGGACTTATTCTCAATCCCTTGAACCATGTATACTCAAATGAACCGTGTGCGCCTTTTGACAAACTTCATTTGAAGATACAATAAAACTCCCTTGTCCATCCCTTTGACATGGGAATCTACAGGACACAGCCGTTCATTCCTCTATTTTCGCCCTTCACCCTTTATAGACTTGAACAGACAGGCTCTCTCTCTCTTTTCGTTCAAGTCTCGAACCCCTCGATTTCATTCTTTCCTCCCCCCTTGTTCTTCTGAGTCTCAGGTTGGTCGGCAAGCACGCCAAGAAAAGCCAGGGTCCAACTCCAAGGGTAGGGTCCAGACAAGAGGCGCAGTTCTCATTGGATGGTTTAAGTGTCGCAGGTTGGTCTAGGATGGGGATGCTAGAATGGTGATGGACACGGAGAATCTTATTCCAGTATCAAATTCTGCACACCTGACTTTCCTGTCATAATTACTCGCTCATCTCATCTTTCGATAAGGTCTGGAAGGATAACAGTACGGATACATGCCCAGGCCATGAACACAGTGGAACGTATGTGCCGTGCTACATGGACGGAATCGTACTGGTTCGGCCGCATTCGTGATAAACGTCAAACCGTGACATTTCTTTCCGAGATGAGATGGTCAAGATGGTCACTTTGCTCCGCTCTTGCAGTGCAGCCTCATACCATTTGGCATCATGTCATGTCACATCATGATTGTAGCTCATTGATATGAGCGCGGCTTTGCGTCGCCACTAGAAGGGATCTACAGGGCGGGTTCTAGATAGTCGAGGCAACTCATGATGTTCAGATACCGACTGTACTGAATGCGTCAATTTACAATGAACTGGAATGTCTCAGCAAATAGGCTAGACAGACAAACCAACCATTGTCTAGATCCCTTCACTTTAATTCCAGTGTATCCATATGACTATTAGCTAAACTGATGCTAACATAGAGACTAAAGGTTGAACCCTTAATTTTTTGGTGTTGAAGATTTTCGCATATGGACATGGATTGATCATTGATCAAGACTCAATGACGCCATGGCTTTGGCCTTGCAGAAGCGAAGCGAGCAAAGCAAAGAGCTTTCCCCAGGTCCATATATTTGACTCTGAGTGTACGCCACACTAGCTACCCTACACGAGCCACACGCACCGCCACAACCCACAGTCTGCTTCCTGCAACGTCACAGTGGACCTCCAGCACTCAGCTCCAGCCACTTCCTTCTGCAGCAGATCTAACTAAACCGTTAAGAGATTAGTTTCATCTGATCTTAGCCGTGTTGGAGTCTAAATTTGGCTCTGTTCTAAGCAGCCCAGCCAGCCATCCTTTTTTAGAACCATAATTCTGTTAGTGATTATGGATCTCTACCAAAAGACTTTTTCAACAGTGAAGGAAGATACTGTGAATACAAAGCTAAGCACACCACAGCATAGCCGTGCTAAGAAATCCGTATACGAACGGCATCTCGTGATGTTGGTATCCGCTCCCTTGCGGAGCTGACACTGATTGTCTCTCAACCTCCTCTTTAGACTCTAAATTCTCGGTACTCGGTACTAAAAGTCTGGATGATCTGATCTAATACTGTCAGTATTTAGAACCAGGTCAATAGGATAAACAACTATTCCTCCACGTTCCAGCCTTGTCCGGGCCGAGGAAATGAAACCAGACCCAACAAAAACCCAGTCCGATTGACATGAATAGAATTCCTCCCTATCAATAAACCATCTGCACTATGAGAGGTTGCGTTGCATGCCATTGCCACTACTACCCAACTATTGCTTACAGTTTTTCTACTAGTGAGCCGGAAATGTCTCAGAACAGTGTAGAAATTCTGTTTCTCGGAAAGTTTCACCCTTGCCTCGTCTCATTCTTGGAGTATGTTTCATAGCTGACTTGAGGGAGGCAGAGAGGGCTGCCCCACGTCGATAGTATCCCTCACATAATACTACAGTAACGCTATAACCCAAAGTTTCGTGTGTTTCTGTACAAGAGAGATACTCGTGGGAATAGAAACAATTTCACTGTCAGACTGTGCAGGTACCGCCCCAAGGATGCGGCTGTGGTTGACTTGACACGCACCCGGTAGAGGATTCGGATCACATTGGCGCCTCCCGAGACGCGGAGCTGTCAAAAGCCGATGCGGCCTGTAGGGTATTTTTACTTTCATGTCAGATGGGGGGCTTTCTTCTTGTTGGGTACTCTAAGTTGAGGGAGGCTGAGTTGAAGATTGGTGACAATGCCACAACTTAATGATTATGCCCTACTTACTGAAGGTAAGTAATTAACTTAGTTACATAATCGCCAATAAATTTCGACTCTTACACGTGATCCCTTTGACGATAAATTGTGACCTCGTATTTGTTCCAGAATATCTAAGAGTATTCCATGTTACTATTTTCGTATCCATCCTGTGCGCTGTCAAATAAGTACAGTAGACGGGTCTAAGGGGCCGCTGTGGAACACGACAAATATCACGCTGCCACCAAAAGCGAAAATAGAATTCTGACAGGTACTGTATCTCATGATAGGTACAGTAGCCGCATTTTAAAACCGGGGCAGTGTATATATATCATATGGATGCTGAAAGGCTGACCGTCTACTGTAGAGGTATAACCACCCAACAATGTTCAAACTGTCTTGAAAGGTCGGTAGCATTTGATCTACCAAGGAAGAGAACAACTTTCTCTTTATAAACCTCAAGGCGAGACCAGCTGTTTAATTGAACCTGTGCTTATTGAGGTAGCTATCGTTGAGCTTCATCTGTGGCGTTGAGAAGTTTATTAGAAACCTTGCTATGTGCAATTCAATCGGCATTGGAGCAGTAATGCGAACTGCTCTCTTTCAAAAGACCACTTGCCGAATTATTGAATGCTGAGCATATGCCTATTTCTTACTGGTTAAAGAGATATTTCGATGTTAAGCCACAAGATGTTCATAAAGCTGCTCCTACCATACACTGGACATCGCGATACAAGATAGACTTTCCGAGCTTTGAAAGGTTCAACAGAAAAAGAACTCGTCTTATGATCCATTCAAGTTTGCCATGGCCTATATTGAAGAGTTTGCGTCCTACAATAACTTCTCTAACCACAACACTGCCATTCATTATCATCTTGTCCCTCGTTTGACCGTGCGGTACTTGTACTCAGCCGCCCCAGCAAAGATGCGTCCTCTTCCTAAACCCGAGTGGATGCCCAAAGGCTACTATGGCAAGATACCCAGTATCATCACCAGCATCCGACAGCTTCCCGAAGGTGTATCACCAACCCTTGAAAGCATCCCCCAGATCAACAACACCATGCTAAACAGGGAGCCATATCCGGGTCTAATTCGCGATATGCAAGAGACCGATTTCAAGCGATGAGGGTTTGTCATATCTCGTACTGTGTATTCTGAAGAGTCTCAGTCTCAGTGGGAGAATTATATCGAGTTTCTGAAGACATCAGTAGAGATGGACCTCGAGTCCCTTGAGCTCTCAACACTCCTGATGCCCCATATTGAATGGGCTATCATCGAGGATCGCGATACTTTAGACAATGCCTCCAAGCAACAAGTGCGCGAGAAATTCTCCGAATGGACTTCTCAACGATCTGTTGAGAGGGATGGCCCCAGAGTAGAGGAGGCATTCCAGTACGGCATCCCCAGGTTCCGTTACTGCATCTACGTTGACCAGAAATGCCTCGATACCGTCAATCAATACAAGGCCTGAGCTGATGCAGGTGGCCTGGGCTGTCCAGAGCATGTCGTTTGTGTCATTCTCGATAAGACGTGCGAGCCAAAGGGTCAAGGCAACGGTGGCTTTCCTCGGATAGAAGGTTGCAGCAGAGAGTATACAGGCTGGCAATATACTGGCGTAGATGCCATTGCAGACATCTATGACACAGTGTCTATCAAGGACTTGAGCGAGGATTATGACTACAGGAGACCTCCTCAGATTTTCCCAGGCCCCAAGACCTTGCCTGTCGACTAAAGCCGCAACTGAAAGTCATTCAGCACGAAGGGAATATGATGTTTTCAGACAGTATTGACCATGTTATTGTAACGCCTATGCTACCACCACTCAAGCATGATCGAGTATCATTCTCTTAGTCGTAGTCGCAATAGTGGTGCCTTTCATTGAAGCAGTTATAGTCAGTAGTTGGTCTGCGTGTATCTTCATGACTTTCCCAAGCTCAAAGAACTACCATGGCTACGCAGCAGTGCCTTGACCACTCACATATAACCGTGGCATGGGAACATATCTCAAGCATTACCAGAGTTTAATAAGCTTAGGATGTTTTAGAAAATATTATTCTGTTGTAGTCATTCTACGACACGAATCGTATCAGTAGTGTAGGGTAACCTCAATGCCTTGTCCTTGTTCTCAAACCAACAAGGATACTACCTCACCATGCATAATAACGTCATAAACTCTCATGCACTTTTATGAAACTTGAGACTTGAAGAACGATCGACGCATGCGCCTTACAAGTTTGTGAGCCTCCAAAACGTCACATTTCCTTGGATCCTGATGTGTGTAAGGTTTCCTTCTGTAAGTGATGTAACTGACAACTGGCAAGTGACTTTTGCACAGTATTCTTCAACTCCCAAGCTCACTTGAGTGTACATGCATCTTGGAATGATGTAAAGGACCCTTCCGTTCGATACTCTTGACGTGTGGCTGGTAATGGATATGATTTGAAGGCATCAGACTTCAAGGAATGAGTTATCGTCGATCACTGGACCCCTAGTAAGCCATCACAAAAAGATAAGCTTAAACGAATACTGGACATATATCACTGGAATGCGTTGATGCTCTTTGCAAAACTCTATTCTTCTAGATCTAGAGAATGGTAGATCTTGCCAGTTAACCTAGGATTACCTCAATCTACCAGCGATACGAGCAACTTGAATCCTTTGTACAACTTGTAGGGTATTTTGCATAACAACCAATCCCACGGATAAATCAATCTCGCTGCCTTCCATCCACCAATAACCTCATATCCGTAATCCCTATCCGTCACTATCTTAACAACCCTGCCAAAAAGCCAGGTAACAAAAGAAACTTCGTAAGTCAAGATATCTCGCATGGACCTTTGAGGTCCATCGAGACAACTGTACACTTGCCTGCAAGCCTGTGGAAGAAACAGCCATTACCACAGTTCTCGACTGCGCCGTGGTGATCCTCCACTGCTCAGAGGTCGCCATGGATCGGAGCTCCCATTAAATGCACTCTCATCGGCCCCTTGGCCAGGGACAGCCAAGAAGACGCCAGTTCCATTGCCAACCATAACACTACGTCGCGCGTCACCTCGATCCCATCCAGATCCCGTTACGTCAGCCGCCAGCCCGTAGCTGCTCATCGGCCGCCGAGATGCTGACGAGGCAGACTTGAACATTGGATCTACCGACACAAAGTTCCACTTGCCAAATTCATCGCTCTTCGTAAATACCTCAAGTGTGTGCGTGGGAGCTGCTGAAGCAGGCATACGAGGAGCGAAAGGATTGTTCGAGCTGAAACGTTTGCTTGGTGGTTGAATATGTGATATCGGACGTCTGGGCACGGGGAGCTTTGGTGGTGATAGCTTCGAAGACGGCGGGAAACCAAAACCAGGGTTCGACTTCGTGGATGAGTTAGATCCAGAGCGTGCGTGACCTCCAGCGAATGCAGCATTAGGGGGTGGAAGCCCCTGAAGTTGGTCGGGAAAGCTCTCATCATGAACGTAAAGCTGCCTCAGCTTCGGGAATCCACCGCCGAGAATAGACGATGCAAGGTAGGTATAGTAGCCCATCGTCACGCTGTCGAATGGACCGGATGAAGCCGGGGAAATCTCAAATCTCAGAGTTTCCAAAGAACGCGAAGCCAAGGGTCGGGAGTTGGCTGAACTTGGAAACTGCTCTGCAACTTTAGACTGAATGGCAAATGTCTTAAGCGATGAAGCCATAGTGAGAATTTCCTGCAAGCTTGCTGGATGAACGCCAGTATCCTTAAGCGTAAGGACTTTCAGAGCTTGTTGAGTCTCCTGCCATGCAAGGTACTCAATAAGTCCCTTTAGCGTCACACCAGGCGTATCCTTGAGCACAAGCTCCTTAATAGGGGGCAACGTAGCCATTCCGTCCGATGATGAGAGGACCTCGTCTGAGAGACCCGGAGTGTTCGAGACCTTGAGCGCCTGTAAATTGCTGAGGCTGCCAAGCACTGCCCGAATTACCGTAGGATCGACGTTCAAGTCATTCAACTCTAGCACCTCGAGGTTCGGCCACACTTGTCCCGAGGCCAACATGGCCAGACTGTGTTCGGAACCACCAACGTAGGTCATCTTTCGAAGGTTGGGGCATCTTGCTTGCACTTCGAGTCGGAGGGTCGTATAGTGAGGATCGTCGCAAAACATGCCCTCTGGCAGATCGACATATTTGAGATTTGGAAGGACGGCTATGGTCTGTGCAAGCTCGACTTGAGAAGATTCGCGCAACATGTATGGAAGCTTCAAGAACTGTACGAACTTTCCAATTCGTGTCGGGTCATCGCGAACGGTGCGTCGGAGGAGACGGAGACGAGCTTGGGCAGGATCCTCGGGGACACCATTACGGTCGAAGCGGGAGGTCTTTTTACGTCTTTCGGCAAGCCATTCCTCGAGGCGACAGTAGTGGACTGGATCGATACGAACGCTGTGATATCTAGCAGACAGGGGTTAGCGACTGTATGTCATCGGGCCACCATGACACGACTTACAAGACTTTGACCGCGCTTGGACGCCAAGCGCGACAAACCTGAACGCAATGAGCAATATCGCGCAGGTCGCATAGCATACAACCGCTGTCGTTTGTGCTGGCACTGCTCTCGCAATTATCATAACTCTCGTCGAGGGCATGCGGGCAAACGAAAGCGAAGATGCGCTCAAGAACCTTTGGTGGCAGATGAGCGAGCAGATATGCGGAGTTTCGAGTTGGGGGGTATAACGGTGGACATCCTGCACCGTCTGGGCGAAACTCTAAAGGAACGATAAAGTCAGAGCTCTGGCCGCCACTGCCGGCCTTGTCCTTCTTGTTCCGACGTCGGAAGGGATTTCGCATCTTGGCGTAGCTTTTTGTTGTAGATCTGGTTGAAGGGACAGCTGGATAGTGACAGGGGAGGTTTAGGGCGCGAACAAAAAAAAGAGAGGGGAGAAAGAGTGCGCGGTGGATGAAAGAGAAAGAATAGAAATGCGCCGCAGAAAAGTATTAAACAATGAAGAAGCTCATCAGCTCAGACTCTGAGTGAGTGAAGAGAGATGGACAAGAGGCGAGAGGCGAGAGGACAGGGAGAAACAGAAACCGAAGGAGGGGACGTTATTAAGAGAGCGAGCAATATAGCAGCTAAGGTCCCGTCCCGTCAGGTACAAACAGAGGTTGATCCCCCAATTCAACTCAATTCAATTGGATTTCTGGGGAACCGATTGAAAGATTAAAAGGGTAATTACAGGGGTATCATCAACGGTCCCTGTACAGTAGTACCTGCCTTTTCCGACCCGGGAAGGCACGTGCCACTGGAACTGACGGTGGTACTCTGTATATCCGAACGAAATGAATGATGGAAGGAAGGAACGGCACCTGCAAGAACAAAGACCCAAACGCCTACCTGCCTGTTTTGTTTGAATGGGGTAGAAAACGATAAAGAAAGAAAGAGCATACGAGGTATCACAGACTTTTTAACAACTTCCAGTCTTTAGACGGGACGACAAGCTTTCACTTTATTTGGTCAATGTTTCAGGAAATAAACGCTTCCCTTTCCAAACATGCAGCCCTAGACTACCCCGCCAGCCCGCATACCTCAGGCTCTGCTAAAAGGGAGCTGAGTGGCGTTTGAAAGCGCGCGGTCTTGTTTCTTTGGTGCTGACGCTTTGATAATACAGCAGTGATCAGCCCAAGATTGGACCTCCTTGCTTCCTTGTTGGCGGGCAGATCAGCAGGGGGGACGATGGAAACGGGAACAAAGTCTTGGCTACCAGGAATGGAATAAAGAGACAAGGACAAAGACAAGGCTTCTCATCCAATATCAAACTTGTCCTGCGTATCACAGAGAGGCAAACCAAACACGACATACATTTGGATTGAATGCCTGCCTGCCTAGCTACTACGTAGCATCATCCCCCCTTACAGTTAGTTGCATTCATTCATTCAGTCAGCGGCATCTAAGAAAAGGGGCTTCCAGAGGGAAATCTATCAGCTACGTGTCACTGGTATAAGCGCTCCTGTTTCTACCTAGCAGTGCAGTCCAAATCATAGGTCTAAGCGTGTCTCTTTCTTGGTGATCGTCGTACTGGAAGATCCTTCACAAGCGCAGCCAATGATGCTATCTAAAACAAACAAGGGTTACCCTTCAAAACACCCATGTCTTCTTCTACGTGCCCAGCCAGCTCAAGGACAAATACAGGCACGCTTGCTGCGTCGCAATGGGTTCTAAGGTAATTTAAGCCATTGTTTCTGCTTGTTTGCTTTGGGTTAGGATATCGACGTTTGGACCCTGAACATGACGTCAATTCGCTTCTTTTCATCCCCTGAGCTGAAGGTATGTATCCGTATAAAGAAAGATGCTGGCTATCTCATCAGTACGACCTCAGTAATGACCAAGACTTCATCTATATCCATTGCCTGTTTCAAGGATAATCATGACTGGTATGTTCTTTCTTGCGTTTAATGATCTAAGTTGTGCATTTGTTTACTTGACTTCCATGGCTACTTGGAGCTTGGATACCCTCAGACCCATGCTGCCATGGCATAACTCAATAGGTATCTGAGTGGACACTCACTCACTCATAGAGCAAGCCGAAACGTCGGCAATGGATAAAGTGATAAGAAACATTATAATATTGATGAAACAACTCCATCTTCGTAAAACAAAACCATACTTATATAATTATGCGCCGTCTTTTACAACCTCCTCTCCGCTCCCAATTAACCAGATGGCCAAGACGATCCATAAACCAAAGATACTCTTCGCGTCTTTACAAACCCCTCAATCCAAAGACATCTGAGATTCGACTCCTCAAACTTCCGCAAACTTCATCTTCAGAGTTTGAACTCGTCACTGTATCACTCGACGATAAACCAAAATATGCAGCACTGTCCTACCTTTGGGGTAACCCCGAGCACTATGGAGAGATCACCATCGAGGGCAACACCGTCAGGATCCCAGATAACCTGGCCTCAGTTTTCCTCCGGGTGTTAAGCGACGAACCTTTTCGCACACAACCTTACTGTCAATATCTCTGGGCTGACGCGATATGTATTAACCAGAAGGATGTCGAGGAGAGATCCCAACAAGTCCAGCTTATGCGCCGTATCTTCCAAGCTGCTCACGTTACCTTCGCGTGGGTTGGCCCAAAGGATTACTCTCTTGCTTTCAATACCATCAATACACTGGACCGCATTCTATCTCAAAATGACCCCAAGAGAGGCCTTGTGTCCACAGTGCCTTTTGATACTGAGTGGTTACAGAATTATCCCGAGCTTTGTCTCAAAGGAGGCTCCGGCGTCCCCAACGATCACCTCAACGATCCTTGGAGAGCTGTAGCCGATTTCTTACAACATCAGTACTGGGAAAGGACATGGATATTCCAAGAGGTCATTCTCGCAAATCAGCTCGTTTTCATCGGTCCTGGAAACTCCGACCTAGCCTGGCCCACGCTTCGCGATATCCCTCAAGCCATCAGTTCTATCGCAAGCGACCAGAACGAAAAGAAGCGACCAGAATTTCTTTCAGAGACGGCATGGAACCTCCTAAGCAGCCGACTCGCATGGGGAAGATTGTCTTGGTTAATGCTTGCTCAGGCGCGCACCAAGATACCAGACCCAGATGGATTTAAAGGCTGGATAATCTCTACTTTTGCTGCCAATCTGGAAGCCACTGACCATCGAGATCATATATACGGCCTTCTTGGAGTGTCTGGTATCCCTATCAGCCCAGATTATAGCTCTGAGAACAAGGCCTCGCATGTGTATACCGAATACATAGCTGGCTGGCTAAAAGCAGCACGCAACCAACGGACAATGCACATACATACTCCGCTTGCTTTCTTGTCCCTTGCGGGGACCGGGAAGTTTGGTCAATCTGATCTACCGAGTTGGGTTCCCAATTATCCAAAGAACAAGGACGTAACCATTCCGTGGCCATACAAAGCCAGTGACCACAAACCACTGGCTGATGGTATGCCGTCTTCATCGCCGGCAGACATTGAAACCTATCCCTATGTCGTCCAAGAGACTCAAAGCTTATTCATTCAAGGCATTGGTATGGGCTCTATCACTTTGACAACAGAATACCAGAGAGGCGAGGATTACGCAATTCTTGCATCTTTCATGTCATTGGCAAGTTCGTTCACAGCGCGCAATACGCAGTATATATCTGGTATCCCAGCAGCACAGGCCGTTATTCGATTGCTATGTATCGATTCACACTGCACTACTCGAGACCTGATCGATAATGCTATGAACCTAGCCATGCTGATCGCCTATTTTAACCAAACCGAATCCAATACCGTTCTGAAGACTTGGGGACATGATTGGGATACCGACATCCTCAAGATGGCCTTTCCAACAACAGATGTAACGCAATTTGGGATGAAGCCAGAAATCCTTTCAGAACTTAGCTCCTGGGATAGAACTCGGCGTAGTACCGCAACTGATGCCATTGTGCCTGTGCTTTACACCTACCAATTCTTTGAGACAAGTCAAGGATACCTGGGTGCAGTTAATTATGAAGTCGCGGAAGGTGATCGCCTCTGTGTCCTCGCAGGCTATAACAAGGCAGTCATCCTGAGACCCAACGCAGAGGGATCGTACGCTTTTATCGGGACGACATCCGTGATAGATATCGACGTTCAACATATCCTCGAAAGCCAACAAGCCAAAAGCAAATGGCTAGAACTACGATGAACTCATAAGAGACGATTTGGTCTAAGTTTTGATGTGAGAACACGGTACACTTAAGTGAGAATATTCATTGAGTGATCCATTAGTGGTCATTCATTTCCAGACGTTACTCTGGAATCAATAATTCTATCATACATAGCTGCGAAGATTGATTACAAGGGTTCTAGATAGATCGTCGTAGCCTGGGGCCGAGCTGAGTCGGCCGAGACTTGGGTCCCAAAAACCATGCCCGTCCTTCAAAATGCCCCCATGTTCGCCTAGTAAAACAAAACCCGTGAGAAGCATCGTCAACACCCTCCCTCCGTCATTATTGCTGCCCACATAAGGCCTATTATTCGTAGCAGGTCTCAGCTGTGAAACCAACTGAGCTCAACCGTTTTTAGATAGCAAATCTCCAAACCGTTCTTATATACGTTTGAAGCTGCCAAGACCAAGCCGGATCCAACTCCAACGCGATGATGGCCCAAAATGCTCGCGTAGCATTATGCAGTCGTTACCAAGGTAACTCATTGAGACAGACAAAGTCATTCAATTGAATAGTCTTGCTGTATTTCGACAGTGTGACCAGCCACTTAAGCCTTGCGAGATCGAACGGAACCGCCGTTGGTCTTAGCACCGGTAGCGGTAGCACCGTTGGACTTCTTGGAAGGAGTGGTCTGGACCAGATGAGGGTCGGGGAGAGGAGCCTGGGACATGCGTCGGAGGCTCTGTCGGCCGCTAGGAGCCTTTCCTTGCTTCTTGTAGGTGGCGAAGTAGAAGGAGATGAAGAGGACAAGGTAGGAGCTGATGGTGATGATACCAGAGAAAGCAGCAAACTCCTCGCCAGAGCACTTGCCAGCGTTGGGCATCCAGGGGAAGTAGGTCGAGGTGAAGTAGGTGTAAGAGGCGAAGTAGATGAAGCCGAGATCAATGACGAACTGGATGATCTGGAGCCGGGTAACCCACTCCTTCCACCAGACACGGACACCACGGGCGCTCTGGAAGTAGTACCAGTACATAACGACGTGAACGAGGAGGTTCAGGACGATAGGAACCCAAGAGACGGAGGTGGAGCCGATGAGCTGAGTGTAGCAGAGGAAAGCGGTAGCACCATGGTGGTAGCAGTGGAGGAAGGCTGGAGACGTTAGCTTGGAACTTTTGCATATGGGTCGAAAAACATACTCAGAGGCTTCTTCTTGAGGAAGAGGAAGACGGTGTCAAGGAGCTCGAGGTACTTGGTAAGGTAGTTGAGGTAGTACAGAACGACAAGGGGCTGAGTCCAGCCACCCTCGGCGTCACAGATGGCATGGAAGATACCGCCACGGACAACAGTAGGCAGAAGCTGCTCAATGAAGAGAGCCAGGAGAGCACCACTGATCAGAGTCAGGTAGAGGTTGTGAATGAGGAAGAGACCCTTGAGCTTGAAAGGCTCGCGGTTGCGCATCCACTCGCGACCACCGAAGATGATGCAGTAGTAGATGGCAATGAAGATGGATGTCGACTTGATAGTGGACATGGGAGTCTCGAAAGGCACAAACTTGAAGTCATTGGCGGAGTAGCCGACGACAGCAGTAAAAGCCTTGTCGAAGATGGGCCACAGATGAATACCAAAGGGACGGTCGATGGTAGGCAGCGGCAGCTGCTCGTAGAAGGTAGCGGGAGTCGCAGACATGATGGGCGATTCAATTGATCGTTGGAAACCACGAAACCCTTTATTAGGAGGTAGTTGGATGTAAACGAGTTACGTATTCGACGTGGCTTTTTTTTCTCGAAGACGCGACGACGGCGGGAGGACACGTGAAGACAACTCAAGCAAAGAGTGACAAGGAATGACAAGAAGAAGAAGAAGAAGTTCTCCGGAGAGATGAAAAGTTTAAAGAAGAAGCCAGGTAAACGGCAATTGGGGGAATGCGAAGAATTATAAAAGGAGATAAAAGGGGAGAAGGAGAGTAGAGTTTTAATTGAGGGATGAGGACGGATAGACCAAAAAGGGGAAATTTCCATCCGCACCGCGACCGCTAAGTCAAGTTACCTTGCTCCTGCCTGGGCCTGCGCTGCGTTGTGCTGCACCTGCACTGGATCTCCGGTGCCCGCGGGCACTAGATAGTGGACTCTTGGAAGAGCAACAGCACCTAACAGCGGGCAACAAAGCAAAGTGAAAGTGGCACCTTGCACCGCACTTTCCTTCCATTGAGGTGCCACTAGTACATCTTTGTAAGGGGCATTTCAAGACTTGGCCCAATCTCCATGCGTTTATGTTATTTCATGGGCATAGTCCACCCCGGACACCAAGAACTTGCCAGGCTCGTGCGCCGTTGGGCTATTTTCCTTTAGGGAATCATGACACGCGCTCGCAGGAAGAAGGACCACACGTGTATGCAAGTCCGAGATGAGGTCAATTCAGATGGATGTACTACCACGTAGTAATCCTGTTGAATTGCATGTGATAGGAACATACATGTAGACAGGTCGACTATGCCCCGGGATATCCGGGAACAGACCGCAGAAGAGATAGACACGTGATTCAAACAATGCATAGGCTCAGTAACTGCTAAACACTAAACAAAGATGCGGTGACGCCAGTGCTCAAATTCCCCTGAAGCTTGCCCATGCTTGCTTAGCTTGTGCTTGTACCTGACCGTTAGGTTTGCTTGTTACTGTACATCTGTCTGTCTGACTCTGACCTCCATCTGTCGTGCCTGTCAGCCTGTCAGCCTGTGCCTGTGCCTGTGTCTTCTGTGGTCCCGAGGCTTACTAGACGCCAAGATTACGGCCATGACCGGGAGGTGGCACCCAATTGCTATTCATTGGTTATACCAGATTCGGGATAAAAGCCAGTTGGACAATCGTCATTTAATATCCGTACTTCGTATCACGACGATAGAACGTCCACATGTCAGCGGCATTCCCGGAACCGATCTAACAAAACAGAGTAGGAACTCTCCTTCTACAAAGGAGAGACGAGTTCCGTAATTGTTCTGGAAGTTTTTATGAGGGTTACCTCTCCGCTGTACATGATGAATCGGGATGGACACTAGAAAGAGAGGACGATCCTTTACTTTGTCATTTCACCTCGGGTCAAGTTCCCTGCCAGCGCGGGTATCAGAAAGATTAGCCATTTGGAGAACAGAATTACTTAGGCATTTCATGTCGGTATAACGTGCTACGTATGCTGCTTTATTTTGGCACCTAAGCATTGGAGGACAATCTCTCTGCTACCCAGTAGCTCTACAACATCGGCAATTACCCCATATTTGAATCGATCCGCAACCGTCGATAGACTTAATACTCGTTAAGCGAAATCTTGGTTAAGCCTTGGGGATCCTTTAGGCTGTTTCGAAGAACCATGTTAAGTCAACTCAATTCTTCTCAACTTCTGTCATCAAAATGAACTGAACCACAAGTGGCCGTGCTTTGTGTCATGGTGTGGCTGTCCTGTTCTGTCACCTCCCACCATGCAGCTGTCTACCGGGAGCGTGGGTGGGGGTTGTCATCATTTTAATGTCAGCTCAGCCATTGGTTGCTTGCACTTCTATCCTGAAGTACAGTACTGTAGTCTGTAGCCTTGCCGATAGAGTGCAGGGCATGGGAAAGCCAATTGATTCAACCGTCACCTGCAGGTGAATAGGCCCAGGCGCTGAAAAAAAAAACGCCTTCTAGATGTCCATCCACGAATTCTGAAATCTCATGTAGCTACGGTTAGCAATCATGATCGAATTACAACCTCATTTCCCTGTATTTAACTGATAATTGACAGTGACGAATGAAGTGAATTAGAGTAAGCTCTTAAAATACAGTATCTTTACTGTGTTTCTCTCCCAAATTCCCCATCATCCAAACATCTGTTGTACAATTCGCACTCAGCTCCACCACTACGCAAACAGGTATAGCTTCTTCTTAGTCATCAATTCTCAGCCCATCCTCTGGCCCAAACAACTCTGCAGTCATCACCCGAGCCCGGAAAAAGCCAGCCCACTACTACCTCTACCACCAATACACGACCTCTCCTCCGACAATAGACAATCACCACTCTAACTCTCTCCTCCGTCTACGTCCAAAATGTCCGCCTTCATCCGTGTCGCTCGCGGCGTCCGCGCTGCTCCCATCCGACCTGCCATGCAGCCCCTTGTGGCCCGCTCGGCCGTTGCCCACTTCACCACTTCGATGCCCCGACGAAGCGAGCACGCTGAAGAGACCTTCGAGGAGTTCACCGCCAGGTAGGGCAATCTTCCGACCCTCAATGGCCTGCCGTCTGCATGGAAGTCGATTTTTCTGGGGGAAGTGGAAATAATCGGATTGGAATCTTTGCGTGGTTGTCTTGCGGCTGTAGAAAAAGATGCCGCAAAGCCCGCTTAGAGCTCTCTCCCCACGCGATTTTCCCCGAATAACTTCCAATGCAGCCGCACAGGCCTGTCGCGACACTCAATGGCTAAAATCCGACTTCCTGCAGGTTCGAGAAGGAGTTCGACGGTGTTCAGGATGTTTTCGAGCTTCAGGTAAGTCTGCCCCACGGGGTAGAGCTCGCTGCTTTCCGGCTGGCTCCCGAAAATGTCGTATGACTTTTTTGGCTTATTGACATACCACAGCGCAACCTCAACAACGCTTTCGCTTACGATCTTGTCCCTGCCCCCACGGTGATTGCTGCCGCTCTCAAGGCCGCCCGCAGGGTTAACGACTTCGGTACTGCCGTCCGCATCTTCGAAGGTACGAATTTTATCGAGTCGAGCTCGCTTGCCGTCTGCCCAGCCGATTGATGGATGACTGGCATGATCACCTCGATTTGCTAGATCGACAAACCACCTCGAAATCAGCTCACTTGGATTTAACACCTTTCAAAATTTGCGAGCATGTGCGATCCTGGACCAATTGCTAACTTGTTATCTCAGGTATCAAGACCAAGGTCGAGAACAAGGGTCAGTACGAGCAGTACCTCGAGGAGCTCAAGCCCCTCCGAGAAGAGCTTGGTGTTCCTCTGAAGGAGGAGCTCTACCCCGAGGAGAAGTAAATGGCGTCATAGTCTCAATATTCCGAGCTCTGTGTAAACTGGATGTTGGTCGAGATGGAAGAGATCAGATTAAGAGGTAGACGGGGGGAGTTTGGTTGCGGCAGCCCCAAATCGATTGTGTTATAGTCCCAGGTGACTTGGCAATTCCTCTGTGTTAATCCCCCAACTTGAAGTACTTTGTATATCCGCCATACAATCTATGAACCGATTGGTGATTTGTTACAATTTCATACCTGCTCCCTTCCAGCTATATCTTCATCTATCTGGGCAAACACGGCATACCTAGGGACTTTGCTTACATCGATAAGCATGTATTGAATAACAAATCACATATTTCGATTGAAATGCAAACATCACAAGTGGCGCTTACTGAAAGCTGGTATTAGAGGTTCTAGCTAACCGATCTGCCGTGCATCATGACGGCCTAAAAACAAAATGATATTAAGGTATTCATTCCTCTTCTAACATATCCTATGCGTCCTCCCAATCATAACTCCCCTCACTGAAGAGAGTTCCATCTGGTGCTTTGGTTTTGGTGACTCATGAACTGTGTACCAGGCCCAGAAGGACTTGTCCCTCTGCTAGCAGAACCAGCATACGCCCGGCTGGGCCGTGGACTCACTCCAGTTGCTGCAACACGAGGGCTGCGAGGCATGCTGCCACCTCTTGTGTTCCGTCCGAAACTGTTGATCTTCTGATGTGCAGCGGCCAACTCCGTGTCTTTCTGTTGTAATTGTGCTCGTAAGCTTGCAATCTGCTGCGACATAGCCTGTCTCTCGTTAGAAGCTTGTTGTGCTTGGGCAGCTACCAGATTCGTCGAGGCTTTCTGCTGCAATTGTCCGTTCTGGGTCCTCAATACATTAACCTCGTTCGACAGCTGTGATGCTTTGGAATCGACATCTTGATAACGACTTCTCATGAAATCAACATCTGCCAGGGCGCTTTTCAGCTTGTCTTCCGTGGTCCGTAGCTGCTTTTGCGCTGTAGCAAATGCGTCTTCCCTTTCAGCGGCTCCGGGTGTCTCCTTCAGACGGCTGATCGTAGATTCAAGCTCCTTTATTTGTTGCTTGTACTTCTCGCCCTCTTTCTGTGCCGCTACTTTGGCACTTTGAGCGGCTGCCTCAGCCTCGATCTTTTTCTTTTCAAAGACCGTTCGATCCTCAATGGCCGCACGATTTGACTGGCCGATTTTGGACGACATCTTTCGATAGTCCTTATTTTCTTTATCAAGACGGTTGATATGACTTTTCAGTTCAATCTCGACTTCGCCAGCCAACGAAACTTTGCGTTTGTACTCGTCCGCCTAAACATCATTTAGTATTATTCCATAAGGCACATATCGAGAATCTAACCTGTTCTCTGAGTGAGTCTAGGACTGCCACAAGCACTGTGGTAGTGGCCGCTCTGTTATTAGCCTCTCCTCGAAGCAATGCGCCGTCAAGCCACTGTCGTGTTGCCAGAGACATCGGAGGGTTGTTGGAACCGGCTAGTGGATCACGGAGAGCAAGTGTTCGCGTTCGTTTGGCATCCGCTACCTCGTCTCCGTCACTCTGTACAACAGTTAGTTCTGGTGGCGGATTGGTAGGCGATTCGTTACTTACAAACTTCCGCTTAAGCCCATTGCCAGGCAACGATTCTACAGCAAAAAGCAACTGGTTCTGGGACATTGGACTCGCAAAAATATCAAGTACATCGTCCGGTATTCCCTGTGGTTCCCAGTTTGAGGTGTCAGTGACGCCATTGAGGTAACGTGCAAATATCTCGGCAACTTCATGTGGCTCGCTGTAGTCACGTTCGGGGTCTTCGAGATAGTGCCCGGCACTGACAGTACACGCAAGCATTGCATTCAGTTCCTCGAGGGGAGACGCGTCCTTAAGGGGTACAAGGCTAACGTGCTCAGCAGAATAGGTTGTTACCATCAGAAGCACAACCGGTGACTTCCGGCCAGTGCCCGAAGTCAATTGCTTGTGAACATGCGAACGAATGTAAAGATAGTCATAACCAATAACGACGTCGAAGCTGAAAGGATTAAAATCCTCATCCCATAAAGCAAGAGTGACTCTTGTGGCTGACGGAAAGGTTGTGTGTTGACCAATGCTCTCAGCTGAGCATTCAATCTCCGCGAGTTTGGTAATGGCGAATATGAGTCGCATAAGTTCTTGATTGCGAACTACGATAAGAATCTCCTTGTCCTTCTCGTCCAAAGCAGTCATGAGCTCAAATAAGAAATTGAACTTAGGGTTGGAATCACAGCAGAATTTGGCGATGTCGGCGCTGGGCTCTGACTCGAGACTGGTTCCAATGACATCTGGCGGGAAATCGCAAATGTTGAACAATTTGCCAAAAAGATCGTGGATCTTTTGCACAAGCAGCTCATCAGGTTGTTCGCCAGAGTCGCCGGTGAACAGCCCGCTGAAAGCTTGGATCTCAGCCTTATAGTCCTTTATTATTGCTCCATAATATGGACGTTTACTCGCTTGCATCGGAAGAGTGATGATATGTTGAGTATGATCTTCTCGTTCAGATGACTGAGACGAGGTATCAGAACCTTCTTCGGCGGGAATTTGACCCATTGTGATTGAGGGACCAGAGCTGTCTACCTCGGAGGGTACTGCGCCCCGGTTCGTGAGATTCAAGGTGCGAGTCGGCTCTAGAGGATCAGCAGCCCTGCTTATGGCCGCTGGAGAGATAGTGCCAGGTGGTATTATATCATCGGGTTCCTGACTCATGAGAGAACGGGTAACAGAATCCCCTGTGCTGCTGAACGCGCGAGAGAGCAGCTCTCTCATGTCGTCTGCAGTCGAACGATGAGGATTTGCCATGATGGACGCCGGCGAGATTGAAGGCGCAGGAGCCTCTGGTGTGTTCCCCAAAGCCTCTGGTTTCCAAGGATCCACCGAGTAGGCTGGCTGTGTCTGTATGATAGCTTCAGGAGAACTGACGACAACATCGAGACCGGCTGTGCCAGTACTATTCATGGGTTGATGCTCATTTGGAGCGTCATAAGACGATACATCTAGGCTTTCCTCTTCGCCAGCTGGAGCCAGTATTGAATCCGCACCAAAATCCACAAAGCTTCTGAGCTCATCGGCTGCTGAGCTCCGTGGCCGAGAATGCGAGCGTTCCATTTCTTGAAACTCTAAAGGTGGTCTGAGTGGCTCAGAAGGCGGCTCAGATGCACTGGCGGTTTGAGATGGTTGGTTGGAACACCGTTCTGTTCCGCAATTGACCCTTGGTTTGTCCTGGACCGACTGAGATCCGATGCCAAATTCCGTCTCTTGACTAATGGCGTGTCCTCCAAGCTGGGATGTAGAGGTCTGTGGTTGTGGCTGGGCCGCCTGCGGCTCTACCAAGTCTTGATCTTCGGGCTCGTGGGGCCTGTATTGTGTGCTTGCAGGACCAAATACAGTCTTCGCCGCTCCGGTGGATTCAAGCTCTGACAGAGAGCTTGAAACAACAGGAGAGTCGTGCAGGTCTTGAGGCTGCGTGAGGAAGATGGGTGTATTTCGGATGTTATCAGGAGTGAAAGATTGCTGAAGGGCCGCTGTTGCCGTCCTTTGTACACGGTCAACACCTTGGTCAGTTGGTAAGGAGTCGTTCAACGTGTCTTCCCTGGTGAGTGAAGCTAGGCGTGACTGATCTGGTTGGCGAGAGGGAATATCCGAGCCAGTTGTGGCCGAGTCCGGAACGACTTCGACTTGAGAAGCAAAAGGGGTGGACTGGGCCTTTTTCGATGCTGGCAAGGTCTGAAACGCGTTGTGATGCGACTCCGCAGATAAGCCTGAGCACTCCTGGGAGTCTGGAATGACGCGACTAATCCCACTGCTTGAGGATAGCTGTGCTTCGAGTTGTGCGGCGTCTTCCGGAGGGGACGGTGACCTTTGAGAAGGTTTGGGATCGAAAGTACCAACCTGTCCCTGGCTTATGGACGGGCGAGAACTGATGTTGATTCCCGATCGCTGTGACTGATCAATATTGCTGTCTTGATCACCCGCAGAGGAATGATAGCTTGAAGCGCTTCCCTCTAAGCCGTTTCTCTGGGTGCTATGAGTGTTGCGCTCCGAAAGAGGACGGAAATTGGCTTCAAAGGCTGGAAAATCGACTACTTGCTGTCCGCTCCCAGAAGGTCTGTTTGTCGAAGTATTGTCTTGTGTAAGTTGAACAGAGGGAATATAAGAGTCTCTACTATTTGAGAGTTCTTGACTGGTTTGAGAGTTCGCAGTCTCAAAACTTTGATCTTCCGACGAAGGCGGTATGATATTAGTGTCTACGTGATCGTGTGACAGTTCTCCAGGGCCCAGACTGGACTCAGTGTCTTCGCAAAGACGATGGTCGTGGTTGCTGTCGTCGTGATGAAAATGCTGGCTATCCTCGAGTAACTGGCTGCGGATAGAGTATTCGATCTCACTATCGTCGAGTTCTAAATCCCGATCCACCTGACTAGTGTCAAGCTCCCGTTGTCCGCGGTCAGAACGGGAAGGGCTATTGATTTCTGATCTGGCAATGTCTTCTTCTTGTTCGCCAGTCTTAGGGTGGCCCGGTGTTACTGGTAGTTGATCAACAGGGTTTCCAGGATTATCTGATTCCTGTACACTAGCTTGACTCTGAGGGTTTCTGGAATCCCATTGACCAGATAGATCTTGAGAGTCAGGGATGGTGTCTTGGCTCAAATGTGATGCAAATGCTAGACGTTGATCATCGTCTTCAAGATCTGAAATTCTTTGCGAGCTGGTATAGACACTTTGGTATTCAGAAGGATCAAAGTTATCAGACTTACGCAACACAACAGCAACCCTTTGAACAGGTAGCGCAGAGGGTTCGTCCAAGCCTACAGATTCGGCATCAACAGATGACGATGAGATGAATGACGGCACTGGCTCTTCTGACAGTGTGGTTTCTGCTTCAGCTCTGCGACTGTTTCTTGTTCGCATACGTTGGCCAAGAGAGTCGGATGGAGAGTGATTTTGAAGTGGTTCATCAAAAGTCCAGGGCTTCTGTTTTTCATCAAAATCAACTGGTTCAGCTTTAGCAGCACGAGGTGTTAGACTCCGAAGTCCTCGTCGGCTCCTTCTGTCCTGGCGCTTAGCCTCACGTTGCAGCTCGACGCGCTTCTTCTTGTCCTTTACTTGCTCCCAGTCTTTCAAAGCGTCGTCATTCAAATTCTCGGCCTGTAGTCAGTCAGCAAGAAAGTTCTCATTTCAGCAATGCTACGGGACAACCAACTAATTCCCAGGTTGGCGGATATGTTTTTTGATGGCTTGGTAGCCAATCGACTAGATATTGGTGTTTGGTTTCGCCGTCTGAACCCTCTTCAAATCGTTCATCAATGACTGCACGAACAAGATACCAGTCTCTCTCTAAAACAGTGTCTTCGTCCCTGTCTGAGTCCTCAATCTCTCCACTGACTTGATCTGGATTTCTGGCTGGGACTGGGGATTGTGGACTACGTTGGGGGGTGCCTGGTTTCCTGCGCTTGCGGGCAGACGATGGCTCAACGTAATCCGCCTCACTGTCCTCTTCGTCCCTCTTTCTCTTTGATTTGCGATTTAAAGAAGACCTTTTTCGTGTTTGTTTAGAAGGGTTGGTTTTGCGCGTCTTGACCATTAGTACGGCAGTCAATCAATGTGCACGCACAGGAGTAATGGTAATGGTAGCCTTGAGTTGAGGGGGACAGGGGCGACCACTGCCGTAACTTATAGTCGCAGCCCTGGCCTCGAACAGCGACACGTTCAGACCGGCGACGAGACCTTGCGATGATCTGTTACAGATCTACGCTTGGTATAAGTCAATATTATGCGCGCGCGGCGATAACGAGGCTATCCAACAGGAGCTCGGCTGATGTTTTGGGGAATGTCGTCCAAGTCCCACTAAACTGCACGTGATTGTCGTTCAAGGGACGGGTGATCAGGGTCCAAAGCCAGAGGGGTCAAATTCCAGTGATGGGGAATAAGAAACTAAGTTAGTGGCCGGGGAGCCAACTGTAGCAGATGTTGAGTGCTGTAGCAGTGTAAGTGACAGGGATGCATGTGAATCCAAGACTGGACGAACAAACTGTTTTGATCAAGTCAGGTAGGTGGAGATGAATAGTGGGAATTTTTATGTAGTAGCTTGAATGAATAAAAAGGAAGAGAAGGATAAGAGGAAATGTTAACCGTGCAGGCAAGTCGTGGAGTTATTGGGCCTTTGTTCGGGGGAAGGTGCTAAGTAGGTGCCTTCCTCTGTCGAAGTGCTGGAACGTATCAGAGAAGTTGACTTCTAACGGAAGGTTTGCAATGCGGGAACATGAATGGAGGGAAGTCATAAATATAAGGAACCGAAATGGCATAAACTGATTGACCCAAATATTGGTCTATGACGGTCTCTGACGGTTTCCTGCTTGTTGTTTTTACGAGACCTTTGCAGCTTGTGCAGTCATTCGGTTTGGTGGGCTTTGCGCCAGGTCAGTTTCCGCCTTCTCGCTGTTGTGAATCTGGTCAATCGAATAGCAGAGGAGCAGAACAAGTAGTATTCATGTGACGGGTCCTAGCAACCTGAAATCTTCTACAGGGACGTTTGTAAGTTAGCATTCTCAAACCAATCATAGATATCAAGCAAGTTGGATATTTGCTACATGCAGCTTACCATCGACAGGAAACACAGCTTATACAATGCCGTCTATCCAGAGCAAAAACAACAAATTATTTCTCTAAAGTGAGAGACAATATGCAAGACCCTGCCATATTGATTCTAGGTTCCATGTTATTGGTATCAAGAATATAGAGTTCCAGCTCTTGGGCTTGTTGCAAGGAGTAACCTACTCTAATATCCATTACAGCGTATATCCATGCGACTGATTCAGACCCAGACGCTTATAATGGATGGGAGCAGGGAACTTATGGGACTCTGATGCAGGCGCCCGAACAGTTAGGCGCCAGAACAGTGACAAGCTGTACTGTAGCTTAGAGCCACTCCACTGTGTTGTGCCTCCACAGGACTGGCGGTGTTGATCGGGCCGCCTGTAGCGTCCAGTACCAGGGTAGACCAGGCTTATTCTGACTTTAACGGGTTCCCGTCACCATTCATACCATTATTACTTCCATGGTTTCTTCAACCAACATTCCTTCATCAGCTGGCGATCATCTTTCTACGCGTACCAATTAAGCCAAGAAAACTATTAGAGAAACGTCAATTTCTGACAAGACTTTTCTCGCCGTCCAGGATCATGGCGGCGCGCTTTTCTGTTCAGCCCATTGGTCGATTTGCTGGTGAAAGCCAGCCTGTCAAAAGACCCAAGGTGCGTACTTCAGCTTGTATAAGTTGTGATGAACTTGGATATCGCATTCGTCACTCACTCTTTTCGTCTCTTCGTGTACTCATACCATCTGCAGGAGTTTGCCTGCTTCTCTTACGACGACAACCATGAGTTTCATCTAGACGATTCTTCGCTCAAGTATTACTACACACCACAGCTAGGGGCAGATCTTTCCAAGGGATTCGACACCTTTGAGAAGCTGGACGACACTGGAGATGACCACCTCAACAGTCTTCTCAAAACTATCATTGCTCATGAGCAAGAAACTGGTAAGAAGATAGATGCTAATGTTGTGACATGGAGAGGAATGATGACCAAGGTCAGTTGACACCTTCGATGAGCCAAGTTCAGTTTCTAAATATCCTTCGTAGATCATGGCCGTCCCTTTTGATCAGATGGACGGGTAAGTTCGGCCGGCGGCTTTTGTTGTTTCAGTTTGACTTATTGCGTACAAACAGCTTCGAGATGAATGCCACTTTATATCAAGTATGCCCAAGATGACGAGTCCCCCTATGCCACTGAACAACGTAACTAACGTATGCTTCTTCTAAGGATTGCATGTAAGGATCCCTTCATTCAGTCATGTTTGTATCAGGGATTGACTTGTAAAGCTTCATTGAAGAAAACAACGCCTACAAGATGGCATCCAGATCCAATGAGGGCAACAACAACAAGCGCAGAAGAGGACCACCGCTAGAGGTCATGCAGTTTTGGGGTATGGTAGTTCTTTCTCTAACGGTGCAGCCATTTCTGACATCTATTAAAGGGTACAAATTCGAGACGCTGTCAACTCTGCCAGCGCCATGGGCAGAGACATCTCGCGAGTTTATCGAAAACCGTGAAAACGAAGTCGTCAACAACAAGGCCCAGTACTGCTCCGTAGTCCGAACAGGTATCGGCAAATCTGTTCTCTGCCTTGGCGGTGAAGTTGACGCCAGTAAGTGAACCCACCAAGCCTTCTTGGTTCCTAATTGACACTCGGCAGTCTGGGACTCCAAGCCCGAAGAAAAAGGCAGCCCTATCAACTGGGTAGAGCTCAAGACATCTGCCGAGATTCGCAACCAGGGTGACATGGAGAACTTCAACCGCAAACTGATGAAGTACTGGATTCAGTCATTCCTTCTCGGCGTACCGCGTATCGTTGTTGGTTTCCGCACTCGTGATGGTATTCTGGTTGAGGCAAAGGATATCGAGACGCATCGCATTCCGGAGACGGTCAACTCCTACCCAAACCCCAAGTGGAACGCCGATATGTGTGTCAACTTTGCCGCCACTTTTTTGGAGTGTAAGTCTACCTCGTGTACAGATAATGAGGCTTTCGTTTCTAACATGCTTTGATAGGGCTATCGGAGAACATCACTGACGAGGGCGTATGGAGAATAAAGCGCGAGCCTCAGTCGCCTACGATCGAACTTTTCAAGGTAGAAGAGACAGGCCACGGCGATATCTTGTCAGACGAGTTCAAGAATTGGAGGATCAAGTTGGCTCTTGGGCCCAGTAACGAAAGTTGATAGGCAAGCGCTTAATTGCTGTATCATAACCCTGGGCCGGAAAACTTGTCTACAGCCTGTCACATTGAATAGAGAACTTTGGAATATTTTCATAATGCGTTTCATACATCCAGTCTGTACCTGCATCTGCCTATTTACTTGTCCATATAGAAACCACATACAATGCATTAAACAATCAAAACAAGAGTTGCCTCCGTACCTCCCATATTCTTAGAAAAAGAAATATGCCCTTTAACGCCTTGTGCACGCGCAAACCTAACCAAAAAGCAGGACGCAAAACAAAAACAGCAAACCATGCCGATGAGATCATCACTAAGATATCATCACATCGTAAGCACCATGCCAGCCCAGGGTCATTAAATGCAGATGAAAATGCGACACCAACTGAATCCTCCTATGACTCGCTTTTATCCTTGATGCGGGAAAGAGCAGAACCAAATGCAAAATGATTAGTACAAGAAAATCTCGTACACGAATCGGACAGTAGATTAATGCAAAGGGGACCATGATCGCTCGGGTTGCGTTATGGTGTGAAGTTGTTCATCGTTGATGAGGGATGTGGGAAATTAAACGCCAGGCCATCGAAGGCGAAGACCGTCAGCCCAGCGCGAGTAGAGCACGTCGGAGAGCTGCTTGCAGTGCTCCATACCAGATCTGGCTTCCTGTCCGGGGTACTTGTTCTCTACAGCCAGCTTGTCTTTGTCAAAGTCCTTCTCGTACATGGTAGGAGTGTCAGCATGGCGGCGTCGGTGGCTGCGAAGATGAGGGTTGCCAGAAGCCATAACGAGCTTCGCTGGACTAGCCGCAGGAGTGGTGTTCTTGACAATCACGGTGCCCTGGGGGGTTCCGTCGTCTGGGATCTTCTGGACAGGCTGTCGCAGGATTGATGCGCTGAGCTTGTTGTCTTGAGCCATAGAGGATACCATACTAGTCATGAGATGGTAAGCTCCTTCGGGATCAACTGCATCCAAGGCCGCGAATGCGTCTGATAGTTTCGCCAGTGCTTCTCGCTTCTGCATGGCAGAGGTCTGAGCATGCAGCTCGTTTAGACTAGGCTCCACGGCCTTAGTATACAGTCGACGTCCAAGAACAGCCTCTTTTCCGTATGGCTCAATGGGGCCGTTCATGGGAGGAGAATTCTCGTCGCAAAAGACATCGTCAGACGATGTTGGTCGACCACCTTGGCTTGAACTGTCTGAGGGCACCCTTCGGAAAAGACGCATAGTCGATCCAGAGTTGCCAAATGACATATCGGTCTGAAGGGGCCTCTTGGGAGCAATGGAGCCTCGAGGAGAGCCACTATTTCGCACTGATGTGGTGCTTTGAGCGATAGATGACCGTCGGACAGTCGACTTTCGAACAGTGCCGGGTGCGGGAGAGGTTCCTCCGAGAGGACCATCCTTGACATCCAGCTTCTTCATCGCCTCTTCAGCGTTGAAAATAGACGATGGCTTCCGGTGCTGCTTGATCGTTGGCCTTTTGGGCGGAGGCGCGACCGACTTTACTGTATCAAAGACCCATTCTCCTTGCTCGTCCTTAGGAGTCATGGTCTGCAGGGTCTCTTGGTAGTAAATCGGGTGCTTCTGTCTGTTCTGGTTGGCATCCCACATTTGTCGACGGGCGATAAGCTCTTGTAGAGCCTCAACCTTGCCGGCATTGCGGATGAAACGGTGGCGCAGGAGGTCCTTGGCAGTTGGTCGACGGTCGTAATCCTTGGTGAGACATTGGGCGATGAAGTCCTTAAAGTCCTTGCCGAAGTTGCCCTCCAAGCGAGGAGCAGGGTTCTTGGGGATATGGAAGAGGACCTTCATCGGGTGGATGTGGCACAGGGGAGGCTCTCCGTTGGCCATCTCCATAGCTGTGATACCAAGCGACCAGATATCAGCCTTGAAGCTGTATCCGTCCTGCTGAATGACCTCCGGGGCCATCCAGAATGGTGTTCCAACGAAAGTATTTCGCTGCGACTTGATGTTTGTCAATTGAGCGGCGACTCCAAAATCAGCGAGCTTGACTTTGCCAGTCTCGGAGAGGAGAACATTAGCAGCCTTGATATCTCTATGAATCTTGCCTTCAGTGTGTAGATATTGGATTCCCAATAACAATTCACGACAAATAATGGCGATATGTGTTTCGCTGAAGTTGGCGGGTTTTAGCTACTCGCGGTTAGCAATTGAGTACCGTATCGCAAGGTATCATTTCATGGAGGTGAGACTTACCAGATCCAAACAGGAGCCGCCGCCGAGGTACTCCATGACAATCCATAGCTTGGTACCTCGCAGAAAAGATCCCTTGTACTGAGTAACGTAGGAACTTGCGCATGTGCTCAACACAGCGATTTCTGCTTGGATATCTTGAATATCATCGTCGTTGGACTCAAGGTCGATCTGTTGATTATCAGCTGGTGGACCGGGCAACCAAAGTAATGATGGACTTACATGTTTGATAGCGACAGTTTCGCCAGTTGCCTTTTCGATGCCTTTGTAGACAACACCAAAGCTTCCCCCTAGAAAGAGATTTGTTAGTTGATATTTTTTGGTTGTTGTACAAGAGCTTCAAACTTACGGCCAAGCTCCTCGAGAACCTGATAATGCTCAGCAACGCCTTCGTCAGCCATTGTGGATTTGACGTCATGCAATGTCGAGTCGTTATTTGGGATTCGCGTTGCTCAAGCAGAAGAGACAACGATAGGAAGCTGGATGGGGATAGATATAGTGTCTGCTTGAAGGAAACTAAACTGAAATTCAAAGTTGGAGTTGGAGTTTATTAGGTGGTTAAAAGTCATGCGGGCTGTATATGGATGGATGGATGGATGGCACGGTAGTCCTGACCGTTGTCTGGGAAGCGGACCCTGTCAAAAAAGCTATAGCCAGCCCCTGGCTTTGTTTACTTTGAGCTTGATTTTTTGGACAGCTACCGGCGCTATAAAAACGGTCAGCCCGACAGTGACGTAAAGATTTGGGTCAAGCAATTAAGGAGAATTTCTCAATTGGGATATAAAAAGATTCCAGATATTGAAAATTGGGGTTCTGGTTCTAGTTCTAGTTCATGATAGTGTTTGTCCGAGAGAAAGAATGCAGCTTCGTGGAGTCGTCTTCCATACCAACTGCTTTCTAACATGGTCTCTCATGACTATCCGAGCCTTGCAGCTTGTGCCGCCCTCAGTGGAGAGCTGGGCCCCTCCCTCCCTGTCACTTTTAGCTTGTCATCCCCTGTAAGCAACCCTGGCGCATATCCTAGCGCCCATGAGTGTTTGATGTTTTATCATCAGACAGAAAAGAGATGACTGAATTAAATGTATGCATCAGCATGACATCCTCTACGTGTGACTGCATGATCTGAACTTTATGTCTACCTTCATCATGTTTAGTGTTTTCTTACCCTCCCTCGAGCACACTAACGCAAGGTACCGGCCGGATCGAGTGGAGGTAGCAACGGAAAAGACATTGTTTTCAGGCACAAGAAAGTTTGGAATTGGATCGGACTGTTGTCAGACTTGCATGACTTGCTGCACCCAAAGACTCAGACCTCGTTTGTCGGTTTTACTCTTTATAAGGCAAAGCTGCGTCTCAGAAATTACTCGAGTCTTGGGGTAGAAAGACACAGTCACACGACTGATGATTGTCATGGACTGTCACTGTCAGTATCAACTGTCATTCAAGATCGATCGTCATATCACATCACATATCACGCCGTTCAAGATCTTGTAGTACTAGAAAAAGTAATCAACAGATGTTGGGCGTTATCAAGAGACCTCTTCCTGTGGAGTCATTGTCGAAAAGACAAGATTGCCGATGGAGTAAACTATGCAGTTTTTAAACAATCTTTTGTCTGATATTTCTTCTTCTAAAAAAAAAAAAATATTGGCCATATGGATATCATCACGGCGTTGCCACGGTTCGATCGTCGATGGTTGGCTAAGGAATAAGCAAGCACAGATGTTGGTCGTTCCCAAAGTTTCTGTTTCTTGATGACAAAGATGCGTATCTCGGAGCAAATTATAATTGCCATGGACATATGTGAACAGTGCACCGTTTTCGACAAACATGTCCATCCATACATTGGATCCCCCGTCCTCCGTACCCCATCGAAGAGCCTTGTTTGTTATAAGCTCTGATCGTCACGATCATGCAACGCAACAAGCCCCCCCTGATCAAGGGAAATGGAGACCCGACGGGAAGTGGAAGTAAAAGTGCGGGCAGCCTCACTTCAAACGCTACCTCAGTACTGTTGTATGGCCAGTGCACTCGGACTTTGTTAGTTAGCAATCTATTCCATCTCCGGCAACCTTGTCTTTGAGAGCTGGATCTAGATTCTAGACCACAGGGTTGGGTTACCTTAAGGTAGTAGTAAGATTCCTCTAGCAACAAGACTTTATGCTATCATATTGTTTAACTATATAACACTTGTTATTCTGTTGGATACAGTGACACAAGTGATGCAGAGTGCCTTTTCTTTTTCCGATAGACTAAGATTCCGATAAAGCAGAATCCGAAAAAGAAATGTTTAGAGAGCAGGCGTATAACCCACGAATCATAATCAAGATAAACAGCCTTTTGTACCAATTGTTTCTGTCTCAGTTAGGCTGTCCTGTCCTGTCTGTTCCCTTGCATGGCTTTAGCGGTGGGACAACTCAACAACCGACCGTCTGCCCCGCCGATCTCGTGTTGCTGTAGCAACCTCGACCTTTCTCAGCTTTGTGACGCCAGACGCTCGAGCTCCGCGGCTGTCCTACCGCTTTTTTGACAGGCGGAGCTTCAAACTACCTTACCAACCTCCATTACTTTACTTTTTTTTCTTCAAACCGTTTCTTACGTTCTTCGTTTTTTATATTATCAGAGCGTTGCATCTCGAGATTGAATTGACTGCAGTCTTGACCTGTCGTAAATTTAATTTCCGCGTTTCGTGGTAATTCTTTTTACTGCCCTCTACACCTACCGCCCTCCTCCTCCACCTCCACTATCCATCTACTGCGGGACATCGTCTTGGTCCATCTTTCGTCACTTGTTTTTGGTGTTTCGACAACGTACATACCTAATCTCGACAAGATTGTGTTTGATATGTGTCTGTTTACAGTTCGATAAATCTCCTACGACGCGTCTCGAATTGTTCGAGTCCAAATCTTCCTACTTTGGACCTTGTTTAGTCTCTGCTCGAATTGTCCGGGATTATATACATACAACAATGGCACCTGCAGCACCACCGCTCCCTTCGCGATTCCCATGTTGGTGTAGAGCTGTTTACTCATGGGGTGGAGAGGTTTGTTTCAATGTCATTAAAGCCGGCCATTGGAAGCTAACAAATAAAAACAGTCAAAACGAGATCTGGGATTCATCGAAGGAGATTTGATAGAATGTCTGAATGCTGGTGATGGCTCATGGTGGGTGGGCAGACTATACCGTGATCGACGAACAGTTGGATCTTTCCCCTCCAACTTTGTTGAACTTCTACCTTCTCAATTCCGTCCGACGACCAAATCTGTTCCTACGCCAGCCTCGAATAATGCGCCAAGCAGTGCGCCTTCAAAATCGAGAACCTTTCGAAAGCCTTTTGAAGCATACGCCAAGGCTCCTCACTACACCAGTGCCAAACAACCCGAGGTCTTCAAAGAGACACCGAAACCCAAGGAACGACAAAACTCAGGTGCCTCATTCGCACCTAGCCCTCATGAGAATGAACGAGGACCATCGCCTGCCCCACCAAGACACGATCACCGAGCTCCCTCACCGGCACCTTCTCATCACTATGGCTCACGGGCTCCGTCTCCAGCACCGCCTATGCACAGTTACCAATCGAGAGCGCCTTCGCCATCACCCATGAACAGTTATCAGTCAAGGGCTCCCTCACCGGCACCACCAATACATAATTATCAATCGAGAGGCCCTTCACCGGCACCACCAATGCATAGTTACCAATCCAGAGGTCCTTCACCGGCACCGCCTATGCATAACTACCAATCTAGAGGACCCTCACCGGCACCTCCTCACAACTACGGCGGCAGAGGTCCTTCTCCTGCTCCACCAATGCACCATGGACATAGCTATGCTGGTAGAGGACCATCACCTGCGCCTTCTTTCAACAATCGTGCAATGGTACCCTATCGAGGAGGACAACAAAGAGGTGGTGACTCTCCACCACCGCCTCCCCCGCCTCCTCACAGACAAATAGCGAGGGGTGGATCAATCGATTTGCATAGGAGCTCTTTTGATATCTCACGACATGGATCTAATGCCTCATTCAATCCCTTATCGCCCTCAAGACAAAACTCCAATAACTCTCACCGGCCGCCACAGCCACCCAACCCACCTAAAGCACATCTAAGGCATGGGTCTTTTGACGACAGGTCTTATACGCCGTACACACCAGGCACTTCTACTCCCGTCCCACCGTCCCCTGCAGGAGGCATGACGCCCTCGCCTCTAAGGGAGGCTATGGATGGTGTTATGGAACAATTAGACGTTTTGGGTGGTGGTCTCAACCGGGCAGCGCAGCCATCACCGGCACCTGCTGCCGATCCTTGGTCTCCAGAATCTTTTGACATGCTGTCTCACGGGTCAAACAGGAGAATACCAGATCGAACCAGGCCTAAAAGCTCTATGGGTATTGCACCACAGGACGAAGGCTACGAGACATGGAGCGGCGAGTCTTCTCAGGAAGTGTCTTATCAAAATGGCGGACGAGACGACAAACTCAGCAGCTATGTTGATCGCATGGAGAAGCGCTTCCAGCAAATGCACCGCCAAAACTCGAGAGCGAGCGAGCAAGATGATGATCAGCCGCCTCCTCCACCCCCTAAGAATGTGCCGTTCGAGCGACCCAAGTCATCCATGAGTCGCTCTGGCGAGCCTGAACGTAAGCTGCGGGCTCGCAAGTCAGCTTATGAGATTGGAAGAGGAGTTGCACGAACACTTACAACGAAGACCACCTCGACCAATTCCTCGTCAGGTAAAGAGAGCAATATCAGCGCATCAACTCAAAGCACTTCTAGGACATTGTGGAGTGGAACGTCGGCAGGTGCTTTCAGTACTACTAGTGCTGGAAGCCTTGCTCGTCTAGGCAACCGTGGACGTGCTCAAAGTGCTATTGGCGCGAGAGACCTGGAGATTGACAGACCTGATTCACCTTTCACAGGAGTCACTTACCACAGCAGCCATGCTAGTGACTCTCCAGCTCAGCAACAACGACCCCAAACTCAAGTCGGATTCCACGAGGATCCCTCCTTGGAATTGGGAGGCTTAGTACAACCGAAACCCCCGAAGCGAAATATCTTCCGCAAGATTTTTGACACTGCCAAAACGGGCGTTGCAAACAGCCGAGGTGGAGTTGTGGGTGGTGGCATGGACTCCCCCAGATCGCCTTTTGCTCGTTCAATGCCAGCGGGAGCATCGCCTCTGCCTGGCATGGGCAGTACGCCTGCCAGCAGAGATACTGTGACTGACATGGGTCTCGGTGCTGGTGTCGATTGGGTACAAGTTCGTCGTGACGTGAATCGCTCCAACTCGCTCAGTACAATAGAATTGACTGAGCGTCGCGAACGATGTCAAATGATGGATCATCCCGCCCTGAACCCTGTCGATGAGCTTTACGACGGCGTCGAGGGAGATGAAGGAGCCGACGGAGAGCCAGTCCCCGAACCCATCAACTACCAAGCGATTAACTTATCCCAAGTGGACAAAAATTCGCGCTTTATTAGTGGTCTTCCTCCTGCCATTACCGCCATTCAGCTCGCTACTACATACGTGTGTCGACCTTACCGGAGTGACGTTCAACGGTTACGCGCTATCTTCACATGGGTTTCTGAGAAAATCACTTGGGAAGAAGACTTCGAGGGAGAGATCAACACGACACGAGTCATTCAGTCCAAGAGAGCATGCGCTGAAGAGTATGCGGTTTTGGTGATGGAGATGTGTGCTGCCATTGGTATTCACTGTGAGATTGTGCGAGGTTATCTCAAGTCTCCGGGTGAGGTTTCCGAAATCAACATCATGCCTCGCCCCAACCACTGGTGGAACACTGTCTTGATTGACAACGAATGGCGCATGATCGATTGCTGCGTTGCCAGTCCCTCTTATCCTCGGCGAGGCCTGTATTCCAACGCGACCAATGCCGCCGACAGTTGGTGGTTCTTGACGAGACCATTAGAAATTTGCTGGACCCATATTCCTGAGCACCATGAGCAACAGCATATCGTTCCTCCTGTGGCACATGAGACTCTCCTCAACCTACCTTGTGCATGTGCGCCCTTCTTCCGCAATGGATTCGAAATGGTGGATTACAACACTGCCTCGACCAGGATAGAGGATCTGGAGATGGTTCATATCAAGTTCAGTGTCCCATGCGACGTAGAGATCGCTGCTGAAGTTGAAGTCCGGGGCTACTCACGAGACTCGGATGGAGATGTGTTTGAAAGTGGCGAAATAGTTAAGAAGAGGGCACTGGCTCAGGCAGAGTGGTTCAACGGCATCAAGCGGTATACGGTCAAGGCCCTCCTACCTGGCGATGAAGGTCAAGGAACCCTGAAGATTTACGCAGGCAAGCGTGGACTTATGCACAGCATCAAGGACATTCCACACCCTCTTGCTTTTGCCCTGCCTATTGTCCACACCGGCGAAAACCCGCCTTATGAGTTTGTCACTAGACATCCTACTCCTCACGCGCAGCGACATGATATCTATGTGGTTCAACCGCAATGCCAGAGACTGGCTCTCAATAACACGTTTGTGTTTGCCATTAGACAACATCCCAGCTCACTAGCAGGTGGATCAGCACTCACGCCGTCATCTAATCCAGGAGCCACCAGTCCTATTCCATTCGTTCGTCCTAGTTCGGCGCTGAGCATGGGTGCGTCAAGTGTTGTTAGTGGCTCGGCCCCAAGCTCAGCTACGGGCACTGTTGCTGGGAAGAAGCCCGCCAAGTTGGCAATTCAAACACCTGGAGGCAAGATTCTCCGTCTTATGAGGAAGGAGGATCGCAAGGGCATTCATGTCGGTGGCAGAAGTCTCTCGGGTAGTGAAACCGCTAGTGACGGTGGAACATGGGAGACAATCATCAAGTGTTCTGAGAAGGGTGTATGGAGAGGCCTTGTGCTTGCAGACCGCACGGCACGATGGTGTGTCTTTGCTGAATGGGTATGTATGGGCTGAACTAAACATATTGGAGGTTGCGCAATGGGCAGACGACATTGGAGTTTCTCTGCATATCTTGTTTTCTTTTTCTTCTTTCTTTTCTTTTCTTCTAATACCCAAGGAGGATCTTGCATGCCATGGCGCTTAGCAGGTATTATAGAGACGAGCGAGCGTGGACCTTGGATTTGTTTTGACATGGTCGGGTTGATCTGTTGCATTGGGTTGAAAAGTACGGATACGATAACAAAGACATGGTCCAAAGCTTATCATAAAGTGTAAGATAATAGTTTCCATGTCATGAGCATGAGCAATGACGATAGCGCATGATGGACAAATTTATTTCATAATTTTCCCTAACATTATTATTGATTGCCTTTAATTGTGAAGTATAAGAAACTTGAGCTTGATTCTATTAGTGCCTACCAAGGTATTTAAACTGAGATCAGACCCTTAGAAGTTGGGTTGGTTGGTTGTTGGAGTTCCGCAATTGCTAGTCTAAATCCACCCAATCACGTTGCTGTGCGACACGACGATTAGGATCCTGTCGCACCGTGTTTCTCATCCTTTCACGATTCAGACTTAACACGATCAAAGTTTCAACCCAAGGAAATTAAGAACTAGACGCACGACGACGAGACGATTTTGGATAGTTGAGCGACAAGGCCGTGGCTGCCTGGACGACGCGACACGAGCCACCGTGAATGGGAAACTCTCAATTCGATAACCGAACCAAGCGGACGATGAAGCGCAATCGCGTTGGTCTGCGCCGAGTGACGATAAAACGACTCGACTGCTGAAGACGATCCGAAAGGTCGAACAATACTGAAAGGAAACACAGGCCATGAGCTACAGGCCGTACCATGGCCAAGGGCAGGGCCAGCACGGCTCGCAGCAGCAGCAGCCGCTGCCAGTGCCTGGGATGAATCCACCCTCATCGTATCTGCCAGGCGGTTATCAACAATTTACGAGTCCGCAACAACAGCAGCAACAATACTACTCGATGCCCCAACAGCAAGGACAGCAGCAGCAGCAACAACAGGCGTACCTTCAGCAGCAACAGATGGCGCAGTATGGGGGTATGCAGACGGGTTATCAGGGATATGATGCAACTGGGCAGGCATATGGAAGTCATCAGTTACAGCCAGCGGCAGCGCAATATGCTCCCCCAACGAATTTATGGCAACATCAGCAGCCGCCAGGCGGGCAGAATATGATGTATCAGCAGCAGTTCCAGCAGCCACATCACCAGCAGCAGCAGCAGCAGCAGCAGATGTACCAAAGGCACGTCGCGTCACCGCAGCAGCAACAGCAGGTCCAACAGAGACGTTCCAGCCAGCATATGGCTTCGCCGCAGCAATTAGCGCCAGCGACTCCAAAGAACCAAGGGTACAGACTTCCTCATCCGCAGGCGCAAGGGCAGCAGCAAAACCACAGCCATCAGTATTCACAGCAGCATCTGCCACAGCAACAATACCAGCCCCAGCCCCAACAACACTCTCATATTCAACAACAGCCCCAAACGGTCGTCCCTACACCTTCGCCCCAGCCTGTTCAAAGGCAAATTTCCTCGCCGGTCCAGCCACAAGTGCTACGGGAGACGCAACACAATCAACAGCCCCGCCAAGACTTTCATCGACAGCCACAGCAAACAGCTCCGCAGCCTGCGCAAAAGGCAATCCAAGAGCCTCCTGTCGAGATCAAACCCGACACCCAGTCCGAGGCCGCGCCATACCAACCTGTTCAGGCTGCGCCGGAGCAGATGCATTTTGTGAATTTGCAGGATATTCAGAAACTGCCCCAACTCCCCCCTGTCGCGATGGGACAGAAGCAAAGCACGACTGTTCCTACTTCACAGCCTGAACAGGACAGGACCTGGACTCCCCAAAATGATGCCAGCACTATAAATCCATCTGATATCATGCTGAGTAGCCCCCAAGTTCAACCACTTCCACCACCTCAGCCTCAATCTCAACCACAGCCACAACTTCAGCAGCAATCCACACCTCAACCTCAACCACCCCAACAGCCAGCGCAAGCTCAACCGCAGATGACCACTCCTCGAATAAAACCCAGCCCGCTTTCTTCCGTCACAAACTCCCCAGCTATCAGCGCTCGCTCTCCGAGTATCACCAAGAAGTCACCGGCGACTACCCCTAAGGCTCGATCCGTAGACACCGTGCATGTCATGGTCGCAGTAGCGGAAGAATGCTTTGAGAAGGCCCGTAGTTCTGTACATGATGTTGCCATGTCCATGAATGCTACACGCATAGAAGAGTACCAAAAGTTGATCTCGACTGGTCTAGCATGCTTAGAGGCGTGTTTGCAAAGTAACAGGTTGTCTCCTCGCCAAGAAGCTAAGATGCGTCTGAGATATGCTACTGTTCTATTGGAAGAGACGGAGAATTCGATGGAAGCTGAGACTGCCATTACGAAAGGCATCTCACTTTGCGAAAAGGTGAGCGAGCACGTCAACTTCTTGATATGGCTTAACTAACTCGTGTTCTAGAATGGCTTGGCCGATCTCAAATACTGTATGCATTATATCAGACTGAAGCTTTTGTTTCAGCGTAATCACAAGGCTGCTCTGAATGCAGCTGATCGACAGATTGCTGACTGCGAGACGTACGTATATCGCTCACTAATGGCCATGCATGATTGACTGACTTGTCTACAGCTATAAACACCCCCATTGGGTATATGCATTCAGGTTATTGAAGACCTCCTTCTATATGGAGCTTGGCCAAACAGCTGATGCCAGCGCTCTCGAGAACATTCGCGCTATCCAGGTGACTGCGAACGCTCGCGGCGATAACGCGCTGTGCGTATTTGCCTCTATTCTCGAAGGGCTCACTCTATTGAAAGCTTCCAAGGATGGTAACCTCGAAAAGGTCCAAACCTGCATCGCTCAAGTGGCCAAGTTTCAATTCGATGATTCGGTCCATATAATGCAGCTCGATATACTTACACTACTTTTGGATCTCGCGTCGAGCATCAATCACTCTAGTCTAGAATTGACTTGCCAGAAACTTAAGATGCTGCAAGATCGTATGGACCAGTGTAGGGATTGGCACAATGTCAAGTCAGACTTTTTTATTCCCGTCCGGAAGCAACCTTCCACGGGGCATACTATCAGCAGCGATACAGCTGGTATTGTTCGAAGTGGAGGGGATGCGCCGGTGGACTACTTGGTTATGTCGTTTATGACCAAGATGGAGCTAGCTTCTCTCATGTGAGTTGGTACTATTGTGTACTGTATTTGCGATTTCAGCTGACCCGGCGACAGCTTTACCTTTACAGGCTTGGTAAACATGCATAAGTCGACAGCTCACGGCCGTAGGACGGCTGAGTTCTGGCAAGAAGGTGTCAGAGTACTTGATGGCTGTATGTGATATTCGATTCTTCTTTGTGCAGCCACTAACATTATGCAGGGGATAACACAACGGCTGGGATCCCATATGGGCCCTCCACGTCTTTACAAGATGCCATGTCGCAACGAGAGTGGCGATTAGAGGCTCAGACCTATCTTACCGTTCTACTTGGTCTTTACGCAGCGAGTCACTGCCAATGGGACTTGGTGAGGCAAGCCGTGCAGAAACTTGAGGTTCTTATGACACCATCTATTCAAGGTATATTGCGGCTACTCACTCTCTATCTATCTGGCGTCTACTGCCAGGCTATCGGGGAATTACACGAAGCTATGAAGGTTTTCCAAAAGCCTGACTTCGACCTGGACCGACGTGGAACCGGCATCAAAGCTGCACATCGCGAACTGGCTATGCTCGCTGGCCTCAACAGACTTTGGATCATGCAGCATCCGAGCGAGAGGAACGACCCCGAAACGCTCGATCTGATAGACCGACTGTACCCTCTATGCGCCAACCATCACAATGTCGATCTGCGGACAGCTTGGCACAACGTCATGGCCGCCATCGTCACGGAACCTCCCCAACAACTCAACCACCAGAAACAGCATATACAGGCTGCCATGGCAGGATCCAAATCCACTAATAATGTTTTGGGAGCAGCCGTCACGCTCGCCATTATGCGCAGTCGATTGTTCGAGAACGTCATTGGTGAGCAAGCACTCAAGTCTGCCATGGCGGCAGCGAAACAGGCACAACGCAGCGGCAACGTTCTGTGGCAGAGTGTCGCAGACGGCATGCTTGCTCAGTCGTACGAAGTACAGGGCCATCACCAGCAGGCAGCGCATGAATGGGGCAAGGCCACGAGGGAAGCACAAGATGCACTCCCAGGGGCCTAAAGGCAGAAGAGGAGGATGTGATGGTAGAGTATAAATCCGGCGTTTGAGGCAAGGAGTTTGCCCGCTTGTTTAAAAAAGAGGAATTATTTTTATGTTTTGTATACCAGATTCAAAGGGGTTTATGGAGGCCTGTACGATACCTGACCATAGATGTCCGTGGTCTCATCTTCATGAAAGAATAAGGAAGGAGTAATTAGATGTAGGACGATTGTCGTCTTTTAGCCGCAATAACGGCTTCAATCCATGTCTTGGACTCTATCGAGTCTTGAGCTTACTGAGGGAATCTTTTGCATAAATAACACGATGTGATGATTGTGGAGAGGGCGATCAGCGGCGGAATCCGGGGGGTGGTTGGAAGCCTGGAGGAGGCATAAACCCAGGTGGAGGAGCTCCAGGAGCAGCACCTGCGCCTGGAGGAGGCGTAGGGAATCCAGGTGGGGGAGCAACTGGGTAACCTTGCGCAGGAGATCCAGATGGTGGTCGGAAGCTTCCAGGGTGGAAATCGGCTGGGTTGGTATATCCGGCCTGCGATTGCGGGGGTCGCGCGGGTAGGCCAGATGGTGCTGGGGGCAGAGGGACAGCGCCTCGAGGAGGAGCTCCAGGGGGCGGGACGCCGGCGTTGTATGGTGAAGGGCCTCGTCCAGGCGGCGCGAAACCACCGGGTACGCCCTGGGGAGGTGCACCGACAGGCATTCTTCCCATGGCTGAGGGATCGAAGCCAGCTGGAGGCGCTGCAGCGGCAGGCGGTGGTTGAAGGAATGCTTGAGGAACAGGTTGCGCCTCGGGAACAATGTTGCGCTTCTTCGCTTCCGCAGCGAGTGCTCGCTCAGCTTGGTCACCATGTCTCTCTCCCTTTCCATCCTTCTTGAAAGCATATTGAACCGAGACCTCCTTGCTCAAAATGTACTGGCCGTGCAATGTGTCAATAGCAGCATCACTGCTCTCAAAATCGGCAAAGCTGACGAAACCGAAACCCTTGCTCGCACCAGACTCCTCCCTCGCGACCTTTGGCAAGCTAAGCAACGGACCGAACCGGCTAAACGTGTCGTAGAGAATCTTCTCGTCGACCATGGGATCGAGGTTTCCGATGAACAGCTCGGCGCCAACCTCTGCGGCTCGCTGCTTGTCGGCGCTGGCTTTATTTACACGCAGTGATTTTCCGTACAACTTGATGCCGTTCATGACGTTGGCCGCGTACTCGGCGTCGGTGGGCGTGCGAAACTCGACGAAACCGAAGCCCTGATGCGTCTGCGTGACGCGGTCGCGAGGCATATGGATGTTGTGGATGGGGCCCATCTGAAGCATGATCTCGTATACCATCGCTGATGTCGCGCGCTCGTCGATGTTACCTATGTAGACGGTCGCCTCCTTATCTTGTTCCCTGAAACATGTGTTAGCTTTGTCGTCGCGTTGCGATGCGATGGGGAATATGGGTAGCTTTACCAGTGTCTATTTTGCGCCATGGTGACGAATTTTGAAGAGACTTATGTCTCTTGAAGCTTTATAATATGAAGAGCAGCAAGAAAATAACAGATTGACTGAATGGCAAGTTGTGATGAAGAGGTGAAGCTAATTGTCACTTTTGCATGGAGCTTCTGGAAATTTTGGCTGAGGTTGGATGAATAGAAAGATACATGCTTAGCCTTGTCGCATGCGCCACATTAGAGGTATATGGAAATATAATTGTGGCGTCGACCGAGGTTCTTCCGCCTGCGTCTGCACCGTCCGCGATTCGGAGGTGGAATTTTCAGGCGCCGGGTAGCTTATTCCGAAATTTTTGGGCAGACGTCAACGCTTTGCCTTGGTCCGATTTGCGTTGCGCTTAATAGATCATCAGCCTCGAGCTTCGAAATATCTCGGTCGAGCCACGCCGTGTCGTTATTTACTTCTTTTTTCGAGTCAGTTTAATAACAAAACTTTGACATAATTCAAGATGTTTGCCCTTTCCGAGGAGTCCAAGGTGCGCTCTAGCTTGACATCATGTGTCGATACAGCTTCACTAATGGATATTATAGGAGCGCATTGCTAAGCTCATTGACATTTCCCGCGTCGCCATTCACTAGTATGTTGATATGTATATCATGTTAATTGACATTGACTAACCATTATTGCAGTGGTTACCTTCCTCTGATCCTCTACCTCGGTACGAATAAGCTCGAATAACGAATGCGCTCGCAACGACAATACTGACTACGTCTACCAGGCTACACCCGCAGCGAGCCCCGACCTTCCGTCATCCGGTATGTCTCGAGCTTCATGATCAATTTACGCCTTGACAATGCTAACATGCGGTTTCCAGCCTTCTCTCTCCCCTCTCCTAAGCGAAGAGCAATCCTATAATGAGACGAAACCAAAACAGTGTACAATATCTTGTAAAGATGCTTTACGACGAGGAAGGAAAGGAACGACTACGACCAGCATTCATGGCGCTAGGATAAGGAATCAACGATAGCTGGATGAATGCTAGGAGGGGTTTAGTCGAGTCGAGGACTGTACGAATGAAGGGTGTGAAATATCACCGTGTATCATCTTGCAACACTAGGATCAAGGACTAGGAAGCCCAGAATAAAGGGAAACCCACTCTTAATGAAAACTCTTAAATCAATTCTTGTCTCTTTTTCTATGAGTAATCGTGATATTTCAAAGGTTATCGGCTTCATGCGGCAGAGGACTCTGTAGATTTGCGCTGGTGACGTCGAAGTCTCGGCTGAGCTACTGCTATGTACTACCTTTTTTTGAGCTCCGCTGAATTCTCAAATAATTATGTCAACGACAAGCCTCAACTACAACTTCTTCAAGTAACAACCTCACCTTATGACACCTCATTGCTTTTATCCGTACTTATAAAATGTGACAGATGAAGTTATAAAGACATTTTAATTTTTCCCCCTTCATATGCCCGACTTCAATAATGCGGGACTCTCGCCCGCAACCATCGAGTCTATCGCTGGTCTCAGTGCAGGAACTGTCTCTACTTTGACGGTGCATCCTCTTGATGTAGTCAAGACTCGTATGCAAAGTAGGTCTCTTTTCTATATAGGAAGCGCAGTTGTCTAACAATCTTGCAGTCTACCGCAGTACAGCTCCTGGTGCAGTCCGTCCAACGACAGTATCTATTCTTCGTGCCTTGACATCTACCTCTCATCCCATCGCCTCTCTCTACCGCGGTCTAACGCCAAATCTTGTTGGAAACGCTTCTAGTTGGGCCTCTTTCTTCTTCTTCAAGTCGCGCTTTGAAAGTGCTATCGCTGCTTGGCAAGGGCGACCTGATGGACGTCCGTCGCCAGGCGATTACTTCGTTGCGAGCGCTCTTGCAGGCGCTTCAACTACGACGCTGACGAACCCTATCTGGGTTCTCAAAGTCCGCATGGTGTCTTCCGATCGTGGGTCTCAAGGCGCTTACCCTTCCATGGTCTCCGGTGCGCGCTCTATTCTTCAGACTGAAGGCATCCGGGGGTTCTACCGTGGTCTGGGAATCTCCTTGGTAGGAGTCTCTCACGGCGCTGTGCAGTTTGCCGTGTACGATCCCATGAAACGATTATACCATGCTCGTCGTCGCGAGAAGTATGGCCTCGAAAGAGATCACATGACAACTGAAGCGACGATCGGACTGTCCAGTTTAGCCAAGTTTGTTGCTGGTGCTGTTACATACCCCTATCAGGTGCTTCGAAGCAGACTGCAGAACTATCAAGCTGATGAGCGGTTTGGACGGGGTATCAGAGGAGCTGTGGCTAGAATATGGACCGAGGACGGAGTTAGAGGCTTCTATCGTGGATTGGTGCCGGGTGTGGTCAGAGTCATGCCTGCGACGTGGGTGACCTTCTTGGTGTACGAGAACGTCAAGTATTATCTTCCTTACTGGGTTTGAGCGGTACCCGTATGGTCTGGCGTTGGTATGGATTATCACGGTTGTTCAATAGATATAGAGAGCTTTCAATCGTTCAATAGAGGCTCATAGCCCAACTCATAAGCCATAAGTTCTTCGTTCGTCCAACTACACAGCAAGGTCTTGAACCTCCATCAACACCAGTCCTAAGCCTTCTCCCATAGCTTTAATCTCCCTCCTTCAAGTTTTCCTCCGCCTCGGCCTCCTTCCTCTTCTTCTCACAACTTTCGCACTCGGCAGCTGGAAGATAGCGGGTGAAGAAGGCAACTCTTGTCGTGCAAGTGCCTGTGGCCGCCTCTGAGCACAGGATGTTCTACTCGGTGGTGTGGATACGGCGCTGGCATACCGTGCAGTCGTACTTTGTGCATTCGTCGATACACATGATTATAGTAATCCCGGTGTTGTCCTTGATGAAGTAGCTTGAATGTCGTAGAGGCTAGTATCCTCTGTCTTGTTCGATGAAGTAGTTTGAATGTCGTAGAGGCTAGTAGCAAAGTGGGTTCTTGATAGTGTCTTCTTGTATAGAGTATTGACATAGAAGAATTGCTGGTAATTTGGTTCTTTTGTTGTTATAGAGGCTGGTTTTCGTGAAACAAAGATAATGAGTTCAGCTTGTTGGCAGCTGTCGTTTTCAGTCTCGACTTTCTGTCCGTTCCAGATACGATGTCGTGAAGCAGCCACAGGTCGCGGCTGCCAAAGGTAGAAACATGGTATGTAGGTTGTGCCATTTCAGGAAGTGACGACCCCAAGCCGGTTTCTTTACGGTCCTGCATCAGAGATGGACTGATGTGGTCTTGCGTTGCAGGTTTTGGTACTTACTGCTCAGTAGCTCCACTCGCCGACAACATAGAGGTAAAAGCATCGCCTTTAAACTCATTTTTCACAGATAAGAACATCCGTTTTCACCCGGTTCTTTTTGTACTTGAGCAGAACTCAAGTACTTCCCCTTGTGCTCCCTTTCGCTGGCATGAGCGTCAACGTCCCGACAGCATGTTAGACTTCGAGCAGGCCAGTGCAGTAGAGGTCGCACAAAGCTTGGGACATTGCCAACTCGACCATGCATCAGAGATGATATCTCTTCAACCATTGTTCTTTGACTCTGTCGTTGGGATGCATGAAACGCCATTGTGTTCGGTGCTGGGGACCGAAAACCGTTGCACTCGAGAAACAGCAGCGAAAACCAACAGTACTGCAATCTAGGGTTTTGAAAGAAGCAAGGTCTATTCCATCTGACATTCTGTATCACTTTGACTTTGTGAGAATCCTTCGATTCATGAAGTGATGGGAGGAGTGCCTTTGTGATGCCCTCATAGCATTGAACATTGACTGTGGGTTACAGAAGAATTATCCTGTAAGCCTTAGGCTACATAAATAGTATTCTACCTACCAGCCTAAGTTCACATAAGATAACCAAATGATTTCGTCTCTTATGCTCCCAGC